CTCACTCAGCCTTCTCTCACCACCTTACCATACCCGGAAATAACCCCCCCCCCCCCCCCCCCCCCCTCCCCTTCGCGGCACTCTGATTACTTGCAGCAAGGCAAGCTATCTCACGACTCGTCCCGCATCCCCAAGTCCCGCACGACGATCAATCAATCATCCTCCCCTCCCTCGCAAGGTCAGCGGCAGCGGCAGCGGCGAACTACTACCTACCTACTGAGCCGCTCAGCAATAATATACCTACCTAACAAAGAGGACAGACCTCGGTCCCAGCCCAGAGTGCCACGCGAGACAGGAGAAGGGGGGGCGCACGCGGTCGCCACGTTGTATCGAGGGGCTTCTGAGTGGCCAGTTCGGGATCCCGTCTTGTTCGGGGAAAGACGCGTGCGTGCGTCGTGCTGACCTAACTGTTGGGGATCAGGGGGTTGAGGTGAGGACTCGCGGTAAGTGAGTGAGACGCTGTCACGATGTTATTTCTTTTTCTCTTTTCTTTTCTTTTTCTTTATTATTGCTTTGCCACATGCAGATGCAGATGGCTGGTAAAAGTAAGGTAAGATGTGGTAAGGTACCTACTTGCAGGAATAGTTCGCTGCTTGGTTTGATTGAAGGTCAGTAAGGTAAGGTAAGGTACGTACCTATACTACTACTATGTATTGTATCCCCCCTCCCCCTTTCCTACAACAGTACATCAATGCTCGCGTCCTTCCTCCTAATTGCTACAGTAGCATCACTAAAACGCGAGAGGACGAGATCTAGGGAGTCCCCCCTAGCCTCACTCGCCAATCACCGGGCATTAATTGTACCCCGGTCTCTGGGGTGGTCTTCAATGCCATCATTGTTCAGAGCTAGCTTGGCTTATCAGGAGATATCTATCGTTCGTGCGTTCCTCACGAAACGAACATACGGGACGTGTTATTATTGTACCTCTGTAGATGTGGTGTGAATGCTGTGCGAGAGGCGGATGGGGTAGGTCGTGAGGACGCGTGTTGTACGAGGAATTGATACAGTCCAGTAAGCAATACTGTGGTCGTGTTACGGTATCATAAGTAAGGTATAGCTAGGTAGATCATGAAGTGAGATGAGTCCGCTCAAAACCCGCTTTGAACTCTGAGCACATTTGAGACAAGTATAGGTAGTCAGTAGGATAATGCAAGAAAGTCCTCAAAACCGAAACAGACATCGCCTCCATCCCTTCTTATACATACTATCAATCCTCCAGATAATGTCAGGGAAGATAACTTATCAAACCCCCTATTTACCTAAACTCCGCATCTAGACCAGGAAAAGGAAGCGGGGAACGGTTATCCGTGTTCGTGCCAGCCTTGTAAGTTGTATCTACGGAGTATGTATCTCCTGTTTACCGGTTTGTGGAAAAGGGGGCTGGAGAGGTCTGCTCATGTTGATCCTCGATTTTTTGTCTTTGTTTGGATAGATGGAGTAAGGTTTAGGTAGGATCATCGGATGGCAAGGATAGAGATACTCGATAGGGGGAATTGTACGTGTCGTAGTAAGACGAGTCTGTAGCGTATAGAAGTACAGTAGGTGTTCTGGCTCTTGCGAGGCGGGAAGGAAAAAGAGAATGATGGGAGAGTGAGGATAAGTGTTTTTGGGATGAAAGCTTGAATCTGATAAGTGACTAATGATCAAGATACGGAGATACGGAAGTACGTGATACATTGCTATATCGAAATTCGAATTGACCGTATGTAGGTGTATAAAATACATGTACGTACACTGCACAGTCCGGACAAGAGCTCGACCGTCGAAGCGACCGATCGTCAAGGAGAGGCTCGGGTAATAGTGATGGTTATGCGTCTACGGCAGGAATATTTGCATCAGTGCGGCTTGCAGTTCATCCACAGTCTAGCTGTCATAGTATGATAGTATCATGATAGACCTCTCTTGTACTCTTTGTGGAAGGTCGGGCGATCCATCGTGGCGGGCCAAAAGTATAACGGAAGTTAAATGCCATAAGGCGCCCTCTTGTACGTAGATAGGTACACATACATGCCTAAAACGTCTGGATAAGATAGATGTTTCGTTCAGAGTTCAGGAACCCTTCAGTAATTGTCGTCTTCTTGAGTATGCCTACTTTCCTCTGTCCTCCCCTACCCGCGTTTGGGGACCATCCCGGTGCCCACGTTCCGGAGTAATTACCGTGCCGTGCGCCTCGCGGGAAAAGAGGCTTCTTGCCGTGAAGCCGGATGGAACCTTGTACTCCGTCGGAGAAGGATTCGTAAGAGTTCAAGAGTGAGGAGTCTGACGAAGAAGGACAGGCCCGAGAGTACTTGACAAGTTGACAGTTGAGCTACCGGCAGCAGGCGTGTATATAGAGTACCACACTGTCGATGCCAGCCACCTCCTGTGTCTGCCGATCATTGGTGGTTCGGCGGTTTGGAATTTTGAGAGGGGATGTGATTCGACAGCGGATCCCATACCGGTGATGGCTAGGTGACTAGGTCCCAGGCCCACATGCAGGGCTGGCCGGGGAACTCGCTTGGAACGAGATGGCCTGGTAACTACTACTGTGACAAGACTCCTTGGGTTGTACTGCAATAATTGCCAATGCTGTCCTGTTTGTCAACTCCTCCCGTCCTCCAGCGGCCAAACACAGGGCCGTCGGATCGTACCCCGTAAGCTCGCCAGCCTCCCGGACTGAGGATTGAGGGGAATACCTCCGGAAACAGTCGCATCGCAGCGCAGGGACGGGCGGCAACCGTTAAATGCGGAGACAGCGGGTGCAAATCTTACATAACGAAATAACGGTTCATCTTATATCGATAGGGCGGAACAGCCGCGCGCACAGAGCGGCAGGGTGGGTTCCTCGATTATTAACTCCGTTTTTCCTTTTCCTGCTGGGTCCCGGAGGAGGGGGAGGAGGAAGATGGGAAGGATCAATAGAGCTGCCTGGGGGGGCCGTTCCTCTGGCGATAGCAAGCAGCTTAAGACGACTCCCGTGCAGCATCGAGGCCGCTGAGTGGCCGAGGTAACGCGGATGAGGGGCGCAGTCTCGGAGCTGGCGCGCTGCAGAAACGGGCACGGGAGAGCGAGATCGATCAGAATCCAGAGATCAGACTGAGGTGCAGCGGGCGGTAGGGAGTACCGGCAGCAGTGCTGACACTGTCGTGATTGTTACGGAGCGAGCAGGAGGTCGCCAGACACACAGCGCCTGGGACGCCGCCTCTGAGTAAGATCTAGACTGTCATCATGGCACGATATTGTCATCATGGCACGACCTTTGAGGGTAGAGAGACCGCGAGGGCTGCGCCTTGCGCCGGAGTGAAGATATCATAGGAAGAGAGAGTACTGTACAGCAGCGAGATAGGTAAAGAAGTGTGCACAGCCAAGGTGGCTTTGAGATGTCATATTCCGGGAGAGTCATGTCTCACGGGCCCACGAGTCCCACGAGAATTGATCCGAACAGGTCGTCGTTGGGACCTGAGTTCCCTGATTGCTGGTACGAGTCGTGGTGGTTGGATGGGTGAGTTACTACTGGACGACAATGGAGGTAGACGATGCATCGCAGATGTACGAGTAGGGCTCATACAGAGGGCAGATGCAATCGCTTAATTTACAATACCCTCCTTCAATGCCCTGAATCCCCGATGCCCCAATGCCCCCATCGCTCAGTACAGCACAACTCCTACGGTCCTACCACTCCTACACACCTCCCTCAATATTCGTTCGTACAGGACGACGAACACTCCATTATCCATTACACCGTCCTGCACACGAATCACAATACAAGGCCCCTCGTGCATCGACTATTCGCCTCGGCCAATACCACCTTACTTAGTACGCAGGTCAGTCGTCCCACAGTGCACCGCGCCCAGCAAGCTCCCGTGCGCCGTCCGGTCGTCGTGCTCAGCGTGCTTTCTGCCTAATCAGGACTAGTGTCTGCTCGCCTCCCTCCACCAGGAACCACCAGCCATCAACCCGCCAATCTCCAGACATCGTCCTCCATGCTTCGACGCCGCGTTGCTCCACCCGCCGCCTCTACCCAACCCATCTTACCGTCAGACGCACCTCTCAGCGCTCAGCAGCCCTCGCAGCAGCCCTCGCCAGCCCGGCCCAACGAGGACAGCAAGGATAGCAGGGGCCCCTTGGACTCTGGCCCTCTGGGAGTCAAAACATCCAAGCGACAGCGAGGGTCATTAGGGATCGCGCCCTCCTGGCTCTCCTGTGAGTCCTGTCTGTCCTGAACTGGCCTGGCCTGGCTTACCCGCATTATTATTGCGTCTTGGTCCTTGAGAGAGGCAGGTTCTCACATACTCCGTACAGAATGCAAAGTCCCCCCCCCCCACTTCACACACCCTCAATTGTCATTTGCCTACCAGTGCCTACGCACATACCGTACGGGCGTGGTGTATTCGTACCTAGCCTCCTGCTCTCCTCACAATTACTTGCTCCCTCATCGTCCATCATAGCTGCGTACATCTCTCCCTCGCTCACAAACTGAATTGTCGTCCGACCCATTGGCAAACGGCGTCAGCAACTGCTTCACCGCCAAGGTTTACTGGATGTGCGGCTGCTGATTCTAGAAGGATTGGTACCTGCGCGACTTGCATCTGCGCAAGCAGCGATCCGCTCGAGCATCATCATCTCGAACGTCCTGGCACCCTTCACATACTGTACGCCGAGCAATTCCACGATTCGCGCCCGAGAGCTTCAACGCCCGTGTCGCGTTTCCCACCAGAGAGTTATCTGACATCGCATTCTAGGAGGAGTTCTAGCGGGAAGACACAATCGTTACCATCTGATGTCCTGCGGCACCGAACCCAACATTCTGCTACGTTCACTGCGATCTCGTGTATGGCTATAAGGACGCCAGTTCTATAGGTAACGGGACCGCGAGAACCCCTTGCTCCACTGCCTCCACTAGGCGTCCGTCGCGCTCGTGCTTTGCGATACTGGCGAGACCATCGGCCATTGAAGTACGGTGTTCGGTAACGGGTGCGCGAACTATCTATGAGGCTCTTTGGCTCATCCTCTACCCCCAATCGAGACTATTCGAGGGCCACCACCAAGGAACAAAGAAATCAGGATCAGGTTTCAGTGTTGTATGAGCTCGGACTGCTCAGCAGCTCGGGTAAAGGCGCCAGGAGGCGAGTAAAAGACAAGGATAGGGAGGCTCCCGGGGGTAGAGCTCACCTTGCAGAATTACATCCCGACCACGGTACGTATGCAATCAATTTCATCTCCACATGTCCCTGCAGCTACGTTCATGCAGGAGTCAAATTTCATTCTATTCCCGAAGGCTGAACTTACCCTTTCTCTCCAACAGTCACCCATACCAGCTCTGGTTCATCGTCTGGATCGTTTCGCAGGCCACCATCAAGCACATTCCAAACCCGACAGAATAGGGGAGGGAGCAACTTCCGAATGCGAGCGGGCGGAGGAATGGCCGGAATGTTAGACTCTGATAGGAGCCGCAATCGGCGGGAGAGGACCTTCGTTGGGAGCGAGTGTGCCGTCTGCGAGGAGCCTCTGGAGCATACGCTTCGCGGAGAACGGGTCCTGCAATTCTCGTGCGGGCACGTCTCGCACGAGGCATGCTTCTACGAATACATAAAACAGTTCGAATCGCAGTACTGCCCGACATGCAACGCCCCCCTAGGCCTGGACACGAGCCGGGGAGGAAATGTGCTAGATATTGGTAAGAAACTCGATGCTGGTTCGACCCCCTATACCAGATAGCTGATATCTATGTCCCTTTCTAGAGAAGCTAAGTACAATTGTGCGATCAGTATCCGCGAGCGGGTCCTCTAGATCGAACCAGACCACGACGCCGGTCCCGTGGGATGGCCAGACGGTACGGCCAGCTAGCCTGGAATCGAATACGCCGCGACCACGCAGAGATAGCAGCCGGGACAGCAACGGTGGAGGAAGCAGCAGAGGGAGCAGGGATGGTCGAGATCGGTACGGGAGCACTTCGAGATCGCACAATCGCAACGACTCTACCGTCACGGATACTCCCTCGATGGGTTACACGGAGACTGCAAATAGCGGCCCACCTCGGCGACACGACTACGATGTGCAATCGATGGAGACGAGTCTCGTCAGTCCTCGGACAAGCGTAACGAGGAATCCCATCCCACCACCAACCGTCAGCGTCCGGTCCGAGTTCCCGACCCTGAATCGATCGAGGCAGCAACAGACCTTGACCTGTCTCGTCACCGTCGAAGTAGCCGATGATAAATGGAGGCCCGATCCAGAAGACCTGCGCGGGGCACCACCCGTGCCTATGCCCCGCCCAGAGGATACGTACGCTCGACCACCTTCACCCGCCCAGAGCGCGCCGCGCTTCTATCCATACGAGTCACCAGAAGTGTTGGAGGAGATGACGGAAAATCTACGCGGCCGCGTCGAGAACTGGCACGGACTTGATTTTAACAGGTAGATTTCCCTGCGTGAACCCTGAAAACACCTACTAACGGGGAGATAAGGTTTGGAAAATTACGTCTTTACGGCACTATCAAGGTTGGGAAAGACAGGAAGTCATGGCAGGAGTTGGAGTGTTTCCTCTTTGCAGAGATGCTTATTTGCGTCAAAGAGAAGAAGTTGGCAGTGTCTCAACACTGGGATGATCCGAACCGGAGGAGTACTCGATGCACTCTCAAGGGGTCCATCTTGATCAAGAAACACCTGAACGAGGTCGTTGAAACTGGTGGTACAGCACACCTCGGCCACGCCAACCAAAGCAACATGACTAACCTTCGACCAGCAGAGGAAAACATCCTGACCCTCAGCTTATCAGTAGCTGAGCTTCCGTCTTTCCATCTCAAATTTGAAAACAGGAACCAGTTGAAGTTGTGGCAGCAAGCTCTCCTGGACTTGAATGCGGTTGAGGCATCTCCGAGTCCGGATTCCGAGCTTTCTGAAGTCGAGGAGGAGGACTGGCAACGTGTAAACGATCCGAAGCGGGTCTCGTCCGTTAACTCCTCCTCGTATGGTGCCGGGATGTCTGGTACGACGGCCGTGACAGAGTATACCGCCAATGGAAGGGGCTCACGATTACCTGTAGCCATTCACGTTCCCATCGATATCGTCGTCGTCGTTCCGATATCGTCGTCTATGCAGGGGGTCAAGATCAGCTTGGTACGGGATGCCTTGAAGTTCATGGTTCATAATCTGGGAGAGCGTGACCGTATGGGCCTGGTCACTTTTGGATCGAGCAGCGGTGCTGCCCCACTCGTGGGCATGACTACGAAGGCTTGGAATGGATGGCCAGGAGTCCTGAGCTCAATCAGACCTGTTGGACAGAAGAGCCATCGGGCTGACGTTGTCGACGGCGCCAATGTTGCGATGGATCTGCTCATGCAGCGAAAGTCTAACAACCCTATCGCTACGATCCTCCTGATTAGCGATTCATCGACCTCTGATGCTGAGAGTGTTGACTTTGTTGTATCAAGGGCAGAGGCAGCGAAGTAAGTCTAGCCTACGCCCACAAACCTGTATTTATTTGCTAATCATCGTAGGATCGCCATTCATTCCTTTGGTCTTGGTATGACGCACAAACCCGACACCATGATCGAGTTATCAACGCGGACGAAAGCGTCGTACACTTACGTCAAGGATTGGATGATGCTGAGAGAATGTCTCGCCGGCTGTCTCGGGGCGTTGCAGACCATGTCTCATCAGAATGTGAAGTTGAAGCTCAGACTTCCCGAAGGCTCACCAGCGAAATTCGTGAAGATCAGTGGCGCCTTACAGATCACAAAACGAGCGGCCGGCAAAGATGCCGAGGCCTCTCTGGGAGATCTCAGATTCGGTGACAAAAGGGACATCCTCGTCCAGCTTGTCATCTCTTCGGACAATCCTTCTCAGGAGCAAGTACCTCAGGATCCTTGGGAGTCGATTGTTTCAGGCCTAGAAGCCCTCGGTGGACCCCTCGAACAGGAAGATCAGAGGCCCCTCTCGGTTGAAGAAGTCCCTCTGATTCAGGCAGATCTGACCTGGGGTGATATTATCCGAGATGGTACCCTTACCCACCTTCCCCGTCCTTCCCTGCTGGCAATAACCATGCTTCCACCTTCACCAACTCAGCAGAAAAAGCAGACCTGGGGCAGTGGAGGCCCTCCGATCCCTCCGCATCCAAACATTGTCCAACGACGTATGGAACTCCTCACATCAGACATGCTCACGCGTGCGCTCACCCTCGTATCTCGCGGGCAACACGATCGCGCACAGCATCTCCTCAACGAAACCAGATCCATTCTCAAAGGCCTCGGTAAGGGAGGCCTCCCGCCGATTCCCCTAACCCCATCTCATAACAAATCTCCAAACTTGAGTGCGGTCCCCACCACCGGAGGCTCATCCCCAACAGCCAGTGCCACTCCCGACCGTCACCGAACGCCGTCTCCAACATCCGCTCCTAATACTGTTTCCGGATCTTTTCCCCGCCACTCCAACGATGCACTGTCCATGGGCCACATGGGCCCGTCCTCTGGTATCGATCCCAACACTGTCGCAGCTCTCGATGCCGAGCTCGAGGCAAGCCTAGAGTGGATCAATCATCCTGCAGTCTTCGGAAGAGACAGCAGGAAAGCCGTTTTACAAGCCATAGGTGTTATCAGCAGTCAACGAGGATATACCTTCCGCACCCCGATCGAGAGTCTCTGGGCTGGACGTGTGGGAGGCGTTAAGAGATTGACCGACCGCAGTCGAGAGTGGAGGGAAGAAGGTGGCTCCGAGGGCGGTATCATGGAAGAGAGTTAGATGACACGAGGCCACCTGCCTCGTTGCACGTTTCTCTATTCTGTTCTGGACACCCCAGTTCTCGTCTTGAAAGCATCCCGGCCTTTGTCGAGCGTCGCACTCATCTGATTTTGATTTGTTTATCCCGCCGCTATATACCACAACGCAGATCTATACGACCGGACTATAAATGACGACGACACGGGCCAGTTTTGGGCACTCATCACATCCAATCTTCTTGTATTATACTTGGATCGATTTAGCAGGCATGCACTTGGGACATACCCCTTCACGTTTTTCCTTTCCGCGTCGTGTTTTCCATTTCCTTGGACAGGCCCCTCTTTTTTCTTTTTCTTTTCTCTAAACGAGTGCTCTTTTCATGGCCCGGAAGGCGATCTGGATGTTTGGATTCGATTCTGGGAGGATAGACTAGCGTCCCCCGCTCCGCGGTCTCTGGGCAGGTGGACCGAAAAAAATAAGTGTCTGAGCTGGTTATTTAGGATTAGGAACCTACCTATAAAAGGTGGTTATTTATGCGAGGTAGCGAAGAACAAGCTGTGATGGTGATGCCACGATACGAGGGTATATAGATGGCTAGATCATGATAATGATGATGAGCAAGTGGGAGGCGATTTTCATGAATGCAGTTATGATATTTGTGATTGAGTGATTTTGCTTGAGATGTGTTTGCGTGTCGTTTGAAGTGAAATCCGCGTGTTGATGTGTGGTGCAATTGGGGGACGGAGACAAGCGCGAAAGGGGGGTTATTGAACAAGATGATATACAGAACGGCCTGCAGATCTCAGAAGTATATAAGTAGGTAGGTGAGTAGGTACCTTAGGTAAGTACATGTTCCTGATATATATATTGGATTGTGAATGATGTTTATATAAGTATAGATTCCAAAATTTAGATAAGAGTTCTTTTTGTGGGTGTATAGCGAAAAAAGACTCCCTGACATGCACAATCAATCAATTCATATACTCTATTGAGCCAACTCGCCAGCTCGCTCCATCTAACATTTCCCTTCGACCCGCACCGTATTCTCTCCCACCACCTCCTCCTCCCCATCTATACTCCCCACCTTCTTCTCCGCTCTAACACTCACCCACAGAAGTCCCGACGTCCAGAGGGCAAGCGCGATACATGTTGCTATCATAGCCCACATACCTCTCTTTTTTTTTCCTCTTTCGTCAATAGCTTGGTTTTAAAAAGTTTGGGAAGGGGAGATTTGGGGGGAGACGTACGGTGAAATAGGGGGCTGAGGACGCAGGGTAGAAGACAATGGACCACCATGCGTTGACAGCGTTGCTGAACATATTCATACTTGCGAGGACGACGGCGCGGAAAGTCTCGTCTTCGAAGCGGAGTGCGTCGTTGGCCCATGCGAAGAAGGTGCTTTTTTTTTTGGTTTAGTAGTTGAGGAGAGGAGAGGATGAGAGGGGAGGGGAGGGAGAGGGGGACGTACGCCTGGCAAGCATAAACGGAGCCAGCGAGATAATACGCGACGAAAGAAACCCGTCTCTTCTCACCATCGACCAAGATCAGCACCGACGTGACGATGCCGAGCACCGCGATGAAATAAGCTACGAGATAGCGCTTGCCGCCGTAGAAATCAGTCAGCGTGGCCCAGAACAGCGTCGAGATGATGCCGACGGCTGGCACGCCCGTGGCGTAGTTGTTGAGCTGCGATACGCTGTAGCCGCCTTCGCGCTGCAGCCAGAGAGAGATGAGCGAGTTGGAGGAGAAACTCTCCGTCTCGCCTGCGATCACCCAGAGAGTGACGAAGCCGTACCATTGCCAGGAGCTGAGTACCTTGAGCAGGAACTGGATCTCGCGTTCCGGGGAAACCAACTCAATGTGATTAACACCATGTTTACCGTGGGCTATACCATGTGAGCTGCATTGTGTTCTGTAAGTGGGAGCGTTAAGAGACTGAAAATCCCAAAAGTGGCCAGGTCCCATCGAATCTCGCGCTGCGGTATATCAAACCCCGGATCTTCTTCCCCGCCATGATGATCGTCTGGGCCGGGTTGACCATGTGCACGGCAGCCGCGCATCGCCCGCAAGACATCATGGCGATTCGCTTCTTCCAGGGGATCGCGGAGTCCACCACTTTTGCTGGCACTCACTACATCCTCGGATCGTGGTACACGGAGAAGGAGTTAGGGAAGAGGAGCGGGATCTTCACTTCCTCAGGCCTGGCGGGGACGATGTTCGGCGGCTTTCTACAGACGGCTATCCATTCGGGATTGAATGGTCGTGGAGGCCTGGCTGGCTGGAGATGGTTGTTTATTGTGCGTATTCATTACCCTCTCTCGATATTCAATCAGCAGCAAAAGGTAGGTGAAATCACTACTAACCACGCCCAGATCGACGGGCTCATCACGCTCCCCGTTGCCATCTACGGACTCTTCCTCTTTCCCGACACGCCCCACCACACCCAAGCACCATACCTAACCACCGCCGAGCGCTCCCTCGCCATCTCCCGCGTCCCCGAGACGCCTCGTCTACGTCTCAACCTAGACTTTCATGCCTGATACATATGCAGCGGTGAGGTTGGACCTGTCGAGATAGTTCAGGAAATACCTGTAGGGGCATCAACCATTAGGTCTATCTATCATTAAACCTGGCCACTTGGAGGGAGAGACATACATCAGACAACAGAAGGTAAGAATGAAGAAATCGATCTTCCGCACGAGCTTTCTCTCCCCCGGGGCACTTTCCGGTGTGAAGAAGTACTCCTTGAGCCTGTGAGCAGCCATGATGCAGAAGCAGATCTCTTTCTTTGCATCATGGAGCTCGCGTAGGCGAGGGATGATAAGTTATACTTGGCTTATCGCAGTTGCAGTGCGGCGCATGGATGATGGATGTATCTGAATTATCTTTTATCTTTTATCTTTATCTTGCATCGTACCCCCGCTCGCCCGCCGGCTAGCCGCGTGTGTAGCCCCGGGGACGGGCAGTGCCAGTTCTGGGGAAGATATGCGCGAGGTAGAGACACAAGAGGGAAATGACAAGAAAGAGAAAGCTTTTGGCTATAAAGCAATGCGAGGTGTAAAGCCGCAGGCTGTATTGCTGGTAGACTTCGTCCAAGAATAAAACATCAAGAGAAAGAGAACAAAACAAAATCGTCAAGACGCACTTCCTTTAAACTTTACGCACGGACCCTGCAAGGCTGCCAAATCACCCTGGATAAGCAAAGCCTTGCAGTCAATGGCTCCACGACACTGAGACTTCAGAAGTGGGAATCCAGGCCGTCATGCTCATCTGTTTTTCACACTATGTGTTGTTTCAATCAGACACTCTGGCATATAGCGGAGATCTCTCACATGACCCTCCGCCAAGATCATGGGTTTTTCTTCGTTTTGGAGGAATCCAAACTCCTATTTATTTGATACATACGGTCTTTACCAGATCCTAACGCCGTGCTTGAGAGTCCATGCCACCTTACTCCGATCCGGCGTACAAGTCCACGATGATGTTGATAATGGCGACGAGAATTTCGGCCGCGATGAGTACAATCACTATTCTATCATTAGTATCTACTCCTACCAACTTGTAGACTCAGGTAAGCTGGTCGAAAAGAAGCTGTTACTCACCAATCCACTCCAGCTTCTCCCCATGTCCATGACTCAAATGCTGCTGAAGTGCCGATAAGAAGTCCTTAATGACATCGAGGCGTTGCGTTAACACAGCCACCCTCTGATCGATCTCCAAGTAACTCCTGACAGCCTGGTATACAGGCTCCAGTTGGGGTTCCACCCAAAAGAGCTCTGGAGTATCAAGCACTGACCCATTGAGATGGATGCTAATGCGTAATATGAATAGCTCGCCGATTTGCATATTGGTTTCTTTGCGACTGAGACCGACCTTTCCCGTTCCGGCCAGTTGATCGGGTACTTCTTGGCATTTCTCAATGGTGTTTGCAACCAATCCTTCGAAGAGGGAGGTCTTTTTTCTCAGTCAATATAGGTACGTTTTGGGGGTGGAGGAGGTACGTACCTTTACACTCTGCGCCAACGCATGCGAAATTGCGAGCTTTGACATATAATTATTTTTTTCCCTCAGTGTAATGAAGTCATTATATATCCGCGCCTGGTATTCTTTAGTATAGTAGAAATTGAAGCATTCAGTCTCCATGTCGTCAGGTGCCAACTTCTCACTCTCGAATTTGGCAATTTCTTTTAAAAATCGTTGCTCGTGTTGTAAAGTCATGCCCCAGATAACGACAACGCCGTAATCGAATAAGAAGACCTCGGGTGTGTGCACATGAGTGTCGAAATCGGGATTGCTCTCCGGGTCGATATGTCCGTCCTCTACCCGTCCTTCCACAATATCATTCATGCGATTCGGTTGTATATGTTCAGCGTCGCCGAGACTCGTGTCGCCTCCCACGGTATGTAAATCTATGAGATCTTCCCGTCGGTGCTTATTGTTGTCCTCCACCTCAATTGCGCTATCGGAATGCCGTCTCTCTCGAACAGGCACAGGCATTGATTGGACGTCTAACACCCTTTGGGAAGCCGGCCGTCCGTAATTGTAGGGAGTGTATATACATTCATCGAACAGCTTCGGGTTCGCCCCTCTTGTCTTCCCTCGCCCTTTCAAGAATCGCATAAGACTCTCCATCTGGTATTTATTCGCCGTGCAGTATGCGGTCACTCGTGGTAGGCGGCTCCGGTCTGCTTTCCCCAGTCGCGCAGCATCACGGCGTGCCGTAGGATCTTTGATACGTGTGTACTGTGAATACACATCCCTCCCACTCTCTTCATCCGGGCCTTCTTCGCCAAATTCGGGGTTCGGGAGAAGCTTGAGCTTTTGTGCATTCTTACTCGTTCTTTGAGGGCCGATCTTGGGGATTGGTTGATTGGAGGGAACAGGGAGGAGAGGAGAGCCATAACTGTTTCTTCGGCGGAGTTTGCTGTTCAAAGCGGACAGACCTGCAGGTGGCGCATTCTGGGGTGTCGCTGAGGCAGAGCTCTGTTGCACTGGGCGAGGTGCAGTGGCACCACTGGGAGTGCCAATTGCTGGATCCGAAGAGATGATCGAGGGATTAGGATTGAAGGTAACATTCCGGCTGGGTCTTGTCTGCTGCTCGGACAAAGATGCATCTTGGAGGAAAGGGGTTGTCTCACTGGACTCCATGCTGGATAAAGTTGCCGACGTGCAGTTTGGCAGAGCGCAGGCAATTGGAGACACTAGACGTCTGCAGGTCGTGAAGCCATTAAGACACCAGATATCAAAGACTCAAAAACAAAGATGCAGAAAAGGAACTTGAGTTTGGTCGACTAGGAAAAGGGTCCATGAAATCCCAATTCCTTGAGAATGTTCAAGAAAGAAGTCAAGGTCTGCTCTGTCCCAGCATGGATGACGTGGAGTAGCATAACATCTCGCGAAAAGCACGTGGTCCGTGCCAACCCCGATAAACAAGAGCTATCTTACCTTGGCTTAGCTTACCTAGGTATCTTAAGGTACTGCACGGCATACATCTTACCGTGAGGGATATGTCAATTATTAGACTATCACAGCAAGTATTCTCCCTTACAACATCCCACAACAAGTAGTTTTAGTACGAGGCAATTCTAGAAAGATCCCCGACTATGTCTGCGCAACTCGTCTGCCCTGCGAAATCATGGTACAGCCTTTTTCCGGTCATTATACCTACATATATACGTGTCTAGCATCCTTGATATCCTCCCAAACGCCAGTTACCTTCGCTCAGTCAATAATCCCGTTCCCTCGAACTCCCTATGCACGATTAACAGCAGTGAAACCACTGACTTCTCCCCCAGAGCGCGATCCATCATCTCCATCCTCACCCATCTCCACATCCTCATCTGCTTCCGCCGTCTGTCTACTCTCTCCATCAAAACCGCTCTGCCCTGCTCCTGTCCCTCCAACACTGGCCTCCTTCTCTGCGTCCGAGGTTCTCTTCATGCCTTCCAATCTTCGCTGAAACTCTCCCCGTTGCTCCTCATCCATTTCCCGCCATCCCGTAGCCAATGCTCTCTCGACATCGAACGTTCCATCGGCTATAGCCTTGCGGTTCTTGACTGTAATGACGGACCGCAAATCGTTGCAGTATAGATCGAAGGCGGTCTTAGGTCGTTTCTGTGGAGGCGTGGATGTCCTGCTGGCAGAAGGGTTGGGGTGTCCATTCGCGGGCAGTTGGCGTTTGCTTGGGAGCGTTGGTGCTGCATTAGAAACAGAGTTCAACTCTGGGTGTGTGTGCGAGAATGCGTCCGAGCTGGGGGACAGCGTAACAGGTCCTTGCTGAATAAAAGTGCTGCCCGTGCGACCGTCAAGATTTGTCAAGAAGGAAGGCTTGCGATGGCCGCGCTTGGTTCGGAGAGGCTTTTCCTTAGGCTTGGTAGCGTTAGCATGCTGCTATGATCAACATTTGACAAGATATGAGCGGAGTGAAGCGTACAGTAGGTGGTGGACTTGGGCTTCCTTCGGAGTCTTCGACATTGGTGCTAGTTCGTTTGGCAAGTTGTTCAAGGAGAAAGGCACGCTCTAGTCGCATCTTCTGGACAGAGCGTTCCATGCGGATAATGCGCAGACGCGAGGCATCGTTGGCTTCTTCAACTTCGTTCATGCGCTGTTTGAGTTGGATGCACTTTCGTCGGTAAGCTTCTTCAACAGAAGGCGGGAGAGGAGGTGGTATTGCTCCTGCGAATCTCGTTAGACGCGGTGTTGGAGAAGTTGTATGATCTGAATAGCAGGAAGGAGGACAGGAGTGTGGGCGATGATTGTCTAGGGATACCATCGGCAAGACAAGCTGCAGTTTGGGCGCTGACCAATTCCCAGACATGGTATCACAGAAACCTTTTCAATGGTGTACTTGGATTTCAAAGTCCCCATCGTGTCCAGAAATTGATGCGCACGAGACACACCAACTGGCGCATTCGAGGACAACACTGGGAAAGTGCGCTCCCTCTGAGGGGTCGGGGATTGCCCAAAAAAAGATATCGCTGACTCACCATGTGGAGGGGCCATTGTAGAGAATATCTCGAGAGATTCGGATTCGAGAGTTGATTGAAGTTGGAAAATATAGGTAGATGTTTCTGTCCAGCCGTTCACAAACGACGCAATGAAGCTATTCGGATCGCGGAGCATAGATAGTCCGGTATGCCTGAGATGTAGGGCACACTTCGCGTGGGCTGAATTTTTGTGCCAGGCAACGCGACTTTATGGCATCAGGAGCTTCGAATATCATCCACCATCTTGACAGACTCACTCCAACCAAACAGCCAAGATGTCTCTGAACATCCCAAATGCACCGAATTCCGGCTTGTTCAAGCAAGGATATCAGAAGTGGGCTCTTCTTTCTACCTAGAGATGACACCATCAACTAACATGCTATAGCTATGAATCTGAAGATGGCGCCGTTCTCCGTAATATCGATGCCTGTCGCACTATAGCTTCGACTGTTCAGACATCATTGGGACCCTATGGAAGGAATAAGATTGTCATCAATCATCTGCAAAAGATGATTCTGACATCTGATGCTGCGACCATCCTCCGCGAGCTCGATGTTGTGCACCCAGCAGCAAAACTTATCGTTATGGCAAGTCAGCAACAAGAAGCAGAGATGGGAGATGCAACGAATATGGTCATAGTACTTGCAGGAGAATTACTCAAGAAGGCTGAGGATCTGCTACGAATGGGCTTGAAGACCAGCGACGTGATTCTTGGATACGAGCGTGCGCAAAAGTTTGCTTTAGAGGAGTTGGAGAAACTTGCTGTGGACAAAGTAGAGAATATGAGATCACAAGAAGAGCTTAGCAAGGCCATCCGAACTGTCATTGCCAGCAAACAGAGCGGTAGCGAGGATTTCCTTGCAAATATGGTGGCGGAAGCTGTTCTGGCTGTGCTTCCAAAGAACCCTGTCAACTTCAATGTTGACAATATCCGTGTGGTCAAGATTATGGGAGGTAGTCTGGAACAAAGCAGGGTAGTCAAGGGTATGGTCTTCGGTCGGGAGCCAGATGGATCAGTCAAGAAGGCGACAAGAGCCAGGGTTGGTGTATTCTCATGCCCAATTGATATCAGCCAGACAGAAACGAAAGGGACGGTGCTGCTACATAATGCGAAGGAGATGTTGGACTTCACAAAGGGAGAGGAGAACCAGCTGGAAACTGCCATCAAGGAACTCTACGACTCTGGTCTTAGAGTTGTTGTTGCTGGTTCTACTGTTGGCGAGCTGGCGATGCATTACCTCAACCGTTTCGGCATCCTGGTCATTCGCATTCTCAGCAAGTTCGAATTACGAAGATTATGCAGAGTTGTTGGAGCCACACCATTGGCCAGATTGGGGGCGCCGATGCCAGACGAGATGGGCAGCGTCGATATCGTCGAGACGCTCGAGATAGGTGGTGACCGTGTGACGGTCTTCAGACAAGAAAATGAGACGACCAGAACGGCTACACTCGTCATTCGAGGTGCAACTCAAAACCATCTGGACGACATTGAGCGTGCCGTTGATGATGGTGTCAATGTTGTCAAGGCTATCACAAGAGATCCAAGGCTTGTCCCCGGTGCTGGAGCTACAGAAATGCAACTTGTCGAGCGGATACAGGCTTTCGGCGACGTTACTCCCGGTTTATCTCAATACTCGATCCGAAAGTTCGGCGAGGCATTCGAGGTCATCCCAAGAACGCTGGCTGAGAGTGCCGGGCTGGACGCGACCGAAGTGCTGAGCAGACTGTACACTGCCCATCACAAGAAGGATAGTTGGACTACTGGTGTTGACATAGAGGTAGGAGTTTTTTGCTCTAATTATCAGGATTGTACTGACCAGTTATAGAATGAGGACGAGACTGGAACGCTTGACGCAAAGGATGAAGGCATCCTCGATCTCTTGATCTCAAAGAGTTGGGCTATCAAACTAGCCACCGAAGCTGCTAGAACTGTTCTTGCTGTTGACCAGATTATTGTTGCGCGACAAGCTGGTGGGCCAAAACCCCCGGGACCCAACGCTGTAAGTTGATACACATCTCCACAATTGGGCTGTAGCTAACGGTGATAGAACTGGGATGAGGATTAGATGTACTTTAATACAGGCGCTCGGATGTGTACAATACCATTAGAAAAGCGATTTCAAAGTGACATGAGACACAATATCCCAAATAGCCGTGCAATTCCCCTCGCCAAGTCTAAGGTCCCCGGTGAGCTTTGTCCTCGAACAGCTTAAACTAATAGGCGCCGTCTTCTCAACAGCCATCTATCTCTTATTATTTGCAACATGCCTGTAACGAGAAGGGTATGTGATATGCCAGCCTTGTCAGCCTTGCGGGGTCTGTGACACTTGTCTCAAGCGAGCAGCCAGCCCGCCGTGTTTACATTGACCGTATTTACATATCTCCTCTCCTTTCATCACTTATCCAATTCTTGATCTCTTCTGATCTATTAATTTCCCGATTTCCATATCCCAATTCCCCAACATGCCAACCCCGCATCTTCCTACCACCCCAGAAGCCGCCCACTCACCCCGCTTCACCCCATTCCCCCATCTCCCCCTCGAGCTGCGTCTCCAAATTTTGGACCTTGCCCTGCACACTCCCCGCACCATCCACATCACCTGCCACAAATCTCCCTTCCACGCCCGCACGCTCGGGATCCCACGCACCGTCGAACGCTTCAGCAGCCAGCCCCTCGCAGCCCCGAGGATTAGGGTAGGATTATGGATGGGGAGACTGGGAACGCTGGTTAAGAGTTTTGGGTGGGGGGGTGATATAAAGTAGGTAGGTATGTACTGCGGCTGTGGTATCGCTATTTTAAAATCAAATATCAAAATAAAAATGAAAAAGAAAACAAAAGCAACAATGATTTACATATAACGAACAGAAGAATATTCAATCAAAATCAATCATCCACTTCCCTTCCCTTCCCTCTCCATCCATACCCTACCATACCATTTATAATACATTTTTCTTTAGGGATCATAAAGTAAGTAAACAAATAACCAGGAAAAGAAATAGGGGGGGGGTGCTTTAGTGGGGTGAATAAACCGGAAATGGGAGGGGAGAGGGGGGGCGTAAGGGGGATTCTTTATGTTATCAACTCTGATTTTATTAATGAATTAATTAGTTGCGAACTTTGATCTATTTGGTATACATTAGGTAGGTAGATGTTTGACGTAGAATTCCCTCCAGTATATAAAGAAAGATTTACAAGTTTATAACCTATTGCTCATCTCTGCGAAAACGCCCTTCTTGTATATCAATAAAACCGTCTCGTAGTAAATTTTCCCCCAGTTCACTCAAATCAGAGAATCAAAGCGATATACCTAACCACTCTATATGCCCCCTTTCCCACAAAGCCCTCTTCCTTTCTCCGGGGCTGAGGGAGGAAGAAGGAATCACGTGAATCCGAATGATGATCTCACTACTGGGTATCGACCCCCTCGACTATTTTACTCAAAGAGGTAAAAACGGAATGCCAACCCACAAACTAAAAAAAATGAGTCTGTCATTCGCACGGTGTAGGAGCTGGCGGGCTCGCGGTCGTCGCCTGGTTTTGCAACCCGAAGGCACGTCTCATAATACGCTCACACACATACACATACACCACATATATATGCCTGATTGGGAAGATCCCGAAGAGAGGGAGGGATATTAGGAAAAACGAATTATTATGGCGAGCAGTATAGAGACGGGAGCAGACACGGGATCCGGGACTGCTGCCACGGCGCTCTGGAGACTCGAGACTATTCCGGGGAAAGGAAAGGGGTTAGTCGCTACGGGGGACATCTCTCCTGGGACACTGATCCTAAGCGACGCGCCCCTGATCACGACGGACGTGATCAAGTCCATCGAGAGCACCGAGCAGGATCTCGCGCGCGCTCTGAAGGCCCTCCCCAAGGAGTCCCAACGCGCGTACTTGTCGCTGCACAATAACTATCCCGGCAAGAACCCGCTCAGTAACATCGTCCGCTCGAACGGCTACCCCCTGGGTCCGGGCTCCGACGTGGGCGGCGTCTTCGCAAACGTCTCCCGCATCAACCATAGCTGTCGTCCCAACGCAAAGCACTCCTGGAATCCAACGCTCCAGAAACAGACCGTGTACGCGATCCGCCCTATCGCCGCCGGCGAGGAGCTCTCCCTCTCGTACCTCTCCGGCGGCACCTACAGCGAGCGACAGGAGCAGCTCAAGAACCTGTTCGGTTTCTCCTGCGCCTGTGAGCTCTGCACGCTGCCCCCGGACGACCGCCGCGCCAGCGATAACCGCATCCGGCGCGCGCAGAAGCTCAACGAGTCTATCGGCGACTGGGACAAGTGCCGCTACTCGCCAGCCCAGGTGCTGCGCCAGGGCCGCGAGCTCATGGCGCTGTATCGCGAGGAGGGGATTGTGGATGATCACCTGCCGAATTTGTACTATGACATCTTCCAGGTGTGCAATATGCACGGGGACCAAGCGCGCGCGAGTGCGTTTGCAAGCAAGTATTGCGAGCTGAAGCGGCTGAGTGAGGGACCGGAGAGCGCTAATGTGCGCGAGGCCATGCCGTATGTTGCGGATCCGAGGAAGCATAAGGGGTTCGGGAAGACGCAGGATTGGAAGACGGATTTGGATCAGATCCCGAAGGGATTGGATGATGAGGATTTTGAGAAGTGGCTTTGGAGAGAGAAGGTTTAGGACTTGTCGTTGGATATCGGTTTCGCAAATTGTCCTCGAAGGGTCTCCGGCATAATGATAGAGGAGTTTTGGAGTATTCAGTTAGTTCGCTGGGATCTAAAGAGAGAGAAAATCCAAGTATTTCATGTGATGATTCAATCGAGCAATCATGTTCAGCAGAAGTGGAATAACCAAACAGAAACTGCTTATAGCTTACCTATTCTCTGCTCTCTAGAGCCAAGTCTATAAGTAGCCCCAAGACCTGAAAGATACAAGACTTTGAAAGACTTCAAAAGACTTCACGAAGTCTTCCATCTCTCCGTTTGATGTCTCCCGTGTCAATCACGTGACACAAACATTGTGAATAACCAGGTAAAGGTAAAGTACTTCAATCTTGACCAAGTATCTGCAAGAAACACCTGAAATGTGCCACGAGACGAATACTTGTTCGTACTTTTGAGACTTCATTAGCACAAGTCCGAAGTCTTGCCTCAAGGAAATCTTTGAGAACCAACATCAATGGTTATGAATTTGACCTGCCTTGTTTCTTCCACATGGTCAGGAGCGTCTGCATGATACCTATAACTCGTCGTGCTCGAGCACAAACAGCCTTGTCTGTGTAGGCAAGAAGCCGATACAGAACATCTCATCTCTTCCAGTTCGTGACTTGACAGGTGAGCGTCTAGCAGCAAATTTATTTCCCGGTTGAGGAAAGTGGAACGCGCCGGCTGGAAATGGAACTTGGAATTAAAAAATGCGACGTGTAGCAGGTAGTTTGATATCAGAATCTCGACGGGAGAATTTTCAATTTTCGTCTTTGAACCTGAATTGTTACTGCGATAGCCTGAGCTGTAGGTGAGCCAGGCTGAGCAGTGAGTCTAAGAAGGTGAACTAAGGTATGGTCAGTGGACAGGGGCTCGTTTAGGCTCCTCGGCTACGACTGCCGCCGGCTAAAATTAGAAAAAGTAGCTAAAGAGCCGCGCCAAACGTCACTTACCGAACTTCGCAAATTCAACTTGAACGTACCTATGCAAGCACATACTGATCGATATATTATACCTTATACTGGAACATAGCCCGAAGACTCACCGAAAAACAAGGATGAAACTCCTGTAAAAACAACGGTATTCTCTTAGTTCTCATTGGTCTGCTACCCGGTTCGCTGCCTCAGGCCTCTCTATACGCGCTGTACGCGCCATCTCACCTATCCTATACCTACCTCCCTACCTATATATATATATATATCTTTACGCATCCAAATCCTCCTTTCTACCTGAATAGGCAACAAGCACTCGAACAGGAACAGTACAGGTGCCAATAAGTGACCGGAAAAAACCGCAACTGACGCATTCCAGAATAGAGCTCCTGGAAGCGCGTGCTTCTGAGCTTCTTCATCCTCCACCTTGGGAGGCTATCAATGCTGTCAACGCATTATAATGAAACTCTCCTTTTGCATTTCCGACCCGCTTACATCGAGCTCTACTCGTAAAGCTATTCGAAGCAACGAACTCTGGCGCTGTCAACAGCAAGGCTCTCGCCGGACGATGAATGCCATGGCAATGCCCGTCTTTCGAAAGCAAAAGGATGACGGTTCGGGTAAGCTGGGGCCATCTAGTTCGAGGTCTAGGAATGTTTTGCTCATCTCGTACCCCAGAGGAAGAAATCTCAGAAGTTGAGCTTTATCGATACACTCGATACCGGTGGCTGTACGACACCGACTATTCTCGTATGGTCAAGTGAATTAACAACATCTAGATGCAACGAACCTGAAAACCTTGCGATGCGTTATCGCAAATTCAACATCTCGGCCCTCGTAGATGCCGCCGTCAACGCTGCTGGCAACTGTGCCAGATCTTGTAAGATTCTATCTCCATCATGCCCAGTGAAATCTCTTGATCCCGAAGCTGCGGCAGTTTAGAGTCGAACCTAATATTTGTATGATCTTAGGTGTCAAGCTACTGAAATGTACCGAGGGTCAATACAACAAGGCATTTCTTATGACTATGGATAATGGAGCAGAGGTTCTCGCAAGGATTCCTAATCCCAACGCTGGTCCGGCTTTCTACACGACTGCCTCTGAGGTTGCTACACGGCACTTTGTATGTGACTTATCATGCTAGTGTTGGTGATGAAATTCTGACGGGTATGTTCTAGCTACGTACAGTCTTGAACTTGCCCGTCCCACGCATATACGCATATTCTTTGGACCCACTCAATCCAGTCGGTGCCGAGTACATTATCGAGGAGAAAGCAAGAGGCAAACCATTAGGGAGCCTTTGGTATCAGTGGCAAACAGAATCACAACTCGATCTTGTGACTCAGCTCGTTGACTTTGAGACAAAGCTGGCGTCGGTTTCATTTCGGAGACATGGTTGCATATACTACAAGAAGGATTTGGAAAAGAAAGGTCTTCCTGCCTATGATCTGGAAGCCGAGTCTCTATCGTCTGATGGTCATACGAGCCGGCTCAACTCTGAAATAACAAAGGAGTTTGCGCTTGGGCCTTTGACTGAAGCAAGATTGTGGGAAGGCGAAAGAGCTACGATGAATTTAGATCGAGGTCCATGTAAGTTATTTACGCCCCTTTGAGATAAGTATTCTGCTGACCTGACAAGGGAGCACTCCTCTATCCTACATGGCAGCCATGGGAATTAACGAGATACAATGGGCGACAGCATACGCAAAGCCCCAAATAAACGTTTACCTATCTATTGAAACGCCCGAATCTCCCGATGAATACATTTCACTATTGAGACGGTACCTTCAACTCGTGCCCCATCTATCGCCTGGTCCGTTCCGAACATCGCTCTCGCATCCAGACCTTCACCTAGATAACATATTCGTTGATTCAGACACGAAGAAAATAACCTTTATTATTGACTGGCAGTCGGCCGCGGTATCTGAGCCTTTTTTCCAGCATAGTATCCCGCGTATGCTTATCCCGGTCGGCCCTTGCTCCCCTGGTGAACGATTAGAGGCTGCGTTAGAAGAATCTAATGCAAGAGAAGACTCAAACGGGACTGTAGATCTGCTCAGCCATTATCAAAACCTTAGCAGGCTTAAGAATGGGCAACGGTGGGCCGCAATCAATCTACACAATCGCTCGCTTCTGACCGAACCTGTATCTTTGCTCTGTGGCGCCTGGAGCAGGAATGACGTATTTTCTTTTCGTCACGCCCTGATACACGTAGCTGCTCGATGGAAGGAAATTGCACCAGCCACGACGCCTTGCCCTATACAATTTACGGAGCACGAACTAGAGCTCCATAACGATGAATTAGAGCTTCTGGAAGGTCTTGGAGAAGTCCTGCACCAACTTCAGAACGATAACCTGGTCCCACTAGGCGGCATGGTTCTTCGAGAAAACTACGAGCAGGCTTTGCGTATCAACAATAGCGTTAGGGAGATGTTTGTCGATATGGCTGAATCCGAATCGCAGAAAGTTCTCTATTCACAAATATGGCCCTATCAAGACCGAGATTCGTGAAGATACGATTTCAGCTGTCACGACGTGTTTCCCGGCAGTGGGACCCTTGACATTCTCAAATAATGAATGAAATATCTGACGTGCATTAGAGGGTCCTGAATGTATGCAAGGTAGTGCAGACCTGATCAGTAGTCGTTCCCCTCTGCTGTTGGAGTTGACGAGGCGATTTGAACTGGTGGGGTCAGCTCCAACCGCCCGCTGCCCTCGGTTCGTTTGACCCTGACGGCGCATTTCGAGCCCCGTGTTACTGTTCAGTTGGTTGGCGTCGCATTTAGCGAGAAGAGCAGAGGCTGGGAATGCGGCTCCGTTCTGCTGAGCGGTCAGGAAATAAAACGTTTTGGAGATAGAATTGGGTCTCCAGAAGAGGTTAGAGGAGTCGGTACGAATCCGAGAGGGAAAAAGGAGAAAAGGGGAAAAGGGGAAAAGTAATCGACCACAGCCACCAATAGTCTATCTCAATTCTGGATGTTCGATTGGCATTCCAAATTGAAATCACCGACCGGTAGTACCTAAGGGTCAAGAAGTCTTCAGGCCACGATATCCGGCACACCTAGCTGCAACAGTGCCAATGTAACTATACTACAAAACCTTCCACAGAGGGTTGCTTGCCAAAACTTATGAATATAGATTTTCAAAGATGTGAAAGCTGACATTCCGGACATATCTCCGAAATTATGGCAATAGCAGGAACTGACACAATTTTCCGACATAGATCGCCAGGTTATTTGGGTTTGCTTGCGTTACGATTAATGAGGGTAACACCAAGTTAGCACTCCCGACTCCGAGAGATGGCTTTGCCGATAGTGGTATGCGGTGCTACTGCAACGCTTCGATTCGAGTTCTAGCGTTGTCAGATTAGATCAAGTTACTCCTTCATCTGACCACGCGGCTCGAGTAGAAACCACCGCGCGAGGCAAGGCTTCGGGCTCGAGCCACAGAAGACTTCTTTCTGGTGATCTCAGGTAGGCTCTTTGTTATCATCACTCAACGCGCAAGGGGTTCTTGGTGTCCCTGTGCCTTACCCAGGTACGGGAGGAAGAGGAGGAGGAAGAAGAAGAGAAGCGAGTCATGTGGCTAGGTAGAATCCTCAGCCACGAGTCGTACAGAAGAAGATAAATGAATCATCTCAGAGGAACAGAAACAGATGCGACTCGAGAAAGGAGAAAGAGAGTGTGAGAGATGGATATGCGCGAGGGAGAAAAGGAGATGAAGGTTTGTTTGTAGGGGGCGCGCAAGGCTGAGGGGGGACGAAGTGTAAGGTCAGCTGACCAACCGTTGGGTGATACAGTGCTACGGTGGCACTGTTTGAAGGGAGGTGACGGGAGAGAACATGGCGCACAATGGGGAGGATTCCTGCATTCAGGAGATGGGTGATGCGAGAACAGCAGTAAGTATCGCTGGATCGGTGTATGTATCGATAGGTATGTATATGTGTCGATAAAGACATAAGTAGATATGCGATAGTGATCCTGATGAATGGTCGACGATGGATGATGGATGGTTTTTCTTGGGGCGGGGCGCTAAGGGGGCCGATCCCTGCGCGTCGGGTGGAAATAAGTATATTAAAGTGGCCTCGCACTCCCCCGACCGATATACTCTCGCATTATTCTTGCATTACTCTGCTCGCCTAACCTAATGCTCGCTTGGCTGTTCGTCGCTTATTCGTTGTCTGCCACCGAATCGCTTCTCTTGCCCCATTCGCCCCTTCGCCTCTTCGCCTCTTATTCGCCCATCCGCCCCTGATCGTGGCTCGCCCTCTCATCTCCACTCCAGCCCTCGGCCTTTTAGTAAATCCGGTCACCGATTCTCCGATCCTTCATTGGAATTTGGCCCCTTCACCGCCCGCACCGCCACTTGGCTCCTTTGGGCCCAGGCCCCTCAGCCACCCCACCCCGGTGCCGAGCAAAAGGCGGGCAGAACCCGACGGGGCCTCAGGCAGCCACCCGTCGGTAGTAATCAGCCCCAGGCTCCAGCGCGCTGCATTAGCCGTGCATAACACACCGCCCCAGCGCCCACCGCCTTCACATCGCCCAAAACGGTCATCGAGCGAACGAATGGTCGAAAATAATAAAAATAATGGACGCTGCTGGTACATATGCGCCTCAATCCCCCGATCTCTCTTCTTTCCTCTCCTCCCCATCCGCACAACACCATCCTCATCCTCAATCACAATCACAATCACATCCACCACAACCACCACCACCACCACAACCACTCCCCTCCTACGATCCCTCCTATTCCACCTCCTACGCTCCACGCTCCCCCACTCTGCCATCCGCCAATAACCACCCTTCAAATCCGCCTCCACATCAAGCCCCGAACCGACCCCACCACCAAAATCTCCACGCCTTTCACCCCCCTCAGCCGCCGAGCTTTGGGAACAACTTTTCCGACGACGGCAGTACGCGGTACATGCCCCCCGTCCCCACCCCATCAACCTCGCACGCCTTCGCACCCAACTCAGCAACCTTCTACTCTCCCCCGCTCAATCCCTCCAGCACCTCCTACCAGCCCCCCTCCAGCACCAACCAAGCCCACGACAACCACCACCCCGGCGCTACGATGAGCACGCGTGCCGGGCGGGGCGGGGCGCGCGTGAAGGACGAGCCCGCGACCACATCCACGTCGGCCATGACGGCAGCAGCAGCAGCAGCATACAAGAACCCGAACCCGCAGGGCATCGAGATCAAGACCAAGTTCCCCGTGGCGCGCATCAAGCGGATCATGCAGGCGGACGAGGAGGTCGGCAAGGTGGCGCAGGTGACGCCCGTCGCGGTCAACAAGGCGCTGGAGCTGTTCATGATCGGGCTGGTGACGGGGGCGGCGGAGCGCGCGCGCGAGAAGGGCGGGAAGAGGGTCACGGCGCAGCATCTGAAGATGGTGGTCGAGGCGGACGAGCAGTTTGATTTCCTGGGTGAGATTGTGGGGAGGGTGGCCGAGGTGCAGGAGAATGCGGGAGGAGAGGGGAAGAAGAGGAAGGAGAAGGTCGGCGCGAGTGATAGTGAGGAGGAAGAGAAGAAACCGAAGAAGGGGAAGGGAAGGAGGAAGAAGAATGATGATTAGACGTTGGGCTTTTGGCATCGGGCGGTTGGAAGGGGAATTTTGGGGGTTCTATCTTGGGAGACTGGGAGAATTCGGGGATCGGATGGCGTTCAGGGCTAGCATTCACATAGCGAATTAAATGCTGACTTTTCGAGGGAGGCTGCAATAGAGTACGCTTCCCAACTCAATATCCTCTTCTCCTGTCTGAGCCAGATTTGCCCCGTGGGAATGACGCCAAATCCTCCCCAACGAATTCAGAATCATGATTTCGAACTTTTTACATAGGTATCTATGGCACACAGTCCACATCCACGTCTACCTCGCCTCAGAACTTCGCATCTCCAAGCATCTACTCGTCCATCCATCTAATTCCCCGAAAAAAAAGGACACCCCAAACACCGACAAAAACGCTATTCAAATCCCAACTCCTTTTACTCTTTACATACCCAGTCAGATCCTAATCACAGTCCCGGATCCTGATTTCTGGGATGGGGTCTATGGGGTGTAGGATGACTAAGGCGGGGTCAGGACGAAGGGAAGGAGGGGTGGGATAGGTGAGTGAGTGAGTGACTTACGGCTCTGAGACGCTGCTCGATGGCGCCTTATAGTATAATAACCGCTTGCCATCTCACAGCAAATGATACCGAGCATGGCTGGCACTCCATGCACGAAAATCGAAGATATATCATGCGCCTCCATGACACTCAGCTTTGCAACTCAGCGAAAGGAAAGGAAGAGAATCAAGACGATGTGGAATCCTGATTGATTCTCCAATCATCCATCATCTTCAACGCTTGTTCCTTGACTTCCGGCAACTTCTCCGCCTTCTCTAACCATCTCATGCCCTCCTCCGCCTGCCCCTCCGCTTTACAGATCTGCGCCAGGTTCAGCATGCTCGGCCCAAAGCCATCCGCAGCCGCGACCTGGAACCATTCCTTCGCCATGCCAAACTCGCGAACGGGGCCGGCGCTCGCGGCCCTGAGGCGGGCCAGTTCGATAGCGCCGAGATTATGCCAGGCCTCCAGGATCCCCGACGACGCCGCTTTCAAGAGATACACTTCCTGCTGGCGCGAATTGCGCTCTTCCAGCTGCGAGAGATAGAAATACGCCGTGGGGTTATCGAGCTCGAGCGCCGCGGTGCGGAACGCCGCCTGGGCGCCTTCGACGTCGCCGCGGGATTTCAGGATCTGCCCTTCGCTGACGAGGGCTTCGCTCGCGTCCTCGAAGTCGAGGCCCGCGGGGCCGCGGGTCGCGCGGCGAATCCAGTCCAGGGCTTCGTTTTCTTTGTTTTGGGTGAGGAGGAATTTCCCCAGGAGCGCCATGGCGCGTGGGTTGCCGGCTTTGGCTAGGGTCCCTAGACGTTTGAGAGGGGAGGCGTAGTCTTTGAGAACACCGGTCCGGAGGGCTGAGGAAATAATGTAGAAAGTCGCGGACTCTTCGCCGAGTTCTGAAGCAGATAGCATGACTCTCCTCGCTAGGCTTCGCTGGACGTGTTTAGGACACCGGTTGAGGATCATGGACAAGAGAACAAGAATGGATGGATTTATCTCGAATTCTAAAGCTCATCAGTACGAATATTCTTGAGCTTGAAATGGTTGAAGCTTACCTTTACATAATCTTTGTTCCCACCCGACAGTAGCACCTCGCTCAAGCTCCTGGTACCGACGCAGTACATCCATTGCCTTATCAGGGCTGATCTCTAAAGCACCGGATTTGCTTGCGGATTGGAGGAGGACAATTGGTGGGAGAGCCTTCTCTGGATCTATCATTGGCCGGTTGATCGCAGGGCCTTGTGCTTTCTGCGAAGAAACAAGGAGACTTGGCGCCCGTTGGACTCGGCGGCTGGCTTCTAAAATAGATGTTGTATGCAGTAGCGATCTTGGGCTTAAAAGTCTGCAGTTCTTCCCGATGATGGGAAGATATCTTCGGAAGCTCGACATGGTTGCGCCTCAGCACGTGTCGGCTTGAAAAAGATTGTGTTTGGAGACGCAAAGCAAATATATATGTTTATTTGGCCCAAATCCAAGCGGTGCATGTGATTTCTTCCTCAAAACTTGCTAATACGGCTCCCAAAAATTCCTCGACCTTGATCTAATTTTAGCCGGTGACAACAGTTTTAGCTACAATAAGCGGCCCAGCTCACCTTTCAGAAACAAAAGCAGATTTGTCCAGGCGAGGATCTAGAGATAGTATCGCGACTTTCTTTCGGTGGTGCAGCAGCAGCCAGAAGACGTGTAGTCAGGGCGGTGACAGACGCGATGCTATGATAGGCAGCATAGGGGCTGGGATTCTGCCGGCCGAAGATCTACCGCACGTCGAAAATTCTAACTTTTCTTCCGCAGCACTAGACCAGATAACAACACTCCACCGCCTTTACCTTTCAGATGCTCTCCAAACTCTTTAACTCCGCCGTAACCTTCTTCCACTCTGCCCCACCAACCAAAGGCACTCAAAAGAAACAGCTCGGAACCAGGTCGCCGCTCAGGGAGATGGTCACGACTAGAGGTCAAAGCGGCAAGCATGCCATTGACACTGGATCCATCGCTGACGATGCCAAAGTGGTGGGAACTCCTGGAAGTTCGAGAAAGCGACAAAGAAAGGCCGGAAACTCAGAGGCCCTGGAGCTAAGAGACAATGGTGATGCTAGAACTCCCGCAACGAAGAAACAGAAGATTCTCTCGACAGACGGTGGGGAGAGTAGAAGTTCCTCAACGAAGAAAGGAAAGGCTCTCCCGGTACGCGCCAAGGATGACGAGACGCCAAACAGAAAGACCCGAGCTGTGGTGGAAATCCCGGCCTTTCAGGGTGGATTGGGATCTAGTGGGCGCAAACTGAAAAAATCACGAGAAGAAGTTGCTGAGAACGAGGAGGAGCCACAGAAGAGTGATGCTGATACCTCGCGGGTGGAGGAGGTTCCTGATTCAGAGTCTGAATCTAATGATAACAAGTCCGGGCCAAAGCCCTCCAAAAGCCCAATGCCCCGAGGGAATAAGAAGATGAAGCAAAAGGATTCGGTTAATAAGGAAACTCCTGAGGTCACCGAAGCAATATCAAGCCCAGCCAACATCCCAGCCAAGCCAAAACATAAACGTTTCGGTAGCGAAGAACCAGAGACACCAGAGGTACCAGAAGCTGAGGTGTTTTCGACCGCCCCTGAGATCTTAGAGTCGGAAGACGAGAGCAGCGACGACGACGCCCCAGAAGTGGTAGGAGCCCAAGAGGCATTGGAGACTGCAAAATTGAGGGAGCGTGAGGCTGCAAAAGCTGTTGAAGTGTAGGTGTCCATGCCATGTCTTTCGAACATCACTGATCATATCAGGCAAGAAGCTGCGATTCGAAAGAAACGCAAGGAGCGAGATGCGATTTTGAAAGAACAAGCCAAGGCAGCTGCCAAGAAGCGCAAGCGCGAGGAAGAAGAAATTCAAGTGCCTGTTGAAGCCGGCGTTCTTACTGATGCCCATGAGAACGGAATTGCAAACCCTGGCTCTGAAGATGCAAACGACGATGCTCAAAACAACGAACCACTCACCGCAAAACCCTCCTTAAAACTCACACCCAGGGCCTCCCTCCCTGAATTCCTTCCCGCAGAGTACTTGGAAGAAGATGAAGAGAGCGAAGAGACCCTCCAATTCGAATCCACACCCCAACAGCAACAACAGCCAGTGAAAAAAGCGAAAAAGACGAAATTCACAGACCTAGTTGAGAAGAAGCCGAAGGATATCCGTAAGGGTTCGACGATCTATCGGGTCGCTGAGGCACGTAATATGAAATTGCCACCAAAGTCGTCGTTCCAGGCTAGGTCGGTAAAGGAGTCGTGGTTGCAGGGCAGGTCGGGTTCGGGGATTGGGACGAATCGGAAACCTTTTTCTAATAGCTTCTACAAGGCGAAGTAGATGTTGGTATGGGAGTGATATGGAACGGGTATGGAGAATGAAGTGCTGTTGAAAGCAAGAGCCCGAAATAAGCTTGGCTGATGATCACTCGGGGTGAAATACACTCGATGAGAGGGCACCATACGTGACCCGGTCGAATTAAAAAAGAAGTACGAGATACCTTCTCACGCCATGTTTGCAGCAGACCAACAGCTGTGACATTTCAGCATTATCATATTATTCTCAGCACTGCTATTTTGCTAGCTAAAGTTGTTTTCCCTCCTCTGTGCTGATCGTTTCATCGTTTCTCATCCATTGTGGCTTCACGCCTTGCCTAGTTCTGCGTCAGAAGCCTTTCCATGGAAGGAAATCACTTGCTGCACATGAGCTTCCTAATCCTCTCAGATATCATCTTAATTCCCTTCTGCCTTTCTCTCGTGCCTAAAATCCTAATCAGTATTACTATATCCAAATCGAGGCATAGTCAGGCGAAGATAATACATACTACTCAAGAACAGCGCTGCGACTGGCCATGCATGTATGCCGCCTTTCTCTTCCCAGCTTTCAACTGCAATACCAGCACTCTTCAACAACACCACCCAATCGCGGATCTCCTGTGCAAAAACTTCTTCAGAGCCGTAATGTATGAAAAATCCTTTCGCAGGACTGGCTATCTTCCACCGTTCTGCATTTTTGCAATTCCCAGGCGAAACAAGCGAGCTATTGATTATGGCTTTGTTGGCATATTGATGTGCGTACTGGTGGAGAGTGGTCGGGTTCAGGTAGTCGCCTGAGGTAATTTTGTCTTTGGGCGAAACGAGGGTGACCCAGGGAGAGATGAGGACGGCTAGGCCGGGTCTTATATCTCTAATTTCTTTCCCGTCCGTAATGTTGGCTAGGGTATCCATTGTTATGCTCTCGAGATACAGAAGGAGGCTGAGAATTAAGGTTGCGCCCGCGGAGTCGCCACTCACGCAGATCCTGGCTGGGTCGCAACTGAGTGATAACACATGCTTGTAGCCTGCAATGGTTTGAAGCAGTTGGACGGGATAAGATTTGTCGGGGACGAGAGTATATTCCAGCGAGAAGATGGCGGGGTTCCGGAAGCCGGAAGATTTTAGAAGAGATAGCCATGCTAGGAAGAACTCGAGGTAGAAATAACTGGAGCCCATTGAGAAGCCACCTCCTGTAGAATTAATTTTAGCCAATGATTGACAATGTTGTGTAACAAGACGTACCATGGGCATAGTAAATAACAACATCCGGCTCTTGAAATTGATTTTCAATGATCCAAAGACCTTGAAAATCGTTCTGTGACTAGTGAGCGTTGAATCAGTAAGGCCACTTGCAATGATGACATACCTGTTTGACTTCATGCCAATGTATAGGAGAATGCAGGTACCCGTGCCGGAACATTCGAAATCTCAAAAACGGCAATGCGACGGGCTGCGAGAGGAAGACTCTTCCTATATCGGGAGGGATGTATGCAAATGCATATCGAACACACCGAACAGTAATATCCTCAAACCATGTTGCATGCTGTACGAACGGATCTCGGTATGCACGGTCGAGGATATACCGATCGTGGATAAAACTCAAAGGCAGTTTTATAACTGCACGAAACGTCAGGGACTTCCTTGGAATGCAGTCGCACGAGGTAATGTCCTTGGCACAGGAAGACACTCGAGGAGGCAGAACTAGAGATAAAGATGCGTTGACGTACGGAGAAACGGTAAAGCCTGTAAGCCGCAGCTCAGGGTGCGAAAGAAGCCAGCGTGGGCAATCAATTGCGGGGTCAAAAATACTAAAAAAACAATACAGTCAAGCCAAGAGACCTGTCCCAGTATCATGGTATGGAAGAGATGCAATCTCAACGAGGGCCAATGGCTGAGGGGCAAGCCTTTCCTATCGTTGAGGTACCTTTGTGAATCAAGAGAAAAGGTGTCAACAGATGACAGGATGTTGAATCGTCAAGCAAGCTGCCATCTGAACAAGCCTGGTGAGACACAATCTCCGAGCTGGACTTCCAGCTTTCTAAGAGAAGTTGCGTCTATATAAACAGGTTCTTCTTGTCTGGTCGTCACTACTGTACCGCAGTTCGAGCGCCGAGGTACGAATGCGAGGTCACGTGAAAACTTGCCCGTTTCGGCGTAGTCAGCTCTGAGCCAAAGTTTCGCAAGTTTCGCAAGTTCAGCCTCAACGACAAGTCAGAAATTTATCACAAACTCCAGGTGAATCACCAACAGGGTCCTTTTCCCACTTAGATCTGCCCTGTTGCAGAGAACGGCCGTACACTCGCTTCCTTCTTCGACTTCTTTCTCCCATCGACCTCACGAGAATGTCTTGAGGCGCAACCGCGTTCTGCCGTTCACGTTGTAGAAGTTGCGACGGCGATCTCTGAGGATGGCTGTATCTGCGACCACGGCAGCTCAAGCAGAGCTCATCAGGTTTGTTTTCTCAAAGGTGTTTGACAGCTGTCGTACTGATAGCCGTGCAGCTCGCTCTCCCAAGATGATATCCCGATCAAGCTTCGATGCGCGATCTGTAGTAGGCTGGCTGTCAACGCGTTCCGGCTCCCATGCTGCGAGCAAGCGATATGCGAGACGTGTAAGCATCGCTTTAATCTCCATATCCTCCCGCGACTTGCTAACAATCTCTACAGGCCAGTCAACTCTCCCCTCTTCCTGCCCAGTCTGCGAACATACTCCTGTCGCTGCAGAAGACTGCAAGCCGAATAAGTCTCTTCGAACCACAATCAAAGTTTTCCTGCGAACTGAGGAGAAGAAACGCGAAGCGCTTCGATTGAAGGAGACGAAGAATAGTGCCCCTGCCACGCCTTTGGAGGTTACTGCAACTCCAGTCGAGGCATCTACCCCGGCAGAGGCAATTGAGCCCAACGTAGCTGGCGCAGCAGAGACCAAGTCAGAACCATCTTCTGCCCCTACGGGAGATCAAGTTGAAGAGCCTCCCGCCAATGTTGGTGCTACCGAACAAGCCCAGCAAGCTGAGGCGGACATCCCTCAACCGTCTATAGAGGTATGATCACTTCCGACTCTAACTTAACCATTGTCCGAAAGCTAATTCGAACATAGGAGATCACGCCTGGACAGGAGCCGACAGAGGAGACTGTAGAGACCAATGCTAATTCCGCAGAAGATACAGTTGCCGAAAAGGAAAAGGAACAGACCGATGAAAATGGCGCAAACGATCAGTCGACCACAGGCCAGGACGTCTCACAGACACCCGGGTTTGGAACTGGATTTGGCTTTGATTCCAGTGCTGCTGGAGGCTTCCCTGCCATGGGATTTGGTGGCGATTTCAATCAGATGCAGATGATGATGATGCAAAACGGCATGGCACCAAACGCCTTTGGCAGCTTTCCCATGATGGGTACGTCCGCTCTACGAATGCACATTGAGAAACAAACTAACAAGTAAGCAGGAATGCCTGGAATGAGCATGGATCCAATGATGATGCAGAACATGTTTATGAATGGTGGGTTTGGCGCTGCAGGCATGAACGGCATGAACATGAACATGGGTGCGGGAATGGGTGGCTTCGATGGCGGAGTTGGTGCAGGATTCAATAATGGATGGAACGGTCAACAATCATGGAATATCGGACCAGATAATTTCAATCATCCAAATGCATCAGGCATGGGTACTGGTGATTATGGTTCCAATAACTCTGGGTTCGCTTCCCATGCTGCACGATATAATCAAGGTAATTATGGACGCGGAAACCAATACAATGACTACCAGAACCAGAACTATGGCTACCAACAGCGTGGCCGAGGTAGGGGTCGAGGAGGTTTTGGCCGTGGAGGCTACGGGTATGGTTCAAATGAAGCATTCTCACAACAGTTTCCCCAGCAGTTTGGTTCAGGAGAAGGAGCCAATGGCGCCATGAGTGATACAGCATCTATCCCCAATGGACCGAAGGCGGATGCGGCTCAGGCCACACCCAGTAATGTCGATGAATTTGGCAGAGAGATACGCCAGACATCAGAAGCTAAAGACGGGGCATCAGCCGAACCCGCCTCAAAAGACGACAACACGCCTGCTCCACCCGACAACGATGGAACTGAAGTAAATCAAGATGCTGTACCAAAGGACACATCAGCTCAGCCCGATGACTTTACCCCAAAACCAATTCAGACTCTGGACGAGATTCAAGCTCCCTTCGTCCCAAACGGATTCCATGGCATGTACGGCCCGTCTCGAGGAGGCTTTGGCCCAGGTTTCCCTGGACGTGGTGGTTTCAATTCCATGCAGCCGCCTCCCGTAAAACCGGTCGATGTGCCTCTCAATGCGCCTACAGGACCGAAGGCTATGCGCGAAGGCTTGCCAAATACTGGTCTTTCGGGGTTGAGAGGACGTGCAGCATTCATGCCGTCTGTTGGGAGACCAAGTTCGGTGACCAATGGCAGTATGAGTGCACCACCAGAGCCGGAACCAAGCGACAAAGATGGCAAAGAGCGAGAAAGGAGTAGGTCGCCGTCGAGAGAAAAATCTAAGGAGAGATCCAGATCAAGAGAGAGGAGGAGAAGCAGGAGCAGAGACAGACATCACCGCAGGCATAGGCATAGGTCGACCTCCCTCTCGGAAGACGAGAAGGAGTCTGAACGACGAAGACAACGCAGAAGAGAGCGCCGTCGTCGACGCGAAGAAGAAGAAGCAGATGATCACGAGGATCATGGTTCTAGAGAGAGATATGCTGATGACGACGGAAGAGACGTGGAGGATGAAAGATCAAGATCCGCATCTCCTTCTGATTCTAAACGCTCGAGCCATAGGAGCCGTCGAGACAGGGATAAGTACAGAGAACGAGACAGAGAGAGCGATAGAGAGTACAAATCATCCTCACACAAACACCGCTCCAGCCACCGTCACCGCGACGACAGATCTAGAAGCCGAGATCGAGATCATGAGCATCGACATCGCCATACCCATCGAGGCTCCGAGGACCCTGAAGATAGAGCCGAGAAAACCGACAAATCTATACCCCCGACCCCACTCGAATCAGAAGACGCCGCAGGCAGACCATCAACGAGCTCTAACGCTACTAATGGCATCGAAATCAAAGGTGCGAGCAGCCGTCGCAAAACCGCACTCGACGAGGTAGTCATTCCTACGGGTCCGCGACAAGATCGTCTCTCTGGCCGAGAACGCGAAAAAGAACGTGACAAAGGCAGGGAGAGCCGTCACCATCGGGATGATGATGATTCCCGGCATCGGTCCTCCAGACATCACAATTCCGACCGTGAAAGAGAGAGGGAGCGAGAAAGAGCCAAAGACAAAGAGAGAGAGAAGGACAGAGCGAGAGCAGCTCCTACCGCCCCCGCAGTGCAGGATCCACATACCCTTGAGCGAGAAGCGCGTAATCGGGAGCGGTTACTTAAAGAAGCGCAGCGGATAGCGGGCTTGACGGCTGGGATGGCTGGCGCTAGGAAGCGGAGTCGTGATGATGGCGATGATGCTCGTAAGGGGAGAAAGAAGGGACGCAGAGGTACGGGTAGTGATGAGAGCGACGAGGCGCGCATCGCGAGGCTAGAAGCTGAGAGGGAGAGCGCGAGATGGGATTAATTACACAAAAAATTCGGGTTGCGTTGCGGGAATATATACTCTGGTTGAGAGAGTATGTTTGCTAGCATTACCAGAGATAGCGGATTCATATTTGGGTTGATGGGCTGAAGTGCCCTTGCCATCGCTCTTTGGCCTTTGAATCTGGCGCGAGAGAGAGGCTCTTTGTACGTTATGATAGACAAGGGCGGTAGCATAATAATGCCAGTGATTACATATCCTGAACCACAGCAGATTTCTTAGAATAAATATATACGGCTCATATTTGGTTAGGGAGCATTCATTAACTCTCATAGCTATATGAAAAGGACTATTTAAACGAACCCACTCTCTGAAAGGACGGTCGGAAGACCCACGATTAAACCGGTCGTTCTAACAAGGGAGTGCGGGCAAGCTCCACAACTGGCCCTGAGCTATCGGGCATCCAGGGACCAGATTACATATGTTACAAACCCGGTCCATGCTGAAAACAGAAGGTCACCGCTGGCGATAGGCCATGCTCCGTAATACATCTTGGCCTCGCTGTATTGCGGGAGGGAGCCGGGACTTTATCCTGACTTTCTATAAAAGCCCGTGGTGCCGTGGATTTCTTGGGATATACAGGACGGAGTGACAAAGGGCTTGAGAATAAGCCGTGAGCTACCGAGGTGAGTTTGGACAAAGAGCTACAGTACATTCCCAGCTTGTCGCTATGATGCGATGGATATATCGTGAAGATGAAGTGGGGGTTTGAGCGCAACGTATATTGACAAATTGTAGGAGAACGAAGGAATCTCAATTGAGCCTCCAGGAGCTTGAAAATACCATTCCGCCGTCTGATCATGGTGAAGCTCAGCGCGCTTTATGCCCTCCTCGGGCTGGCGAGTGCAACTCTCGCTGCAGCACCACTCAGTGCGATTGAGAAGAAAGTGCGGGTAAGTCTACATGCAAGGTATTCTTCCCACCCGAAGAGATCTTCATAGTAACGCGGAGAATAGAAAAACACCATTTCCAAGAGAGAGATTCTCAAGAGGGACACTGACCCCACCCTCTTATACCCGGCATACAACATCTCAGTCCCAATCGACCACTTCCACAATGACTCGAAGTACGAACCTCACAGCGACGGCATGTTTAACCTGCGCTACTGGTTTGATGCCACCTATTACAAGGAGGGCGGGCCTGTCATCGTGCTGCAGTCCGGAGAGACAGACGCCAGCGAACGGTTGATATTCCTGCAAAAGGGTATCCTGCACCAGATGGCGGAAGCTACAAACGGGATTGGAGTTGTTCTGGAGCACAGATATTACGGTAGCAGTATGCCCACACCAGACTTCTCAACCGAGAATCTGAGATTCTTGACCACGGACCAAGCGCTGGCGGACGAGGCGTACTTCGCGAAGAATGTCGTGTTTCCAGGATTGGAGGATAAGAATCTCACGGCGCCGAATGTGCCATATATTGGATATGGAGGTAGTTACGCTGGTGCTTTCAACGCATTTCTCAGGAAATTGTATCCGGATGTTTTCTGGGGTAAGTGGCATGCCGCCTTTCTTGGAATACATGGATTGACATAGGACTCTCCGTAGGTACCATCTCTTCAAGTGGAGTCGTTGAAGCTATCTGGGATTACTGGAGCTACTTCGAGCCTATCCGGGTCTACGCAGATCAAGAATGTGTGTCGACAACGCAGAAAATCACGCACATGATTGACAACATCTTGATTGGGCTGAACGACAGCGCAACTACCGCAGAGCTCAAAGGAGCCTTCGGGCTCCCAAATGTCACCTACGATGACGATTTTGCCAGCGTGGTCAGTTATGGAATCGATTCCTGGCAAGGTTTGGTTTGGGACCCGGCAGAAAACGACCCTTCTTTTGATCTGTTTTGTGGCAACATCACCTCGGATTCGATCATATATCCCGATACTAGCAGCCTCACTAGCACGGTGCAGGATCTTCTCACGAAAGGGGGCTATGGATCAGAGGTCTCCAACTTGACTACACCGCTGTTGAATTGGATTGGGTGGCTCGGTCAATACGCCGTTGATTCCTGCCAAGGTGATCAAGACGCCTGCTTCTCAACCCACAACGCAACATACTACGCTCAAGACGACATAACTCAGAGCTGGCGCTCCTGGCCCTACCAAGTAAGCATCTTTCCTTCCCTCCGCCTCCCCGCCCAACCCGAAGACTAACCCACAACAAAAGTACTGCACCGAATGGGGCTTCCTCCAAACCGGGTCCGGCGCGCCCAAAGACCAACTACCCCTAATCTCCCGCACCAACACCCTCGAATACGAGAGCCTCATCTGCGCCTATGCATTCAACATCACCACGCCCCCCAACACCACCGCAATCAACCAATACGGCGGCTTCGACATCTCGTACCCGCGCCTGGCCATGATCGACGGGGAGCAGGACCCGTGGCGGCCCGCGACGGCCCACGCGTCGCCCTTCAACAGCACGGCGCAGAACCGCACCAGTACCGCGAGCCAGCCCTTCATCTTGATCGACGGCGCCGTCCATCATTGGGATGAGTATGGCCTGTTCCCGAATGAGACGGTGGATTCCCCGCCGGATTTCTTGCCGCCCGTCCCTGTCAGGGACGCCCAGGCCGCGGAGCTGCAGTTTGTGTTGGAGTGGATGGAGGAGTGGGAGGAGCATGTTTTGGCCATGAGAGCGAGGGATGAGATGAGAGTCTGAGGGGGAAGACGAGAGGGGCTTAATCACTCAGATAGAAACAAATAGTGAAATGTTTAATGTCTGAATGAGATATCAAGCTTAAAGCATCGAAAACTTGTTCTTTGCGATGACCCACGTTGAATTTAATTTAGTTGCTCTGCTTGAATAGGACGGGAGAATGAGGGATGAGCTAAAGAATATTGGCGGGCAGGGATTGAACCGGAAGTGAGTAAGTAAATCATCCGTCCTTTGGATACCTTATGCTGGAGGAGACACGAGTGGCAGAAGAAGCATGGTGTTCAGTTACACACACGTCAAGCACAAGTCACGCACAACGCCATAAGACCACAAAAATCTTGATTGAGTGATATCCGCCCCCTCAGGTATCTCCACCAACCCTATGCCTCTCTGGACCCAAAAAGACCCAAAAAAAAAAGATGAACCATGATTACTCGACCGCGCATGCAATGCCATGACGAGAAAATCCCAACCAAAACCTTATGTGCAAACACCATGCGCTATGATTAACAAGCAGGTGTGCGTGGGATCCACCCACGAAAGCATTCTCCCTCTAAAAACGCCTCCCAATGCAGTATGCGTTTAATTCCTTTGTTCTCCGAGCTCGCTATCGTATCATCATGCTGACAACCCTGGTCGCTTGTTTCTGGTATTATGCTTCGGGGGTTGAGAGGAGTGGCGCTGCGTTGGATAATGTATGTTTGTGCCTGACTCACTGTGATATCGCCAGTTGCTCAGAAATGTTCCCCCTTCCATATAACTGAAGCGTCGTGGAGGGAGGTGGTTCATAAACGTGAACTCATGCCATCATGCTCGACTCATCTTCGTCGTCTTCATCTTCTAAGCTCTCGATGGCCTCTTTGATTTGCTGACTAGCCTTTGTAATCGTTAGCATGAGACAGAATACAGCCAACAAGTAATAGACATACCTTCGGGTCCAGATTCAGGGCAATTGTGAAATGCCGGACAGCTAGTCCCGTCTCTCTCAGACTCTTGTAGAGCCTTCCGAGTAAGAAATGCACCATGGCCTCATCGGGCGCCAAATCCTTCAAGATCATCAATTCCTTTAGCGCCGAATTCAAATCTCCCAACGACATAAGCGCTCTGGCTTTCTTAAACCTGGTCAACGCCGACCTGGGCGCTAATTCTGTAGCTTGAGTGAAGTATAAAAGAGCTTGGCGTGGCTGCTTCTGCTTCTCCAGCACGGTTCCGATGCAGCATATCAATACTGCATTTGTAGGGTTGATCTTTGAAGCTTTCATGAAATGGTTAAAAGCCTTGTCATAGTTACCAAGCTTTTCATAGACGCGCCCAAGTCCGTACCATGCATTGTAATGCCGTGGATCTGCAGCTATGCTTTGTCGATAGGATGTAAGTGCTTTGTCGTATTCCTCGTTCGCAACATGCTCGTGGCCTTGAAGTGTGAAAGCATATGCAAAGTTAGGATCGAGTTGCGTGGCACGCTTGAAACAGCGAAGTGCTTGTTCATGATCTCTGGCGAGTGAGCAGGAATTTCCCAGCACACACCAAGCTTGGGGAGATAGCCAGGAGGAATCAACAAGCTCATGAGCCAGGAATGCGAGATCAGCCTCGCGTTTTAGATGCCAGAGAATCGTGGAATAGATCTCCATGTCTTGGAATCTAGTGGGTGCCACTTGACGTATCCGTTTATAGTACAGCTCAGCCTCAGCATAGGATGCTTGCTCGTAATGTGCGCGTCCCATCTGTGCCATCACCCAAGGGGTCTCTTGTTGTGCCCGAGGAAGTCCACTGTAGATCTGCAATGCTTCCAGGCACTGAAACTGGGACAAGGCAAAGTAACCGCATCCGAGCTTCTTGCACAAGTCAAGAAGAAAACGTAGAGCTTCCTCCTGTTTCGTAAGGTCAGCTTCTGATGGCTTCGGCTGCGTGAGAGTAGCAGCCGTCTGATTGGAGGCTTTGATGTTTGGCTCCTTTTGATCTATGTCCATAGAATCCTCCATCGGCTTCCTGTTTCCGCTGACCTGTCGACCCACGGTAGTAGTACTCGACCCAGGCCTCATGATCTTCGATATTGGCGGCCTTGCCTTTTTCAATTCTCGTCCTGGATTTGGCCCGACTGATGGGGCGTTAGTTGACGTTTTGCTACTCGCCGGCCTGAACTGATTAATCAATCTGACACTTCTTCTTTGAGGCGCTCCCGGTTCTTCAGACGTTTGTCTTGGCACGACTTGTCCTGAAACCGTCCGCTTTCTCTCTCCCCCCGCAGCATGTAAATTATGATTGCGTGTAGCTTGGGTGGTTGCCGGGTCCTCCGTAGATTCTGTGGCTTTCTGTAGTCGTCTTGTAGACACTGTGCGACTCATTTTTGGAGCATCCATACTGAAATCCATGCCAAGGCCTGGAATTGTTCGAGATTTTCGAGCTGGTGCTTGAGGTGGTTCGATATGGTACGCATCTTTTCGGTTAGGGGCAAGTGAGACATCGATGGAAGCGCTTGGTCCAGTTGGCGTCTCCATGGCCTCCGGGCCAATGCCTCCACCCCCGGCCGCCGGGAGGTTGGTTAAACTTGGATTACTCTCATTCAGCTTCTGTTGCGCGCCAAAACTCGAGAATAATCCTCCCGCAAAGCTTCGTGATGAGACGTTACTAAACGGATCTGCAGGGTCGACGCTCGCTGTGGGTCTCGCTCCAGGCCTATTCTGTGCGTGGTCGAGCATAGTCGAAAGGGTCGTATCCTTTGCCGGTTGTTGTGTATCCCACTGCTCGGGGACATTGCTCTTCAGAATTGCCTCCATCTCAGGACTGATCTTGAAGATATTTGGCACATTGAGCTTGGTGCCCATGTCACAGAGATTCGTAAATGCGTCCCACATGAATGGATTCAACTTCAATGCCTCCTCGAAATTGCTAATAGCCTTCTTTTGGTCGTTATGTCCGTAGTAAAGCTTTCCCAATAGGCAGTTGACAGCGGCCGCATCAGCATAAGCGTTTCGTGTCGATTGTGTATGTTTGCCAAAGCTATTCTTCCCTCCCCACAGCCCTCTGCTCTTCTCCAGGGCCACTATTCCCTCCTTGAACCTATCCAGAGCCAGCGACGCTTGCGCAAAGACATACGCACATCCAAGGTGTGTTCCCCTCAATCCTGCGGGGTTGCTGTACTCGAAAGCCGATGCATGATCACCAAGCCGTAAATGGCACAGCGCGACGAGGTATGCCGATTCTGCTGATCTGGGGTCGTAAGCTGCTAGACGTTCAGCAAAGAAGAGAGCGTTCTTTAGCAGGTTGTTATCAAGGTGGTAGTGGATGAGCTGCCGTAATTGGCTCGTCACGCAGGTATTTGTTGGAGCCATGATGACAGTCCGTGAAGAAGACAGCACGAATGAACCAAATATGTAAACCGTTATAATGGTCTAGCCATGTAGCCGACGATGTGTTTCGACAACTGCGTTTGATCTTTTGGCCTCGAGTACCGTTCGTTCTTTGTCTCACGCCGTATGGGCAGATCTTTCTCCCAAGCTACTCGGGTCGTGTCGAGCAAATAGGTAAGGTTTGTTTCCGATCTATAGCGCGAAGAGTCGCTACCAAGCTTCGGCAGACATTAGAATTAGGTAAAAGTGAAGTTGAGAGAAGGAATCGAGCTCTACTGCGGTGCAAAATCGCCAAATCCGCGCCGCCGGGACCGTGTTCAAAGGAATAACAAGAGTGAGAAGAAGTGAAGCCACACGCGAAAATGATAAAGGTGAGATCCCAAACGCGGTCGTCGTGGAAGGAAGGGCGGGGTAAGATTGGAGAGGGTGGATGATATCACGGCGCACTGGATCAGCGAATATTGTTTGAGGTTCCCTTGTCGTTATTGATGCGCTCCGCTGGTGTTATGGTTCATGGTTCGTGGCGGGTAGAGATTCATTGGGTCGCGAGCGTCGAACCTCCCCTAGCAACAATCGCCGCAGCTGAGGTAAGCGGGGGCCAAGAAGCTCTCTTCAGCCTCGCCAGTTCCAGTTCGCATGTCCTCAATTCATTCATTCATCCTACGCGGGTGTCTATAGGGTTGGCATTCTTGAGAGGCTTCACTTGTGCCGTACTTGACCTTTTCGCAAACAAGGCATTCGGCCTGGCTTTCTTCTTCCAATTGCGTCGCAGCATCCATCTGTCGCATCTTCTGTCAAGAGCACACGACAGTTCACTCCTGGGCATCCCCCCAGCTCTCTCGAATACCGCTGACACAATCACGACATCTCTTTTGAAGACACTCCTATCTCAATAAGAAGCTGTTGATATGGCACAGAAAGCAAAGAAAGATCGGGCGAAAGCCAACATCAGCACTCTCAACAACCTCCACATTGGAAGCCTCTCCTTCAACGCGCTCTTCATCCTCTTCAACTTGGTTTTCAAGCGCCGCTCGATCTTGTCCTACGTCCTCCTCTCGATTCCCTCTCTGATCGCTGAGTACATTCTTGAGACGACCGGCAGGCCCAAGTTCGACCCCGCCACCAAAGCTTTGAAGAGTTCGGGAGAAGACCTCGCAGCGCCGGGGTTGACAGAATATATGTTCGACGTTATTTGGGTTACATGGTTCTCTCTGATCTCCGTGATGATATTTGGGAACTGGGGTTGGATCGTTTGGAGTGTCGTGCCGATTTATGGTGCTTATAAGGGGTATGGATTGTTGGGCATGGCCAAGGGAATGATGGGTGGTGCCCCAACGGGCCAGATGCCGGAAGAGCAAAAGGTAGCAGGAAATAGAAAGCAGAGGAGAGCTGCGTGAGGAGTCCAGGGTCAATGTGGGACATTCAAACAAATTCCTGGTCCATGCTTGCCAGCCTTGCCAAGTCCACTTCAGATTCGCAGCACTGGATGGCAGGGAATGACGGCCTCCTGGATACATTGCAGATTCAATATTCCGCAAGAATCAAGACTTGAAAGTTAGATGACTTGCGGTATATATGGAGAATCTATCAGGCATACATCATGGCTTCTCGCCGGTCCAGAATTCTATATCAGTCCTCTTGACATCCTTCACTAGCACATGAACATGTTCCAAGGCCCGGACACTTTGCAATTGGACCCAGTTTTTGAACCACATAACTCTATCTGCATCCCCATTCAGCCTCTCTACGAATGTTCTCCTCACGAACTCTTCAATGATCCTTCTACTCTCTTCCGTCACATCCCCGGTCTTCTCATCTGTTGGGATTGGGGTCTTGGACCAGACCACGACATGCGTGATATCGTCCGTGAGGCCATACGGCCAGTCATTCATCAAGATCTTATAGTCCGAGGGATCCTCGAAGGGGACGGGTGAGTTATATTTGAAGGGTGGGGAGCCCCACGGCAGCCGATGTTGAAGGAGATAGTTGGTTATGGAGCCATACTCGGCCTTCACCTTCTGGGTCCATTCCATATACCGGCGGAGGTCCGAGGGCTTCCGTTTGAGGACGGAAAGATTGTTTGTTTCTAAGAAGTTATTTAGAACAAGTCATCAAGGACTCTCTTTCTGCGGGGTTTGAAAGCAACCGATGAGACTCCTTTGCTGACTCCAGCCAGGCCACGTGAACCACGTTCGAACCGAATTGAAGCACGCAGGTAAGAGAAAGAGTGCGAAGAAGCATAAGATTAAGACAAGCAGTGAGAAGTATCCTCACCAATGATCCCTTTCAGTTCCTCCCAGTCATGAAGACGGAATTGACTGTCGGTCTGTGAGAGAACCCACCGATCGGTATCAGTCAGAGGAAATGGAGTGTCTTCCACACCGATGGCCCCCACTGCTGCCTTTATATCCCCCATCCTTGACGTCGGTGTTGGGTGTCAAGGGCTGACTGCAACAACACTCACGCTGACATGAATATATTTGGTAAACTTCCTTCCCTTCGACGCTGTATATGTCCGCACCCGCTGTCGAATACGTCGGGTCTCTCTACTGTGCTTTTGAGATATATGGGATATAATTGATCAATCCGACCGAGGGGCGTGCGGAGTGCTCCGTATGGGGTAACTATTGACGGCGTGTCTATCTTCTTTCCGAGTCCATCGATATCTTCCCGGGTCCCTCCAACGGTCCAACCCCTCCAACTAAGCCCTAACCCGCGGGGTTTCGCGGTAGAAAAGAGAAACCCGAAAATAAAAAGAGAAAGAGATCCCGAGAAATCCCCAACCTCCCTGTCAACAATGTACCACAGTAGTAGAAGAGTGGTCGACGTTGCGAAGGTGATAACTGCTTCGGGATAAGTTTGGTGTGAAGCGTAAATCCTTAACCGAGCCTCGTATATCTTTAAAGGGTCCCCAGATCCCCGGATCCTCAACACGTAGAAGCCGTTGACGGACAACCATTATTCCGCTGGTACCAAGTATCGAGGAGCTCCCCCACGTGAAAGCTGATCTGGCTTCAAACGACCATCACCAACTCATTGCTCCTCGTACAGACCGGATTCCAGCGTCTCCCACAGCAGCACCCGCAAATGTCTTCCCTTCTCTCCAAGAAATATGTTGATGGCATATACATCCCATCTGGCCTCCTTGTCCTCGGATGCTTGATTGTCAAACGCGAATGGGTTCCTTATGCCGTCGTGCTTGCAGCGGTCATCTCAGGGTACAAATTATGGAGTGGTAACAGTAAGAACAATATCCGTCCCCTGAGGTTCTCCCAAGGGCCTAGGGAACATGCGACTAACAATATCTTTAGGTGTCCAAAAGGTCCTCAAACCCACTGAGTTTCAAGAATTTGAGCTCACGGAGAAGACCGTCATCTCCCACAATGTAGCCATGTGAGTCGAATGCATCCAGACTCGTTCAAGACAGCCCACTAACAATCGCAGCTACCGGTTCAAACTTCCATCTCCAACTGCAGTTCTCGGCCTGCCTATCGGTCAACACATCTCGATCGCAGCGACTCTCCCTCAGCCGGATGGTACGTCGAAAGAAATTGTACGATCCTATACCCCAATCTCTGGCGACCACCAACCCGGCTACTTCGACCTCCTTATCAAGTCCTACCCCACCGGCAATATCTCGAAGTACATGGCATCTCTCTCTGTTGGACAATCAATCAAGGTTAGAGGCCCTAAAGGTGCTATGGTCTACACTCCGAACATGGTCCGACATTTCGGTATGATTGCTGGAGGAACTGGAATCACTCCCATGTTGCAGATTATCCGTGCTGTGATCCGAGGTCGTCCTACCGGAGATAAGACTGAGATTGATCTGATCTTCGCCAATGTCAACAAGGAGGACATCTTGTTGAAAGATGATCTAGACAAGTTGGCGAAAGAGGACAAGGGATTCCGAGTTCACTATGTTCTGAACAACCCTCCTGAGAAATGGGAGGGAGGCGTCGGATTCGTTACTCCTGAAATGATTACGGTATGTTACCTGTTGCGTCCAATAGATCATAATGCTAACTTTTTGAAGAAATACCTGCCTAAGCCAGCGGACGATGTCAAGCTCCTGCTCTGTGGACCACCTCCAATGATCAGCGCCATGAAGAAGGCATCCGAGGGATTGGGATTCAAGAAGGCCAAGCCTGTCAGCAAGCTAGAGGATCAAGTGTTCGCATTCTAAGTGACGGAAAATAAAAGGTTAATACGGAAGTAGAGGGCAGGTGCAATTGGTATAATGGATGGTAAACTGTAAGTCGGAAGCAGGGTGTTGGGGCCGTGAAAGATCTATTTTGCCAATGCTTCGATTTTACAAGTGCAAACATGTGAAGAAATCGCGCTACTTCCGCCTGGCGAAGTTTCAGTAACAAGAATGAGCGGCATCTGTTCAGTGGGCGCAAGGAGAATTTCATAGCTGAGAAGTCTTTAACGATGCAGATATCTGCATATCTTCTGCATCCAGATTAATGACCTACTGCCGGTCCCTTGCAAGATTATAATGCTATCAACGCTTGACTACTGACGGTGCAGTGACGAGGAGTCAGTTCCGTGCATGCTTTTTGTTACATCCAAACCTTTCAAATACCGAATGGCGGTGACCAGTGTTCATCCCCAGTGTTTCCCCCTCCCACCCAATGACAGTGCATCAGCCAGTTCTATGCAGCGAGGAATGCCCAATTCTTTCTTCTTTCCTCTGCATTTCGGGATGCTCGCATGAACGTCTAAATTGGTTCGCCCAAGGGGATAAATGATAAACGCCAGTCACTGAACCCTTTCTTCCAAAGGATTGCTTAAGCCTCAAGGGGACCTGTTTCCAGGGCTCATTTGGAATCCTTTGCGGACAGGTATAAACAGCCAATAATGATGAACCCCCTCCCTCTCTACCCCATTCCCCCAACCCACTATCCCACACTCTTCCCATATGCCCAGCGCCCCGTCCCGATTCCCGATTCCCGATTCCCACTTCACCGCTATATATATGTACATATATATGTCATATATACAAGGTACAACGACCCATAGCTCCCAAGCAGCTCTTTTGCAGTGGTTCTTGTGCTAGATAACAATCTAGTCTTGTTACTTTCTGGACTCTACGGAGGATCCCGTCCTTCGGCGTCGCCGCATCCTGTCAGCACCTCCGTACTGTACTAGAGATTGAGTGCGCCACTATCCGGGATATGTAGATCTCTGGGGGAAAAAGAAAAGAAGCAGGAGACGAGTCGCAGTAGGTAAATAACCCGGTCAAGAAATCCTCATGAGCAGGATACCTATTGGCGCAACTTCGTCGCATGATCTCGAGGAGGGGCGTTAAAGGGGAAAATGCAGGAAAGATCCCATGCAAGCTATTCATTCATACTTCTTCATACAGTACAGACTATAGCCCTCTGGCTCAGGATAAAAAGCTCTATTGCCATGCCCACTCCGTGCATGTCACGTGCATACCTATGCGATGCAGAGAAGCGCTGGCTTGTGGTCCTTGTGGAGTCGTGGGCACCAAAGCCACGTCAGACAGATGCTGTTTACCTGAAACCAGATAGGAAAAGGTGTTCTTTTCAGAAAACAGAGTCATTGCAGGCACAAGATTCTGCCCTGCCCATGGAACGGGTTCTAGTTCTCGTCGTCTGAAGCTGGGTTACTGGGTAATATAAAGGCAATTTGGGATTTCCAGACCCTGGGAACATCTGCATCCTATCACATGAATCTTATGTTATGATTTCTAGGACCAGGGCGGTATGTAGGTAGGCCGCTAGGATGCAGTGCGCAGTAAGTAAAGTCGTGGCCCGCGAGCCCCTGAGATGTTGCGGACTTGTGCGTGTGGTGTTTTCCTGGTCGCTGGGACAGAATGCGGAGTTGAAGAAATCCCAAATCCAAAACCCAGAAAATGAAAATAAAATAATGAACAGAGACAGTAGTTACTATAATCAACTGAATGATAAAAAGAACATTGCTCTTTAATCCGAATTCTCATCCTGATTTTGGATCCTTTCTCCCCTTTTCTTCTTCCGAATCCTCTCCTCCCCGTCCTTTATGCTTGACCCGGCTCTTGGGAGATAAACCATAGAAATCTCGATCTGCCGTCCCGGAAACCAGCGACACCCTCCGCGGGTCGACAAGCCAATGATACTGCTTACCACATTTACAACAGCAGCGTACATGTGCTGTCCATTCCTGTCCCCTCCTGCCCCCTCCTCGACCCGAAAACCCGGGAATGGTCCTCTCGAAGTGATTCGGTAGCCGACTCGTCGTCCCCCCCTCCTTATCGCTCCCAGACCTCCCGCAAATACAGTACGACAGGAACCGCCCCGCCTATTTTCCTGGATGCAACCCAATTCCCGCCCAATTCGGTTGCTCGGTTGCGCGATTGAACCGCTGGAATTAACATGGCACCACTATGACTTCCAACTGACAATCATGTTCCGACCTTCTCCCAATCAGACCAACAAGGTGACGACCCTTTGAAATCTCGGGCCCCCCAGTGGAATTCCAAGCTGTCCCGGCTGGGACCGTTGATCCCGTTTTGGGAAGACACGACAACCGACAGACACGCAGGCACTGGATATTGAGGCTTGAGGCTTGGATGCTGCCACGTTCGACGAATCCCTTTATTACCGTTGAAGATTTGCCGGCCATGCAACCGCCCGTATCCCAGTATCCAGTATCCCAGTCAAGGACACTCACTTCCTGGCCATCCGCAACAACCTGCTCTTGTGTAACCGCGCCTTTTAAGTAGGTTCGCAGACAAATATATATCCTGGGCCCACGGTTGGAGAGCTCCACCAGTGCGCAACACCATGCCTTCAGCAGGCACCTCAAATGGCCTTTCGAGTATACTCCTTCCACGGCCTGCAAATCCATATACATCAGACTCTATTTCGCAAGGCAGACTGCAATTGCCCGCAGTCTCTGCCATACAGCCGCGGCGGGAACATCAGAATGGACCGGATCCTCGATCCAGCCAATATTCGCCAATTTCCTACCCCTCCTCATACCAAGATCCGAATTATCCTTCATATACCAGTGACATAAATCCTTCTGTTCCGGCTCCCCATGCTTTCCACCCGGCCCAGGCCGGCAGCCTCCCATATTCTTCGCAATACAGAGCGGATCCCCAGCTTGTAACGCTCGACAACTCTCAAAGCCCAAGAGCGCCATTGAGCCATACACCACCTGTTCAGCGGCGGCTGGCAAGAAAAATAAGTCAGAGAAAGGCGGACACCCTAAAGGTTCATGTTCATGTTAATAATAGGTCTTCAGCATCATTGGAAAATCAGTCCCGCGAACAACAGACGCAGTCCGATGCCGTTCGAGAAAACCAACAACCAACGTTACCCATGCTGCAAGAACGCCCACCACAAGCGACTCAATCAAAACCCATCCCTATATCCGGACTCCTGAGCGGAACCCCAAGGTATGTCGTGCCGCATTCACAATTAGATTCTCATTCCTAACCTATCAGTGGAAATCTTGATCGACCTCCACCCACATACAGCATCACGGTCCGGCAGCAACCCAAATCCGCTCGCGCTTGTGGTTTTGGCGAGAGAGATCGTCGAGTGATTGATCCTCCGCCAATTCTTGTCCTAGGAATAGACCAACCGGGGGCCAGTCCAGAGGAAATCACTGCAAAACTCCGCTCGTCACTCTATGTGGTGCATTGTTCACTGTGGAATCCAGTGACTGATGAAGACGAGACTATGATGGCTGCATCGGACAGGAAGCCACAGAGACGCCTAGTCGGGACACTCGTGGGGGCGCATTTCTATGGCAAAGATACCGAGAACCGGGAACAATGTTTCTTCCATTTTACAGACCTTTCTGTGAGAACTGCTGGCACCTACTATCTCAAATTCAAGCTTGTTGTGCTGGATGCGCAGAAAATGAAGGCCGGATTCAGTTTTCCTATATGCGCAACGACCAAGAGCGAACCGTTTGCCGTCTACAATGCCAAAGACTTCAAAGGCATGCGGGCAAGCACCGAATTGACGAAATGCTTGAAGGCCCAAGGGTGCCTAATCCCAGTTAAAAAGGGTAATGCGACGACGAATGCCTCCACCCCTCATAGTGAGGAGGAGGTGGGGAATCCATTGGACGACGAGGATCATGACGGTAGCGAGGGCAGTGAGATAACAGGGACTCCCAAACGGATAAAGTGCTATTGATATTTGTTTTCTTTCAAACTATATTATGATGGTACAAGTCTTCCCGATGGCCTTTAGGGATAGGTATATTATGAAAAGTATGGTATATGACATGGGATTTGGCGGCAGGAGGAGTTAGATACCACGGGGGACTAGCACTTTATGTGTGGATATTGACATTGACATTGGCATTGACATTGGCATTTATCAAGACGGCAACTTGCCGCCTGTATAGAGAATTATCACCACTTTGCTCCACTGGAAGCATCGCTGTTCAACTTAGAATGTGTGAAGGCTCACGAGGCTGAGGATCCAGGTTTTATCGGTAGCCCTGCATACTTTATTTTCTGCCGTTTTGCCCCGCCAAAAAGCAAAACGCGGGGTGCCGAAAAGGGTTTAACTCGGCGCGCCGACCCAAGAAAATACAACTGGCGAAGCAGAAATTCCTTCTCTTCTCTCTTTCCCTCTGGCAACGGCCAGGACGGGCACCTGTAATTCTCAAGAGACGCCAAGATGAAGTATGTACTTGTTTCTGGAGGTAAGCATTACAATGCTCCTTTTTTTCGACCGAAAATAATGTGGACTGACGATGTTTTGTAGGTGTCATCTCGGGGATTGGGAAGGGCGTTATTGGTATGCTCCCCAACGCGAAATCCATGTTGAATATTCGGGTGAAAAAATGGGCGGATCCAATTGGTATGGTGGGCTGATACGTGACGACTATCACAGCTTCTTCGACCGGTTTGTTGTTGAAGACCATTGGGTTGAAGATATGTACCCCCCAAAGTCCACACCGAGTTCTCTTGCTGACTGGCTTTGCACGTCTCTTCAATTAAGATCGATCCTTACATGAATGTCGATGCCGGTACTATGGCACCTACAGAGTAAGCCTTCTGCATAACGTAAATCCTGCGACTGGGCTAATGTGTCCGTAGGCATGGTGAAGTTTTTGTTCTCGATGATGGCGGTGAAGTCGACCTCGACCTTGGAAACTACGAGCGCTACCTCAACATCACACTCACTCGAGAGAACAACATCACAACTGGCAAGATCTACCAGCACGTAATCGAACGTGAACGTCGCGGCGACTATCTTGGGAAAACGGTGCAAGTTGTGCCGCACCTCACAGACGCCATTCAGGATTGGGTTGAGAGGGTCGCGAGGATCCCTGTTGACGATACAAACGAGTCTCCTGATGTTTGTATTATCGAGTTGGGTGGTACAGTTGGCGACATTGAGAGTGCGCCCTTCATTGAGGCGATGAGACAATTAAAGAGACGTGCTGGAAAGGGCAACTTCATGCAAATTCATGTCTCTTTGGTCCCGGTCATTCAGGGCGAGCAAAAGACAAAGCCCACACAACAAGCTATCAGAGATGTTGGAAGGGCAGGATTAGTTCCTGATCTTGTAGGTTCTTGTGAGAAGCAATGCTTGATGAGTACTGACATCCCCAGATTGCATGCCGATGCGACATTCCTCTGGAAGACAGTACAATTGAAAAGATCGCCATGTTTTGCCAAGTCGAGCCAGAGCAGGTAGTCGCAGTCCACAACGTTTCTTCGACCTACCACGTCCCCTTGCTTCTTGAAAGACAAGGCCTCATAACCACCATCCGCGGCATCCTGAATCTCGATAGTGTCCCCAAAACTAAAGCGCTTGTCGACCGTGGACAAAGAACGTGGACAAAGTGGAAGGAACTCACAACTCAGCAAGACCGCCTCTTCGACACGGTATCGATCGTTCTGGTGGGAAAATACACCAACCTACACGATTCATACCTGAGCGTCATCAAATCCCTCGAACACTCTGCCATGCGCTGTGGTAAGAAACTCAACCTAATCTGGGTCGATGCTTCAAACCTTGAAGACCAGGCAAAGTTGGACAACCCAGCCGAATTCCACAAAGCTTGGCACGAAGTCTGCACAGCGGACGGAATTCTTGTCCCTGGTGGATTCGGGCATCGTGGCACAGAAGGCATGATTCAAGCTGCGAAGTGGGCACGTGAGAACAAGATACCCTATTTAGGAATTTGCTTGGGCATGCAGATTGCCGTCATCGAGTTCGCGCGCCATGTATGTAACATCACGAAAGCGAGTTCGGCCGAACTGCACGAGCAGTGTGCTGATCCGGTCGTGATCTTCATGCCGGAGATCGATAAGGTCAATCTCGGAGGCACGATGAGGTTGGGTATTCGCCCAACGCTGTTCCAGGAAGGTTCGGAATGGTCACGTCTTAGACAACTTTATGGGGAGAAGAAGGAAATCCACGAGAGGCATAGACACCGATATGAAGTCAACCCAGAATATGTTGAACGACTGACGGAAGGTGGTTTGCAATTTGTTGGCAAAGATGACAAGGGGGAGCGGATGGAGATTATTGAGCTTAAGGATCATCCTTGGTTCGTCGGTGTACAATTCCATCCAGAATACCTATCTCGGGTACTGCAGCCGAGCAAGCCGTACCTGGGGTTCGTCGCGGCGGCAGCCGGGTGCCTGGAGAAGATTACAGCTGAAGTGGTGCAGGAGGAGGGAATCAACGGTGTGGATGAGACCTTGGTCAACGGTTTGAACGGCGTTAGGATCTAGGTTGGATAAGTTGCGGGATCGAGTTGGGATTCGGTTACTCGGGTTCTTGAAAATAGACTTACAATAAACATAAATATATCAGTCCGCATGCAACTCTAGTGGTTTGCATGCAGTTTCTCACAAGCACATCCCTAGTTTTGACTGTAAATCAGGGGCAAACAGGAGGTAGAATGCAGTTGTGAATAACAAGTGGGAATTAAATGATTATTATTACACAGCGTGTTGCTATTGGTATTGCTACTGCTATCGTCTTGCTTTTGTAGCCCTCGAATCTCCTGATGATGTTTACCAAGTGGCCAGAACCATTCGAGTAAATTACTAAGTATTTGAACTTGTCTAGATTCTAATATACCGCTTCTCTCCCGATCTTCTATAGCTTTGCCCTTCCATGCTTAATTGCGTCCCAGCTCGATCCATCGAGTCTCTGATACGTTTTGCCGTTGAGCCAATACAGCTTATCTCTATTACCCTCTGCCTTCTCGTCCCAGCTCTTCTTCACCAGCTCCATCTTCGCCTTCTTGAAGGTTACATTTGCTTCGATTCTGTGATATTGAGATTAGTGCGCTTTCGCTCCATTGTTCAGGAGGTATACGTACTCGGGTGTTATTCGCACAAGGCGCGGTATAGCATAGGCTGGGAGCCCAGTCTTCTTTAGACTGCTATAGAGATGCTTCATGAATGCTTCCTCTGACGACGAATCGAGTGTGATAGCTGCGGCTCCAGCTTGTCCATCGTAGCTAGTCTTTCATTAGCAAGGGGTTGTCTCGAGAGGGCTTGATTGCGTTGGCTCGTTTTACCCGGCAAGTTTCACACCATATACCGCCGCATCCTGCACACCAGCAAGCTTCGCAATGTGATCTCGCACTTCTCCTGCACTCACATTTTCCCCTTTCCACCGGAACGTGTCGCCCATTCGATCGTGGAATTGGACCCAGCCCGATGATTCCCGTAGCAGCAAGTCGCCCATCCGCTGGAAACAGTCGCCTTTTGCGAACACGTCCCTCAAGAGCTTCCCTTCAGTCGCCGAGGGATTGTTTAGATATTCCGTCAGCATCGACCTATCCTTGACTCTACCAATAGCCTCCCCAGCCTCTCCATACCCGGCCTCGACACAGAATCCCGTTTTGGGATCGCGGTAAACCTGTTCTGTCGCCGGATCGGTCTTCACGATAAACGTGGTGTCTTCAAAATACCTTCTAATGGGACCGGCGAACCCAAGCTTGCCCGCCCCGGCCGCGGCTTTCCCAAAATTATCGAATTTTGCGACGCCCTCTGACGAGCGGTAGAACTCCCTGATTTCCGGGATGTTGAAGCGCTCGCGGAACTTCTCCCAGATCTCGGCCCGGAGGCCGTTGCCGCCCGCCACGATGCAAGAGTGGGCGCGGTCGTAGGGCGAGGGCGGGGCCGAGACGAGATAGCGGCAGAGCTCGCCGACGTACAGGATGCGCGTGGCGCGGGACTCGGCGACGTCTTTCCAGAAGCGCGACGTGGAGAACTTGCGGGCCAGGCAGAAGGTGGACGAGGTGCCGATGTTGTAGCAGAGACCTGTGAAGAGGGCCGTGCCGTGGAAGAGCGGCAGCGGCGAGTAGGTCCGTAGCGGGAAGTACTTCTTGACATCCCGCATATCCTGTGCTAAAGGGTTGGATACGATTGCGATTTGTATGTTGCGGACGGCGCAGGCTTTGGGCTTCCCGGTTGTACCAGAGGTGTAGACTAGACAGCAGAGGTCCTTGGGAGTAGCCTTCGCGGGTGGAGCTACCACGGAGGGAGTAGGGAGAGAGTTCAAGTCCACTGGGGTCACCGTGGCATTGCTTGCTGGAGGGAAATCCTGGAACGAGGAGAGGTTTATGGAGAAATGATTTAAGTCTCCATTAACAAATCCCGACAAATCAGGGGTAGAGATTACTGTCTGAGCGGTTGAGATATCCAAACAATGCTTCAGAGTGTCATCTGGACCCAAAGTCAGCTCACGATCAATAACAGATGACGAGATATCTCGCAATACCTCGAAGATTGGTGTTTATCAAACCAGCCACAGCCCCTAGTTTGGAGAGGGCCAGCACCGTGATGACCATTTCCGGGGAATTGGTCGTAAAGACGGCAACGAAGTCCTTGGACTTAATGCCCTTCTCACTTAGGAACGCAGCAAACCGAATAACCACTATACCTCTGTCATTAGAAACGCCTCAAAAGAATAAACCAAAAACAAAAATCTACAAAGATAATAGCATAGCAATGTATAAAAAACCGTTATCACTCGATCAGTCCTTACCATTTTTGAGCTGTCCATAAGTCCACGTCCTCCCTTCAAACCATAGAGCTTCGATATCTGGCTTCACGATATCGAATATACGATAAAGGGTGCATGTATCACCCAAAATTTGAAGTCTCTGTCCCAGACGAATCTGCCATTCCCGATCGTAGCTTAGTTGTTTAAGATCGAGCCCGATGCCGAGTCTAGCATTGAGGTAGGCGCCCGTTGCAAGAGCGGCGGCGGAGATCAACGGTATAGTAGAAGTAGCCATTGCTCTTTCATGTGAAATAAGGAGAGGAAAATACGAATAATGCCGAGAAGGCAAATTGGCCTTCGTATTTATTATCTGATGCTTTGTTTATAGTACGGCCACGAGGTCGGGCATCTTTATGCCTCGGCGGCCGGCTATCGCGAACTGCCGACGGGGGAACATATATAATGTGGAGGCGGGACCGCGGGGTGTGGGGGATTCCCGTGTTTCGCGACAACATCTCTTATCCCTCTCTCGACTCTTGCAATCCGGCCTTTCTTATAGAATACACTTCATAGGATTTGAAGGCATTGTCTCTGAGAGGCCAATCTACGAATATGGCTTCTGCCGGGGAAAGACTATCCACTGTGATGGGACATTTGAATCCCTCAAAGGCGTCGGGAAAAAGCAAGCTGTTGGAGAAGAACCCGGATGATATTGTGAGGAAAGTTCGGGAATTTATAGGCTTCTGGCTAATGCATTTAGGTCATCACGTTAGCTGTGAGAACACCTCTCACCAAGGCGCGGAAAGGCGGTCTCAAAGACACTCCTTTAGATGATCTCTTGATTTCGCTGTTGACGGTACTGGGACCATTTCATTTCACCTTTTGTATTAATTCTAATAACTCTTCTAGTCCGTGCGTGAGAAGTCAAAGCTTGACCCGGCTTTGGTGGAAGATGTCTGTGTTGGAAATGTCCTCGCTGTCGGGCAAGCTTACGCCGCTCGATCAGCAGTCCTCGCAGCAGGATTTCCGATCACAACGGCCGCCTCCGTGGCCAACCGCTTCTGCTCCTCGGGGCTACTGGCTGTGCAGAATATTGCCAATCAGATCATCGCAGGCTCCATTGATGTTGGTCTGGCGGTAGGTGCGGAAAGCATGAGCACTACCCCCGATAATGGCGCTCCCCCAATGAGTGATAAGGTTTTGAACCACCCCATTGCGTCTCAAAACACCCAGCCTATGGGCCAGACATCAGAGAACGTAGCAGGACAGTTCAGTGTCACGCGCCAGGCCATGGACGCCTTTGCAGCGTCCTCGTACCAGAAGGCAGAGAAAGCCCAGAAAGCTGGTTGGTCCGCTGATGAGATCGTCCCCGTCACAGTCCAGTGGAAAGATCCCAAGACTGGCCAGGTTTCTGTGAAGACAATCACTCAAGACGATGGAATTCGATATGGCACGACCGCGGAGTCGCTGGGAAAGATTCGCGCCGCGTTCCCCCAGTGGAGTCCCAGTGCCACAACAGGTGGAAACGCATCGCAGATTACCGACGGAGCCGCGGCGGTCCTGCTGATGAAGCGTTCTCGAGCTGAGCAATTGGGACAGCCCATCGTTGGCAAGTTCTGTGGTGCTACAGTTATTGGGCTGGAGCCACGTATCATGGGGATTGGACCCAGTATTGCAATCCCGAAGATCCTCGAGAAGACGGGCTTGAGTATTTCTGACGTGGATGTGTTCGAGATCAATGAGGCGTTTGCTTCTATGGTAAGACTTGATTGATACTATATGGTAAAGTATGTACTGATATCGATTTAGGGGGTATACTGCGTTGATAAGCTCGGTCTTGATCCAGCAAAGGTCAACCCAAGAGGAGGTGCAATGTAAGAAAGGCTTCCTACACTTATGAGAAACTGGACTTACGATGGTTTGTAGTGCTTTAGGACATCCACTTGGTTGTACAGGTGCTCGTCAAGTCGTGACAGCGTTGTCTGAGTTGCGAAGACAAGACAAAAGGATTGCAGTCACGTCGATGTGTGTTGGAACGGTAAGAGAGCTACCCCTCATGGATAATATGCCTAGCAAGAACTCACTGACTAATCTGTTACAGGGTATGGGAATGGCGGGTGTATTTGTGTCGGAGCACTAGACAGTACCGTGTTACGGTTCTTAGGAAGGACTTCTCTATCTCAAAGCGATCTCTATGTTTGTATTCCGTAGACCATCTACCTAGATGTAAATAGATCATGATTCTTGAGGACAATCACGTGATACGGATAAAGGGGGAGGGGCCTGCTCCATTGGAGTAGAGGCTAGCGGCCGCTAGAGCATCGGCAATCGAACGGTAAAATACTCACCAATCAGAATTTATCACAGATATACTCGACTTGACCACATTGACATTGTCCAGAAAGTCGCGCCGTTCAAACCTCTACCTCTACATGGCTTGCCCAGCCGTGCTAAACTGCCTCCGACATACCTGTTGATGTCGAGATTATTAGAGGCATCGCGCCTCAGCTCCAACTTTTCTCTTCACCGTTCAATCTTTTCCAATGTCTTGGTCCTTGTTGAGGAGATTCCTCGATAGCGATGTCTTCAACGAGGACCCCTTTCTCTCTGTAGCCTACCTCTCGTACGGAACCCATCTCGCATCCATTGTCACACCATCAAAAAGCTAATACCTCGCGACAGACGTTATGCGGAACATGTGGGAATCACCTACGTTCTCTGCTCAAAGTTGCGACACTTCAGCTATGAAGAGATTGAGTTCTTTCTGCCGCAGTTATGTCATCTCATCGTGAGCGTCAACAATGAGTCCATGGCTCTGGAGGAATTTATACTGGATCTGTGCGAGGAGTCTGTGAATGCGGCGCTGCTTGTGAGCCCCTTAATGTCAGTGACTAAGATAGCATGGCTAACGCGACCGGTAGACATTCTGGTTATTCCAAACCTATCTACACGACCTCGCCGGAAATCCACAATCAGATTCTTTCAAGACCTGTAGGAGGATATATAATAAAGTGCAGCATATTGTTTTTGGAGTGTCGGAGCTTGCAAGGACCGAGAAGATCAAGGAGAATGTGCTCCCAGTTACGGTGCTTGCGAGCTTGGTTATGGCGAGCGCTGCTGTGCCATTCCTTCCACGATGGGCCGGTCCCCTAGCCATTGCCCAGGCGCGCAGACCTCAGTCAAGTGGAGATGTCATATCGGACCCGAGCCAGGTGGGAAGGATTGTTCGCAGCCACACAGTGACGCCGGGGTCGACAAGGACGAAGAAGTCAAAGGAGGGTTCACGGATAACGAGCGCTCCCAATACTTCCTCGCCTTTTGATCGCCGTCCAACGTTGACTAGACCCTCGTCCCATGATGGACTACAATCTCCCACTCCAAGTCGAAGGAGCGCATTAGAAGCTCGACGGCCACCACATCTCAACCTGCAAGAAGCTGATCCTCAACTCAGTTCCTCCTCTCTTCCACTCCTTGATTCGCGCTCCCCAAGAGTGGTACCAAGACCATCTCCCCCTGCTACTGCTGGGCTTATACGTCGAGCCACCGAATTTCCAAGCAGAAGGCGTGTCCAGCCATCGCCGAGACCATTAACTCCATCTGTGTTAAGCGATTCTCAAAAGATCAAATTGCTACGGCAAAACTATTTCCGCTGCGAAACACAATTCATAAACGCTCTGGAGGATATATCGAATCGTCTGGTAATTGTTCCTAAACAAGCGCGTCTTAGTGCGTTGCGCGCCGAGCTTGCTCTTATTGCCCAGGACTTGCCGGCTGAAGTCGATATACCCGTTATTTGTCCTGCAACATTGGTGGACGGGGCACCAGGTAAAAGTCGACACCACCGAATCGTGCGCTTAAACCCTGCTGAGGCAACGGTCTTGAACAGCGCGGAGAAAGTCCCATACCTGCTGATGGTGGAAGTACTAAGAGATGATTTTTCCTTCGAACCAGATACCCCGGATAATGAGAGATTACTGCGCAAGCTCCTTTCCGAGCAAGGAACAGGCCGCAGGCGCATTTTTGATCTTTCGGAATCTCCACGTATACCACATGAAAACGAGGTTAAGGTCACTGAAACTCCGCCTGATAGCGTTTTTGAGCCTGTATCTGGGGACCTGGGAAGTTCTCCACTAATCAAGTCTTTTTCCGATGGCCCTCTGTCGAAGGAAACCGCTTCAATGCCTCATCTGCCTCGACTGTCGAGTGGTACCACAACGCTGTCCACTCTCTCTGGGCTCGCGACTCCTAGAACCTCTGGAGCATCAACCTCGCGATCAAACAGCCCGGGCCGGAAAATGACTCTTCCCAAATCTGGTAGACATGGCGCAGCCGATCAGCCAGATTTCTCTGCGTTGGCCACTCACATGCGGACTGCATCACAAATGCTGGCGCAGCTCGAGTCGACAAGCGGGAAGCGGCCTAAGAGTGAGGTCGCTGCAATTCGAGCAAGGATTATTGCTAGCATGCAAAGCTTAGAAGAACAGAGCTTTGAGTTAGAAGATACCTCACAAGCCCCTGGTCCTACATTTGAAATGATTATGGCGAATGCGAATGCCGCTGCAGCGACTGTGGGACCCGACGATATTGGGGAAGAGACGGCCGATTCTACGCTGAATGCTGGTGCAGGAGCTGCTCGTATGGAGAACGACCAGAAGACTGGTGGAGTACGAAGAAAAGGTGACAGAGACGACCCTAGCGCTGCAACTTTTGGAGAAGCTTGGCATGACAAAAAGGAGCGGATTCGAAAAACCTCCCCCTATGGCTGGATGAAGAACTGGGATGTCCTCAGTGTTATCGTCAAGACAGGGGCTGATCTGAGGCAAGAGGCATTTGCTTGCCAACTTATTCAAGTTTGCGATAAGATCTGGAAGGACGCAAAGGTCCCTGTCTGGGTTAAGCGGATGCGGATCTTGGTCACTGGGGAATCTTCTGGCCTCATCGAAACTATCACTAATGGAGTCTCCCTACACTCCCTCAAACGGAGCTTGACGCTCGCTACAATTGAAGCTGGCCAGAATCCTCGAGGACGAATTGCTACACTGAAAGATCATTTCGTCAAAACCTTTGGGCCAGTGGATAGTGACGCCTACAAGGCGGCAGAAGATGCTTTCAAGCGGTCTCTTGCTGCATACAGTATCATCTCCTACATTCTACAACTTAAAGACCGCCATAATGGCAATGTTCTCATTGACAATGAGGGCCACATCATTCATATTGATTTTGGATTCATGCTGTCCAATTCCCCAGGCTCTGTTGGTTTTGAGGCTGCGCCTTTCAAATTGACACAAGACTATGTCGATGTCCTCGGAGGGGTTGGATCACCGGCATTTGAAGACTACAAGAAATTATGCAAGCAGGCTTTCCAAGGTAGGAAAAAACACTCCAATGCCCCAAGCCATTCTGACCTCATACAGCTCTTCGGCGATCTGCGGATTACTTAATTGACTTGGTCAGCATAATGGGGAAGGGTTCGAATATGCCTTGCTTCTCATATGGCGTGCAACAAGCAACCAATAGCTTGCGGCAACGATTTCAATTACAGCTCAGTGCAGACGATGCAGAGCAGTTTGTGGAGACAGATTTGATTGGCAAGTCCTTGGGAAGCTACTACACACGACTGTGAGCCTTCCAATTTCCCTTGTCTCTCCCCACGATATCTTGCTAATAGCGACTAGTTACGACACATTCCAATATCGCACTCAGGGTATATATTAGGTGGCTTTTCGTGAAAAGCGGGTGCATCTTAAGCGGCGTTGGATATCTGGCATCTAGACGGGTTAATGACAGTCCGGGGGAAATCCTCCTGTGATCTAGTTTTTGTTGTGGGTGTATAGTTCATGCTCCTTGGCGCATTGTTGTGTCTCCAGTATACTGCATGCTACTTACTTGCCTAGTAGCCGTTTTAGACGCTATCATAAGTATGATCATACTCTACCACCCTATCGTCTGTAGGTACTTCAAGAGATTTGATTCCACTAATGCATTACTTTGGCTTGAATATGAGCAATTATATCCTTACGGGACCCAATCTCCAAGTGAATTTCTATACTTCTTACTTCTTTATCTTACCTTAAGGTACTTTACAATTTGAATTTATGTCACGTGAACCCCCCTATCGAAAGCTCTTACCAACTTCAGAAACATTTCATCTTCCTCGTATCGTTCTTATCTATTTACTATCTATCTTACCTACCTTGTACCTTTATGAACTAGCAGCAAAGAAACGTTATATCATCTTTGAGACTCTTCGCCTTTATACTCTCAAGTCCTCAACAACGAAGCCTTTTAGGGTTCCGAAACACATTTAGATCCACCAGGCTTACTCTTTATTACCAGCCTCGGTATCAACGTCTATGCGTACTCTTTTATCGTTTCTTTTCTTGATCTTTGTTTTATCCCGAGCGTAGGATGACCTTTCAACATTGAAGGAGGCCCGATCTTCGAGTTCTGAACTTCAAGCTCAGATCTTCTACACTTGAGTACCTTGAAGCTTCGGACAACACTATCCAACCCACACATCTTAACTCAAGAGCGCGCTGTAACCGTATCATTGGCTATTACAAGGAATACATCATGTCTCCCAATAGACGAACCAGCACTACGACACGCAAATGGACCAACTTTGAGGTAAGTCTTCTACTCCCACTTTATTTACGCAGATAATATCTAACGGGACCTTCCATAGAAACATACCCTTCTCTGTCTCATGGCTAAGGGTCTTCACATTGAAGATCGTAGCAAACGATCTGACGCCCCTGGAGCTGCGAAAAAGAACGCATATCTGGAATTTGCTACGGCTCTTAACAATTCCGTCTACAAGAACGATTTCGAGAAGGATATTAGCAAGAGAGAGGTGACAAGGATGATTGACAGGATGTTGGTGGAGCGCAAGGGGGTTGTCGGTCAGGGTGGCTACATGGAACGAGCGACTCGAGGTCGAATCACGAGGGGCTTGAAGAGATTGTGGGACAGGCCTACTAAGTTCGATTATGACGGCAGTTTGAGTGAGTGGAATCTTTGGCGAAAAGCGGACGAAATGGAGAAGCGCAGCATTGTGGATGGCAGGGCTTTGAACCAAGACACTGCTAGTATGCAAGGGTTGGAGTGGGGTCATGGTAAATTCTTCTATTGATCTGTTTTGAAAACCGCAATAATCACTAAACAATTGAAGAAGCAGAAGACGATGTCACAACAAGATCAATGGTCGACCCTTGGAAACAAGCCGATATAGCTGCTGCTTCCAGCCGAGTCAAATGGCCTGGATCTAACCAAGCAGCTCCGTCAGCTGCACCCAATGTCTTCCAATCTTTCAAAGACTGGAATGCAGCAAATTCTGGAACAGCGGCTCGACCAGCTACCCGTACGGGCCATGACTCCTTTCACAAACTTCCCAGAAACCTTCGTGACTCTTCCAAATACGCATGGGCCAATCCCAATTCCCAGCCATCTTCAAGACAAATTGCTTCCCACTCCGGCACCTCAGACAATTCCAACAATCCGCCCACAGGCTTACCCAGTGGTTCACGATATCGTTCGTCCCAAAACGCGGCCTCTTATCCTCATTCTTCCAGCCAGGGCCACATCTCCGACCAGACGGCTATGAATCTAGGCCTCGATCTTGCAAGCACCTCTTCGTCTTCACAGCTACCAGACACTGCTTCCAGCATAAGTGGTTCCAATAGTATGGGACTTTTTGTTTCCAGTAAGCCTCAAGGCTCCAGCCTCATAGAGAACGCAACGTCTTCAAGTCAGTCGAGTGCGCAGAGCTCACCGATGGACATTGATGAGCCGACAGAGGATCCGATTCCACATGACACTCTTGAAAGGTTAAGTCAGCAAGAGGATAAAGATCACGAAGAGATGGCTGTTATGAAAGCTCCAAAGAATGTGGAGGATGACATTATGACGGATGTTTGATGGCGCTACGCGAAGAACTGGGTGGGGGGGAGGGCAATGCTCTAATGCATTATTACTGCAGACAATTCAGACGTTACATCTCGCCCGGCTACATATTCGGGGGGACACTTTGCATTCTCTCTATCTCTCTTCTTATTTATCTGATTGAAGGTTGATGGAAAGTTGGAAACTGCTCATGCAATGGAACCCGGTAGTGAGCAATTGGCCTGGTGGCCTGGAGATATCACATTGGCTTTGGCATATTGGCAATGGAGTATAGATGGGGGCACGGTCCATTGGATGATGGCGTTTACTTCAGACTTCAGTGGCAGAATTCGGCAAAGGAAGTCAGCATAATACCAATAGGGGATACCAAACAACAGAACCGGATAGATAGTGCGAATATTAATAGAATGCTTATATATTTCTTTCTATTTACATCTTCCAAGTATCACTCTCTACTTTATGTGATAATCTTACTTGCAAACAAGTTGGAAAATTGGGTTGGATCTTCTACTAGGAACTCGGGGTACGCTATTCTTCTGAAGTCTGAAGGTACCTTCCAGCGATTCTCTTTCTACCACCGGTATGACATGTAACAAGTCAAAAGAGACACGCAAAAGTTGTAGTACCAGCTGTTAAGCCAACGAGTATGGTTTCTGCTTTGAAAAGACGCGTAAAGTGAATAGGCCCTTGTTGGTGGTCCTCGAGAAGATGAAGCCTTGTGACACGTGAATTAAGAATCTCTCAACACTGGGGCTTCTCAACACCATGGGCTTTGCATACCACAAATATCAAGAAATAAAAAGACAATTAATAAATAGCAAGCTCTGAATCCTTAATTTAACCCATAAGACAGGTGTTGCCTTGCTATTATCTAGAATTTAAGAGACATTTTTTTGGATGCTAACCCAGACATCAAATTCAATACAAGCGAGCCTTGTAGGCACCTATATAGATCGAGAAAAGAGAAAAGACGTCTAAAACTATACTCTTGTGGCCAAGCGGTAGAGGTTCAGCCTTTACAGTTTGGAAAATCTGTTACTAACAAGTTCCAGGTGCAACTTATACTAAGAAAACTGATCACTTCTTAGTGAGACGTGTCGTACAGTTCGGACGCGACACGTCCCCTTAGCCGATTCCTCCAGGGAGGGAAAAAGCTAGCATGCATGCGCTCTGCTGATTCTCACCCGGGCGAGAAAGTGATGCAAACACCTATAGGGAACAAAGTGTTCGCACACCGAGGCCAGACCGCGAGGTAACTGCTCATCTGCGAAACACCCCTACTTGGTGATAATATCCCTACGGGGCGTCTCCCTGCGGGCGTTCTCTTGAGAACACTGCTAGCTGACAATCCAGGCACCGATCTCCATCATGGTTAGCTGCTGACTATTGTAGGATTTCAAACCCCCCATTCGACTTGTCGTTTGGAGCCACAAAAAGTTAAACTAAGTGCGCGACCTAGGAAACGAAGCCGCCAACCTGTAAGTACAAGCTCCTCCTCCCTAGATATCCTTGCCTGCTTGGCCACAAGAGTATAATATATTTTTTTGGTTTTACTGTCCTGCTATTGCTTGCTTGTTGATTTGTTTATCTCTTGGATGTGGTGTAGAGGCTCGCGTCACAACGAAAAGAGATCCTTCTCAGCATGTGAGGAATTTCACTACTTCTGAGACCTGCTCCCTTTGTATAATGTAACAGTACATCTAGAAAGTACAGAGAATTGATACTATCCAGATGAACCTCGAGACCAAAACCAAAACCACGCACGCGTCTGGCGGAGATCTCGCGGCCAGTAACCACGACGGGATTCAATTCACTTCTCGTTCGCACTACTTGACTAAACAATTGCTATCCCAAAACACAAATAACCTCAGTATTTGTAGAAATATTACATAAATCTAGATCCAAGTTTATAATTGGTTTTGAACAAGGCTATAAAACCTTTCAATTAACACTTGTAATTCCTTCTGTTCTCATTTCCGAACCATATGTGTTTTCTTTTTTTCTCCCCCAAAAGATCAGAGCACATTGACTACAAGCCCTAAGGTTCAAAGATGACATTTGTATTAAATAATGTCTCCCTGTGATTTGCCTAAGATTCGGAAAGATTCAAGCTGCTGAAGGTCAATTGTGTTTGATAGAGTACATTGAAGTCTCCAGTGAGGCATGAGGTGACGTTGAAGAGGTGGTCCGAGCTCTTGGGCTTCTGCCGAGGAAGATACGGCGCTCAATAATAACTTCCTTCGAGAGCCTTAGAGTCTAGAGAAGTTGTCTAATGAGAAGTTTAAGGATAGTCCCCTTGTTGCTGAGAACTAGCCCCTGAATCAGGGGCAATACCTATTTGGGTTAGTCACTTTCGCTTATTGACGTTTAGTATCGCATACGGAGTATGTTTCTTTCTTCATTCACGTACACTAAGAATGCCGCGCTGCCAAGATACATATGCCATAATGCCAAGTTACATGTGGTTTTATATATAGCAGCCTGTCCTTCTATCGAATCACTATCTATAGTCTGTGGACCGGTCAGAATTTAACTCTCAATCCTCGGGGTTTCGAATGTTATTCCTATTGACGACTTCAGTCTCCTCCAGGAGATCGACGGCTTTGCTCATTCCATATGCAGCGATACATGGCGGAATTTGGCCAGCGTTCCACAATCGATATCTGGTTTCAGATCACCTGGGAGAGTTGTTTTCAGACCTTTATATCGTCAATTCCTGATTGATTCTCGCGCGTGTTACGTTACGGAGGGAGCACGTTGAAACTTTGACCTAGCCATCGGATCTGCATTGTCGCCAAGGGGAGACAATTGAGTTGCAAAGACCCTTTCTCAGAACAAGTGATGACGAATGGATGGTTGGTTGGAAGCGGCGGGGAAAGAGGCTGCGGAGATATGGTTCGTGGCTGTGAGGCGGCGGCGTGGAGCTTCCTATCGACAGATACGCGAGACAGCGATGAGAATGCCTGGGAGAACCTCACTGTCGAATCGCATCCTTTGATCTAATTCTATCGCTATGGGAAGGTCTGAACTCGGTATCGAACATGAAATCAAAGCACAAAAAAAGAATAGCAATTCGCGCAATTCAAAGCGCTGGCAGTTTATCATATGCGAAAGCCACCTTGACAGTGGAGGTTTGGATTTCTTGTGGTGGGGCCTCACTCCGTAGGGAGCTTGAAATCAAAGCGCTCTGATCCTGGGGAAAGCGGCTGCTGCAGAGCCACTTTTGGTTATCATCCTCCACCACCACGTGGAAACCCTCACAGAAAGAGACACATGAAACTGTTGTTCAGTAGGAGTGGGCACGTGTGTATTATTGCCTCCAGTCCTGCCATTCGCTGACGATACCCGATAGTCGATACCCGATAGCTGATCCTTGGTTCTCGGCTGTTGAATGCCGAGTCCCCTGCGCCTCATATTTTCCGGGCCGAGCGTTCCCGAGGGAGCCGGAACCTTGCAGCTGGGATGCCTCAGCCTCAAACAAACCTTGCACCAATGGTGAGGAAGCTCCAGACCTCGTCCCAAGAACAAACGATCCTTCTACCACGCACGACTTGAGGCTGATTGTAATAAACTTCTTGGCTTAATCCCAGAGGAGGACTCCTGAGGGTGGCTTCCCTAATGAAGTTGTGAACATTGGCATTCCTTCCAGCGAAGCTCATCGCTGCTCGCAAATATATAAGTTTGGCTAATTCACCTGCACTTCCGATCTCTCTCATTCAGAACAACAGCATCAATCCGATCAATACAAAGAACATCAACATCCGCATTACTTTCCAGCAACTCATTCCTCGAGATCTTATCCTATTTTCCTTCCTCCATTCAATCAAGAATCTTTCTTCAATATGCAGTTCTCCAAGCAACAAACAGCCGCTCTCGCAGCTCTTCTTCTCGCTCTCCCTGCCTTTGCTTCTCCTATCCCGGGCCCTGCTTCTACCCCAACTCATGACAACCTGATCTCTTCCGAGAGAATCGTGCCGGGTTCATATATCTTGAATAGAGAAACGATCCCTAACAGCGTGGTCTCTTCCGGGAGATTCAAGCCGGAAACATATTCTCGCATTAAGGAAGAATTGAGCCACTGGCCCGAGATTACTCCCGGGGTGAAACATGAGGAACGCGGCCTCTTCAACAAAAACAAAAAGCCCACGACTACGGACGCCCCAGCGAGCTCAAAAACCGCGGATCCTACAAACACCGCGGAACATGCACCTGGAGCCACCCCAACAGAAAAGGGATCAAAAACCGACAAGTTCGTCAATGGAGCACAAAAGGTATCAGACACCGGAAGTGCAGTGAATGGCGTTGCACAAACTGGAAACGAACTTTGGAACTCAGCAAAGAACGCTTGGAACGACGTCTTCCACGGCGGCGAATCATCCGGTGCCGGTGCGGAGCCAGCGGCCTAGGGGATTCCTGTCTTGACCGAAAACTGACTGGTGTCCAAGAAGATCGCGTTTTGGTATATGTGATGGAATCGCGAACTGGGAAAATCGCGGGACTTGGAAGTGGCTGTTCATATGAGGCATGGATTTCGTTTTCCAGCCAACCCAAAAGCATTTTAGCATGGAGTTATGGAGTTTAAAAGGATTAAGATAAAAGCATGAAGCTTTTATCAGAGGGATACTTTGGGATTTTTGTCTGATTAGATAGGTTGCGCTTTTTTCCAATGTACGAAATTTCAAGCAACAATCTTCTCCTTGTATCCGGGTGCCTTGAAGTAAAGTACTGGCTTTTCGATCCTCCAAACCTAGACCTCTTTTATTTCTCTCTCTCTTTTTGACTACCTAAAAAGAATTACTAGAGCTAATCTGTATTTCAGGTCATTCTTCTAGGACCCTGGGCGGTTGTTCAGGTAGAGTTATTTGTCAGCGTAAGTCCAGAAGATTCACTCATTCTTGATATATGTTCTATAAGGCCCTTCATATTTTGACGTTATGGAATACTCTTGAGCATCATGGCATACCTTCAAGCCCGGAAGCTAAAGTTTAAGTGCGGGTTTCCTGGTTGCGAAAAGAGCCTCGGACACCAAGCAGAAAGAAGACGGCATGAGAATGAATATCGTGGCACTCACAAGAGCTGTTCAAAAAAGTTTATGTTTAACCAAAAGACAGGGCAGATTGGTTGCAACTTGCCCACGAAAGTAAGCGCCATTTCAAAGAGGGAAAAGGTCGCTCAGTTGGTAGGGCTTATTCGTAGCAAATTCGACACCCTTGATTCGAACGCAACATCGAAGACATCGATCGGTTCATGCCTGGTCCGGCGAGAGCCTACTTCAATGGCTGAACTGCCCACAGATCACCCAAAACAGTCAGAGCCGCATTCAGCACTAGAAAGTGACCTGCGGCTGATATGATAGCAATAGCTAGCTAATTGACAATAAGAGATAAAATGACAACGACCGGAAAATGACAACAACAGACGAAATGACAATGATGACGTTTAGTTTGGCAGCGATAGGCGTAATGACAACAGATGATAATAGTGAAAAGCCCTTCTGAATCGTGGAATTGACTCTGGTACACCATGGGCAACTTGGCTGGGTCGTATAGCGTCCATGCGCGGGGTTTGTCCGCCTCGTCGACGCCGTGCTGCCATGGTTTGATCGCATCGCCCTGCTGTTAATCGCGGATCTCTCTCTTGACACTTGTTTTGCTAAGAATCTTTGATCAATCTGAAAGAAGCTGATAGAGAGAGAACATGTTTAAATAGTTAGGTAGGGAGGTGCTTTCAGAGTTTGAGTTGATTTCAAGGAGTATTGTCAAATTGAGGGATCAAAAAGTGATGTAAAGATGGGTTATTTCAGTAAAGACAGGAAGAATTTCAAATGGATTGACCTGAATTGTTACATTCCAAGCAGGGTAGCTAACACAAAAAAAAGCTTACCATAGGTCTATAGGGGCATATTCGGCATATCTATACCGGCTGGATCTATCGATCTGGGGGATCACCTACCGGGTAACGGATCACGTTCCCCTAATTACCAGCTGATCCCTGGTTCATGAAAATAGGGATCGTTACCCCTAACTTATAGGTAGTTCATGTTGGAAGTGGTGGATACTCTGGCTCTTAGGCACATATATCATGGTTCAGAGGATATCGCGTCTTTCCCTGTAAATTGTAATAGCACTCCCCTTTTTGAGTTCCCAGATGGAGATATTTCAGTTGTGATAATGACGATCCCTGCACTAATTTTATCCAAGATATACATCTTGTTAAATAAATCAGAGAGGTGGTGGTACTGCCGCACCGGTCAAATCGGATATCAGTCTCCTGCTGAATGCATAATTATATGGAAATGACATGTCAAAATGAGTGGCCAGAGCAAAGGCTACAGACGCTGTGAAACTGCAGTTTACAAATCAAACTATTGATTTTCCAGGATGGCCTTTTGGCCGCATTCTTGAGAGGAAAAGTTGGCTGATTTTGGAGTATACCTCCGTAGAACCATAGAAGTGGAAGTAGGTAGAAACTCGGGGCTGTATAATTGGAAGAAAGTAGCGCAGTAAAAGACTAAAGTATTCAGAGGGAAAATCTGGACAAATAGGGGAGGGACCCGAGATACAACATAGATACAGGGGCCACCAAATCCCTGTTCTGGGCGACTTGCATCAATTGACCTTGGAATATTGACGCGCCAAGGAGTGAGAAATAAAGATTGGAGAGGAGACAGGTTTCGAGATAAATATTCTGAATATAAAATCTTCCAATCCTCTTCGGGATAGCAGCAGGAAAGGAACAATGGAAGTTGGATAAGAACTCAAGAAGAAGGTTAAAGCTCTTGGCGGAGTACATGATCAGCCTTAATTACAGATCCCCCGTATTACCGTAGTACAATCTGGGAAATACGAAGATACTTAAAATTAGCCGAGGTAGCAGGGGTGTTTCCTGTGGAGCGAAGCGATTCCGGTTATCTTATCGATGTTCCTTTCTTTCCTTCCATCTTCCTCTCCTCTCTCTCTCCTCTCCCCTTTTTCCTTTGTCGACAACTTCTTCTACTTCACCATCCCGTCCATCCCCTTTCCACCCTCACTGAACCCCCTTTCGTTGATTATCCAAGCCACCCATCAAGACAGACATCTCTTCTTCAGCGGAGCATCCCAACATGCCGTACTGCAATCCGTGTGATCGTTTCTTCAGCACCCTCAATGGCTACCAGAACCATCTCGATAACAGCTTCGCACATATGCCCTATCGATACAAGAGTGATCCAGAGCCGGAGCCTAGGGTGGTGTACACCGGCATCGTCTATGCCCAATATGGGAATGATCCAGAGCCGGAGTTCCCCTGCTTTGCCTGCACTCGAGACTTTTGGACCTCCAGTGCAAGGCACATGCACTGTGTGAATAGCCACGGGGAGCGTTACTGTGCCCCATGTGAGCGCATGTTTAATGATGCGAACTGTCTCTTGCAGGTACAGCCAACCATCGGCATGTCCTTGCACCGCGAAACTAACTATTTCCTCAGCACCAGCATTCCAGAGTCCATGTAGGAACAACCATTCAGTGCCCCTTCTGCAAGAATTCCTTTGCGACGGCATCTGGCGTTACCATCCATCTCGAGTCCGGAACCTGTAGTTCAGGTATCAACCGCGCACAGATCGACCGGACCATTCAGCAGCTGGATCGGGGTCACGTCATCACCAATCGCTTGCTCACCATGCCAGACTATGAAGACACAGAAACTTTTGCTACGGAAGCATCATGGAATGGATCCGGCTACCAATGCTATCTGTGCAGAAAGGTGTTTGGTAGGCTGTCTAGCTTGAATATGCATCTCAAAAGCCCGGCACATGAGCAGGCTCTCTATCGGTGCCCGCAACCTAGCTGTCACAGAAACTACAAGTTGCTCAGTTCGCTCGTACAACACTTCGAGAGTGAGTCCTGTGGTGTTATGCGGTTCAACGTAGTGCAACAGAATGCGAGAGACGGGATCCAGAATATGGTTGGCAGGATGATCTCTGGATAGAGGAACGGGTTGAGGTCGGTGGAAGCATGGCGTTACCTTGGGTAAGCCGGTCTTGCTTACACTGCTTTCGTTCATCGATCCTACATCGTACCTGGGGCTGGGTTCCGGAAGGGACGTCGGACAGTTCCACATTTTCATTGCTCTCATCAACATTCTATCCAATTCAGGCGCTTGACAGCGAAGGGTAGAAAGATATCTCACCATACAGCCAGGGTAGCTGTTGCTGGTTGGTAGCTTTCATGCAGATATACAGCTTGGACGGGAAGTGCTTTCATAGCCCGAGCAATATGCTTTATAATTTTCTATCCTTGTCTTCCACAGATTTCAATGAAGACAAGATTTCTCAGAGTAAAGGCTAGCTAGCTCCATGACGGTGAGTAGAGACAAATCCCCTAAGCCTTTCAGGCTCCTACCGCGACTTCTATTACAGGCACTCCTCCTGCAGAACTACATAGTAGAACGATAGGACTGTTATCTAGGATATTCATAATATAGGTACGTATTTGATTGCCCCTGCTATAGCTAAATCCGCGTCCCCCTTCCCCTTCCCCTTCCCGCCCTCCGCCAAACATCACATCACATCATCCCTCCCTCCATTCCCCACTCATCAAAAATCGACGGCGCTCCCAAAAACGCGGGGTAAACATAAAAATAAACCTCCGAGACTCCGAGATTTCAAGGCAAGGTGCTTAAAATAGAATGATGATGGTACGCTTAGGTGGGACGACGCGAGTCAGGGGCTGTGGTGGGGGCCGCGAATAATGGATAGGGTTAGGTTGAATTGGATCACGGTACGGGTACCTGGTATGGGAGGAGGATCTTGCTGTTCTATTTTTTTTGTTTTGGGCTGTTGTTTCGAGGTAAATTTGGGGGAGGAGATGGGTGATGAAGAGTTATCTAGAAATGAACGTGCTCTCTATTAAGGTAGGGGAATCTAGGCTTATTTTCTCCAGAAATCTCAAATCTCAATCTAATCTAATGATGCCATACGGAGAAGGAGGGATGAAAGAGTCTATGATTGATATATATACGTGAAGAAATCAGTCACTCAGTCAGTTAGTCAATCCGTCATACTCCGGACACCCCCGCGAAAGAACATTTAATCATCAAGCTCTCTCTCTTCCTCAAGGCGTATCCATGTCCTTGACCCCATTGCCCATGATCCCGTTCCCGTTGCCGTTCGAGGAAATCCCGTTCGACGAAAACATCCCTTCGTCATCGCTGCCCTTCCGTTTCCACGCCACCCTCCTCTTGGCTTTGTCAACCCGGTGGCCCCATTTGACTTTCCATTTGTGGCCTGCTCTCCTGATCCGCTTGCGCGGGTAGTTGACGGGCGACTCGCCGCCCACGAAGATCGCTGAGTCGTACAGGAAGGCCCCGAAGATGGCGCCCGTTATTGTCGCCGCCCATGGCCCGTAGATCCACCAGACGTGGTGATCGTAGAACAGGGAGCCGCCGTAACCAACGGCCAGGAGCGCTAGGCGCGGTCCCAGGTCACGGGAGGGGTTCATGGCGGCGCCCGTCGTGTACCCAAATGCCATGCTACAGATCGTGACGACGAGCCCAATGACAAAGGCGTTCATGCCGGCTCCAGGGGGGGCGTTAGTATCGTCACCCATGGCCAGCACAGAGATGGATAGGATGGCCGTGCCAGTGAACTCGTTGAAAAAGGCGGTGCCCGCATCAATATACGGCCGTCGGGGAAACGTGATGAACGCGCTCGCAGTGCCACCCTGCCCGAGATTTGTTCCTCCGTAGGCAATGATTTCTTTTTGGAACAGGCCCCAGGAGATTAAACCGGCAAGAAAAGCGCCAAGGACCTGCGCGAAGACGTACATGGGGACTTTGCGTAGCGGAAAACCGCGGTAGATATATAACATGATGGAAATAGCCGGGTTAAGATGTGCACCGGAGATACCACCTGCGATGTAGATCCCAACCATCGTGGCTAGTCCCCAGGCCCAGTCGGTGGTCCCCTCGTTGCCAGTGGTGCCCTTCGATGTTACGACCGCGAGATCGGAACAGAATCCGAGGGTGAGTTGGACGGTGACCTAGGAGAGTTAACAAAGATTCTCACACCCAGAGGATGAGGGGGTTGGGTAGACATGCAGCTAACAACTCAGCGAGAGGTTCTCGAAAGCGTAATCGGATCACAGACCAATGTGTGTGGAGGTTATGGATCTCATCGCCCTCCGCCTCGTAAGCTTTCAAGGGGAAGGCGTGGAGATCACTCCCATCATCAAAGTACCCGTCTTCCTCATGTGCAGTAGCGATCGAAGCAGCGTCATCAGGATACCATCGCTCTTCCGAAGGCCTCAACCTTCCTCGCCCGCCAGGTGATAGACCACCAGGTGACACGGGGTGCTCCTCATCCAGTGGGGGCATCGGCCCAATATCATCCTCACCATTTTCAGGTACTGACGGGGAACTCAGCGGTGGAACATTCGACGTAGTCCGCCCAAGACTCGGGGCCCCCGGTCCTCCCCTTCTGCTGTATGTTTGGAAGAGCTGGTTTTCCCGGTTTTGCCTGGTACTTTGAAGTTGGGATGAGATCTTGTCTACTCGTAAGGTTGGTTCAATCCTACCTTGCTCCAGATCTGCATCTGGACGGCCTTGCCTCTGATCTTGTGACTGCTGTACCTCGCTGCGAGTTGGAACCATTCCTGGGCGGATAACACGCGGTAATGGCTTGGCCAAACCCCACACTGGTCGGGTATTCAGAGGTTGTTCGTATGCTGGGTTCAGCTGGCTGTATCCAGGATCTACATATGGTTGATTGGCGGGCATCACCACTTCAGGAACTGGGCCTGCCAAGGAGAAACCCGTCTGTGATTGTGTGTCTGCAGCTCCACCGGATCGCCCTGTTGCCGTTGCTGCAAGTGCGACTGACGGCCTCCTCTGCGCCGTGCTAGACCGTTCTCGAGGAGCAGAAGACGTCCATGTACCAACACGTGGACGCAATCCGAGGTAGCTCGGACGAGCCTGCTCTGAGGTAACACTCTCCGTCCCGCGCCGTGATCCACGATCCCCACTCATCCGCGGCCTCCCGCCTTCTGGTATAGGATCCATATGCTCCCCTTCGGATGCCGGCGGTTCGACGGAGGCATTCCTCCCGGGTCGTTGTGCTAGTGGTGAGGCATCGAGGTTGCGAGGCCGTGCCGATATTGTGGCACCTCGCCGGCGGGTTGCAGGAGAATCTGGATCCCGCTTGGCCGAGCTTCTTGTCCCAAGCGGTAGAGTGCCAGACCGGCGTAACCCAGCGCCTCTCGGATCCTCCTGAGAAGAGGAAGTCGGACGAGCTGGTGTTGTCCGGCCTTGCGATGAGGTCGTCGTTCGATGTAGCGGAGAGTCTGTGTGAGGGGAGTCGGGAGTCTCTATTGTGGGCATTCGCTGCACCGGATGCTGCTCGTCTGTCTGAGCCTCTTCCCCCGAACCTCGTCCCTCCTCCTGCTCCGGATTCTGCATTGCGCCTTGTGATGCTCCCTGTGCCGAGTTCTGTGTTGCACTCCGCTCCAAAAGATGCCGTCCCTCTCCTCCGCCACCAGGCGCGTCTGTTTGATCATCCGGCATGTCTTATGCTCCTAGCCAAAACACAAAATAACCAGATAAGTAACCCGAGCCGCGTGGTAAGGGGGCGTATAGCTAAAACGCGGACATTAGGACCGTGGATGGATGCAGTGGCATTGAATAGGATCTATGTGCGAGAAGAGGAATCGTAAGTCGTGAAGCCCATAAGTGCGAAACGGAATTGCGGATGGTACTATAGATGATAGTAAGGGAGGAGAAGACCCCTGGCAAGGAAAGGTAAGGTAGATAAGAATGATAACCTTGGTAATGAAGCCGTTGCCAGAGAAGCAATGACGGTACAATGCGGGAGATGGAGATACAACGAGAGAACTGGAGAGAAGCAGTCTTATCCGCCCGGCTCAGGACTTGGACTTCCACGTCCCCGATACATCATAGTGCAGGATCTACCGTGAAGCTTCTCAGAGCGTGCCCCGGTAGCTCGCGATGGTGTTTTTTTTTTGTGGAACGCTTCACGCTTTTCTGCCAACGGGCCGAGAAAGCGTCGCTGTTGGTGGAGTCGGCCATGTCGGAGAAGGGCTAGGGCCTAGAATGGCTTGAGCTAGCCGAGCACGTGATCAGGGCAAGACATCTCGGTACCTTACCTTGCCGTGCTCCGAAGTTCGAGAGTCGGTCGTCTTCAATCAATCATCCCGCTCAAGAGAGAAGAAGAGAGGGAGCAGTTCAAGAGAGGAGAGAGAGGACCGGCGACACTCAACAGACTCGAGAACAATCAACAGTATGGCCCAATATCCCGCACTCGAACCGCCCCCTCCAGACCCGGCCGGCATCTCCGCCGCCTTCCTTCCAGACGCCTCCTCCTCTCGCTTTCCACCGTGATCGACGTTGCGGGCCCGCGTTGGTGCCCAGCCTGCGGCCCATCGAGCAGCACAGTCTCCCCCCGGGCCCCTCCATCGCGAGTGTGGAGCTGTCCAAGATTGCGATGCAGGGTCGTGGAGTTATATCCCTCTCTGTTACTGTACTATGACGAGTGGCGCCTGGCCATCGATGAACGCTTGCTCGTGATACCTTGCGCGAACAGTGAACTACCTACATACCGTGCATCGGGATGCAAGAGAGTGGAAAACGACCCGCCCTCCCTCCAGATCATCGGATGCAAGGCCGTCTTTTGAGAAGTGAAGTGGGCTGCTGTAGGGGGCAGGCTGTGTCAGGGTTATTTATTCTTCATGCTAAGTTTCACATACAGTATGTGATTTCATGCGGGATGATGAGGTGTATGGAGATCCAGTAGGTATAGTAAGGATGACCTCGCGACATCTTCGACAAGGGCAGCTCTGGCTAGTCTTATATACTCCCACCTTGTGTGCTGTCCCGAAGGTACAGTGACGTCTGACTTGGAGATCTGCTCTGTCAGCCCTTCGGCATGCTTGTGTATGGCCAGATATGTAGGGAGGGAGAGAGGGACGTTGTCGCTGGTGCTGTTTGCAGAGGTAGGTAGGTAGGCTTCACCAAAGATGTATACTTCTAAGTATACCATCGTACCTATATACATAAGGTATACATAGGTAAGGTACCTAAGGTAAAGTACCTCCTCTCCCTTTCCCTAATCAAGAACAATAGGTCTAATAATCCACCCTTTCAACCCCTATCAATGAACTTACCTGTGAAAAACCCGAACTCCACAGTAAGGTAGCTACAGCCCAACGTCCGCTCAACCTCCCCTTGCGAGATTAAATTACAAAATCTAAAACCGTGTATATATACCAGCCTCCGTTTATCCTCGTCCTCATTCTCAGAGCAATATAGGCTGGAAGGGGTCGAAAGGAAAGGGAAGAGGTCGTGTATGAACCGTTTCTGCTTCAAGCACATGGAACCCTTCTGCTTCTTTTGCGTATTTTGCATTGCATTACGCCCCCTTCCATTTGCTGCTTTACATGATGAACCGAGTCTTTTTCTTTCTTTACTACACTGCATGCTACCCTTGGACGCTTTCCTTGCTATGTTGCTTTTCTCGCTCCTCTCGCACGCTTGATTAATAGAGAGACGCATCTCCCGCTCTCACCACATCCACCCCCGCACAGAAAAACAGAAGAACGACCGACCTGAGCGCGCAGTTTTTTCAAACTTCCCAACTTCACACCTTTCCCATTTGCACAGCCCACCAGACACTGAACACCCTGACACACGGAAAACGAGCTGAAAGGCGCAAGACAGGGACAAAAGACAGGACAAGAAAGGAAGAGAGGATCCCGCGCGAATAAAAAAGCCCACACGACACCCATAAATGCAAGATTCCGAACGACAATGAGACGCGAAACCCCGTTAGCCAATATTCCCCCGGACGAGTAAACCCCATAACGAAAAACCGAGATGTACGATAGGATGCCCGTGCGTGTGTATTTTGGGAGAGGAGAGCGCACTGGGCCGGAGCGCCATCCCAAGACCGACCGAAACCGAACTGAAGAGAGGTCCTTCCTACGCCATCCATAGCAAGCCGAGAACCGAATTTTTAATCCTCCCCATTATTACTCCTTCCGAGAGGACTGCTTCGTGCATTGAAGCATCCTCTAACCCCAAACGCTAGCCTGTACACCCAACGAATTCTTTCCCCAGACACCACTCTTCGAGCCCCATCCTAGAGCGACATCCTGCTGAGATGCATTCTGGGAGTTCGGGTTGCTTGCCGCGGATGTCGTTCTGTTATCTTTCTGCTCAGACTCATCGTTGTTGGCTGCAAATCCATAGCTCAGCGGGGAGGGCAGCGGAGTGGTCGAACGCTGCTTGGTCAGCGCTGGATTGGGCGCCTGCGCGGGACGGGTCCCGATGGGTGCAACGCCTGACCCAGTTGGCGCCTTCTGACGAGGAGGAGAGCCGCCGGGCGAGGAAGTCGACGTCCGGCTGGATTGTTGTGCGGCCGACTCGAAGATGCTGAAGCTGCTGGTTGGGTTCGAAGATGGCGACGAGGTGCTGTTAGCACGCGAGCGTTGGCCAGGACCCTGTGTTGCGGACTGAGGTTCTTGGGCCTGCTGGTTGGCGTTTTGCTCCTGGCTGGCCTGGGCATTGAAGTGGTCAAAGGCTAATGGCGAGTGCCCACGGATGCCAGTGGCGGATTGGGAGCCCGACCCCTGAGTTCCTGGTCGTGGGGTCCCGTTCTCGTCAAAGCCACTCTCGGAGTAAGGACCTTGGCCATAGAGACGATCTCGCTGGCTCGCAATCAACTCGCGGCGCTCTTCCTCGCTCATACCGCTGCCCGGGCTAATGGTCCGATCGGGTTTACCACCAAAAGTAGAGATTTCAGCTACAATGCCTTATTCTAGTCAGTAACTGCTGATATGATGTTTTGACAGGGAATATCCGCAAACTTAAGAGATCACACGTAGTATCAGAAGCAAGTGAAATGATAGCATGTACAGAGTTTTGAGTGTTATGTGGACCGCTGGGTACAGGGTATAGGAGTTCGTGTTATACAGAAGTTACAGAAGAGGGTGGCCTACTTCGATTGTACTGCTGCTCTTGGTGATAATTGCGGAGCTCTCTCTCACGTTGGGCTGCCATCCTTCGCTTCGCCTGCATCACTTGTTCGGCCTCATTTGCGCCACGCGATGGTTGATGGCGCTGGCTGGCATAAAAGTTCTGAAGATTCGACCCGGAAAAGGAGCGGGCATCAGTGAAATCACTCCCGACAGAGTGGTGTCGAGGAGGGATGGCTCCCATGCGTGGATCTGGCCATTTATCAGCCCGTGAAATATAGACAACATGGCATGCAGCTTACCAAACTGTTGCGGAAAATCTCTTGGCGGTCCACCCATTGGCATCGAGTCGCGACGGCCAGGAATGCCGAACATCTTCCCACTCTTGGCGAGGTTATCGATCGCACGGTCGACCTCTGGAGAAATATATCAGCTTCATACCCCCTAAAACGTGTAGGCGAGATGGTGTTGAAGGGGGCGCGCATATGCGGCCGTGTCTCTCCGATAATCATATGTGGGCCCCCCCAAAAAAATTTGCGCCTGCCATCAACACCATCTGTAGCCATGAACTCGTGTATATCTGCACGTACCCTCTAATTGTGTCATGAAGGCCGCTGATTCTTCGCGCGGAACGGCCGAGCTGGCACCTGTAACACCCGTCAATTGACCATCCCTATATATCTCGCCATCGACGTCAACATACCAGAGCGAGCCGGTGGCGTCTGCTGGTCCCAAGCCTGTGCCCCAGGAGCTTGCCACTGCTGATTATCGTAATAAGACATATTTTCGGATCAAATGTAGCTTGTAGAACTGGAGCCTGCAGTGCTGAGTCGGAAGATAAGGAACGTAATACGACAAGGCCGTGGAGAGGACTCTAGAGGAGGGCCATCTGTCAGTATGCGTAGTAATCGAGGATGAACGGGGGCGTGGCAAGAGTGCTGCAGTTGGGGCGCATGGCCAAAGCCAAGGAGAAAAGTCCTGAAAGCAGGGAACAGGAAGTCCGGGAGGTGCGTGGTGATGTGGAAAGAACCGGCTTACCAAACGAAAACTCAGACGGGGGTTGCAGAGCAGAGACAGAGAAAAGAACGGCCCTCGACGAGGCGGAGAATTGTCGAAACGGATCAATGGATCAGGAGAGGGATATGGGGGGGGAGAGGAAAAGAAGAGAGGAGGAGAGGAGGGAGGGAGGGAGGGAGAGGAGAGGAGAGAGCGCGAGGGCGTGGGAGTAGTGGGAGTAGTCGAGTGGCCGTGGTAGGTAAGGTGTGTGGTGCTCTGAAGATTGGGGTGGAGGAGGGAGAGAGAGCGTGGTTCGTGGATCACGGATGGTGGGTTCGGCGGCGTGGAAGGGTGGAAGGGTGGTGGTGGTGGAGATTCTGGAATTTTAGAATTTTGCGAGCGAGATGAGGATTATTACAATTTACCATTTATAATTGATCATTTACAAATTTAGTGGAGCTTGTGGTGTTCTGGCTGCCATTTCGGGGAGGATTGCCCGCTGTTTTACGGGCCGAAATTTTACCATGCCACGCTGTGTTATCGTATATTATAACATCCCCTGTATCAACAGCAATAACGACAGCGACAGCGATAATGAAGGCCCCAGATCCTGCTTAGCTACCAACCTACCTATTGGCTATATCAAACCAGCGGCATACAGGGCAGGTAGGTAGGTAAGGCATGGAAAACCAAGGCAATGTGCCTAAGGTAAGGTGTATGATACCAGAACACGGTACCTTGGGTTTTATAAAGTTCGCCCCCTGTTTTACGGCGCCTCGAGCCTCCGAGAAGGGTCACGTGAACGGCTCGAGCTCCGCCCCGCTGATCGTCGTAGCAAAAGGACGATTCCCGTACGGGTATTCCAACTTGTAAACGGTCAACGGTCAACGGTCAACGGTCAATGGTCAACGGTCGATGGTCTCTTCTCTTGCCCAACATCCTACTTTGTCTCCCCCTTATTTCAACCTTGGGTGATCCCTATCAAAAACCATAGCCGTCGCTCCTCAGCTACTTCTGGCTCTACGCCCACCGTCCGCCCTCTCTCCGAATCCAATCAATCACCCGATACTCCGCTCAGGACTCTATCTCAAGGCAGGACAAGACCGCCACTGCCATGACCCCCAGGCTGTGCGCTATCGTCGCCCTGACTACCGGAAACCTTGCTGCAGAACATCGCGCACTTTGATGCTTGCATTGGACGTCGTCGCTGCCCCGGACCGAAGAGCGAACTCCCTGCCCCATACTACCATGATCTTACCAGGTAGCTAGACAAGACGACTGCTGTAGATCAAGAATTATTCCGCCGCCACCAAAGACAATCTTCGAAACATAAGAGGCATGCCAGGTCAGATTGCGAACGTGGTCAGCTAGCCTGACGCCCACCAGGTTATGCAATCACCTTGGTAGGATGGACTGGCACAGTGTAATCCGGAACTATTGTAAGGGGACCATAATGACTTTCCTTCGCCACATATACCTGGCATATCAGGTAAAGAAGACGAGTGTGGTCAGTCAATACTTGCTACTGTTCAGAATGCTATTCAACAGAGAAAGGCCGCCATATGGACATGGTGCAAACGATGCTCTCAAGGTCAGATCTTACTATCATTCCATCTTGCTTAGCTCAGAGGTTGCTAACATGTCTCTAGAACCTTAATGGCACCTTAACAGACGAATCCGAGGTCGAGTCAATTCGAAGCCGTCATAGGAATAGATGCCTTTAACCAAATCTCCACTGGGCCCGCGACGCTTCTACCTTCCCCACAGAGCGACAACAGGTACAATTTGCGCTGGTGCTGCTTCTCTTCACCAATAGGCACCGGCCGGTCGATACAAGGTAGAGGAGATAAGCAGCTGCAAGTTTTGATGTCAATGACAGACCTTGAAGCGAAAATCAGGCGCTTGAACACGCTGTGTTATAAGGATGCCCGCCTACTGAACGTGGGAGTCCAGAAAGCGGCGAGCGGGACGTTCTTGCTATAGAGGAAATGGCTCAATACAATGGGCACCACAGACACCCGAAGCCGCGAGCTGACAAACAACACTGGAATATGCCTCTTATCGTCGACTGACTTACTTCTAATACTATATTCTAGGAATGAAGGACAGAGTAAGCGCAATTCTCTTCATCCTTATTGTCTCATAAAACAGACCTTTAGGTTCTACCTAGTTTCTGCACTGGATTTAATCTTACCTGTAAATGTAATCGTACAGTACTTGTTCTCTATAGATTATAGTTTTATCAAGGCTCGGAGGGTGAGTAGATTCAACTACAGTAGAACCTCAAGTATTAGTAGTTAGAGAACACTTTATATTGTGTACATGAACTAGATCTTGGGCCCCCTTATTTCTATCTACAGAGTAAACCATCTCCCCCTTTTGTCTTCGTAGGCCGGAACCCCAGCGCCGGTACCACTAATACTCCAAGCGGCTGTATCCCCGAGCACGCCCGGCGCTTCCCGCTTGCTGCCCCTGAACAGTAAGCGAGTTCAATTAGTGTGTTACTAGCGCCTATCCCTCTGTACATACGATGGTCTTAAGATGAGGTACGGGCTGATTGTCATTACTAAACACACACAGGAAGTTCGTCCGAGCACGATTTCCATGTTGAGTTCTGCCATCATTGCCTCTGTCTGCCTGCGCTTAAGTACCCTCTGAAAATAACCAACTGTGCCAGTCATCATCCCGCAAGTCTCGAGTTACGTTTTGCTTTTGGGGCTAGATCTTCTGGGAGATTGGCTTGGGACGTTTAGCTATCTTTTACTATAAGGTTTTCTCCTAAGAGTCAAATATCACAAATTGAGCCGAAGGACGAAGAGAAGGTTGATGAATGGGTATCACCAAGTTGGATTTGATAACGAAAGCACCTTCCCTTATTTTCAAGTTGCGTTAAGTTCCGAAGAGTAGGTTATTCGCAAAGTGGGTTTTGATCTAGAGAACGACATCTCTAAGGTCCTTCAAGGTAGTAAGCTGACAGCTCTCAGCAAGAGCCCTTTCCTCCGATGAGGAGATTCTCGACGCGACGAAGCTTTTCCCAGAAACTAGACATGGGCCTATGGTCTTTGATGATGCGGAAGAAGAAACCTATACGGGACTAAAGTCGTTGTAAGGTGATAATGCGAGTCAAGACTTGAAGATATAGCAAGCAGTTACCTCTTGGTTAGGGATGTTCTCTTAACATTGTTCACAGGCTCACATTTAGGATTACGGTCACACTTGTGAGGCATCCACCAATTAGTTTCATCGACCTAGGTCAATAAGTAAAAGTGCGATGTGCAACAGAACTTCTTGTGACGAGGTCGGGTTTTAGACTTCAGTATAGGAAAAGGATTCGGACTCGAGCAAGGGCATATTATATGAATTGAATTTGAATACGAAGAGCAGTCAGAGACTCAGTACAAGAGCAAAATTCTATGGCCAAAACAGAAAGACAGCAAACAAAGCGGTTATGAAAGTCTCGGAGAGAGTATCGAGATTTAGAAACAAGCATAATTGCTCAGCCCTATTCAGTGGATGGTGAGCTGGCACTTGACAATGCAGGTTAAATTATAGATGGACTCATCAAATCCTGACAGGATCTCTATTCAAATATGAAGACATGAAAAGCTACGAATTCATGGTATTCTTTCAGCACTAGCTTAGTGCATCAAGTCCATTATTATCATGTATGCTGTACGATAGATATGCGCCTCTTTCTTGTCAACGGCAATTCACTCCTAACTTTTGTACGAAGTAAAGTACTGAACCTGGATCGCCAGACTTCGAGTCGTCATCAACCAGACTACCGGTAAGCAGACTCAGTAGATGCCCTTAACCGGCCGGGGATGGCTTCGCTATCCTTGTCACCTCTATGATCGAGACTATTCTGCCCGTCTTCCTTCCGAACAACCTAGAGTATCCGGCGTCGAGCAGCTTTGTCAAGATTATGTTAAGGTTTGTTGATTTAGGTAGGGAGTGTCGGAGAGAGAGCTCGCGACCTCGAGTAGAAGAAAGGGATAGTAGGCAAGGTTGATAGGTGTACTCCCCGAAAGTGTAATTTAGTAATTTGGTAATTGCGAGTCTGGCCATGGAACGACAGTGACCTGAAATACAGGAGTTCATTTTACGGTAAATTAAGATACCCTTGTGCCTGATTACCTTTACTAAGTTATTAGCCTCGGGGGCGGCTCGTGGCGCTTCATTTCGTTTCCCTCTCCAGCGTCCAAGCCTTCTTTTCTTCAGACCTTCCATCGGGCTCTGGAATCTGGTCCTGCGGGCTTCAGGAATTTCATGCTTGCTCTGCGGTGCGTTTCATCATCTGTGCACATGGAGGCCCGGTAAGGCTGATTTATTAGTGCAGCAAGAAAACTCCAGAATGTTTACGGTCTCTTGCTGGCATCTTTTCGATTGATCAACAGGAAAACGAAAATCACGCAGCGCTGCCAGTTTACTGCATTCGAATTCTAATCCAGAACCGCTTGTCATCCAGCTTATATCAAGATCCCTTATCCTCTGTTCAAGAGAAGCATTACCGTCAAAAGCTCAGTCTCAACCCAGAGACTCAACTCAAATCTCAAGTCCAGAGATTCAACGCCGAGTCAACGGAAATAAGAGCCTCCTCCCCGTCGCACTCCCCGAAGCATACGCCGTAACTATTCCCTCCTGTCAAGCCGTCGTCAACCGTTGTTATCGCCGCCCTATCCACGCCCGCCCACACGAAGCCGCAGGGATTGCAGGGGCCACTCTTCTTGAGCCCAACTAACCACTGTTCAAGTCTTAACTTCCCGCCGCCGTGTCCCTCACGATATTACTAGCCGCCCAGTCAGGCATTAGTAAGCGTCGTCGTCGTCCGTCCGGCGCAAAAATTCCTGCCAGAAACATTGACACGGCCGTGGTGATTTGATAATGAGTACTACATTTATGCGGGTTGGGATTTGCGGGGCGTTCTTTGAGCCTTTGTCACCTTTATGAATCCCGGAGTCGCCTCCTCCTGCGTTGTTCTGCACGTGCTGAGCTGAGGTTAATTATGGCTACCAATTCCACCACAAAGGGGACTATTGTCGATGATCCCGAAGGAGTCCAGAGGTAAGATCTTCACATATTTTTTTTGGGATTTTTCTTTGCCTACATGTACGGCGTATGCAGCACTACTCAGTTCATCCGTCTTCTCTCGCCTTCTCTCAAAGCCCGCCGCAAGCAAGTAGTCACTACTACTCCCTATGCAGCATTACATGCATGGCGCTGTGCTGCTCTGCACCTAGACGCATATGCATCACATCCATTCATCCATGTACAAGTTACCCCAAGTTCCAACCCCAAGCCTTCGTCTTTCTAAGCTCTCTCCCCGAATATCCACACATTCCTGCCTTACCCGGGTCTCTATATTACTGTCCATACATACCACCTGCAGTTACCACCATCCATCCATCCCTCCGTATTTTCCCCTCACCCCACTCGCCTCGCATCTCGCTTCCTCCAAGTTCTTACCCGGCGATCATCATCATCATCCATCCTTTACCCATCCATCCCTCCATCCATCCGCCACGTCCCCCTTTCCTTCTTCCTACCTAGGTACATAACAAACCCACCATTTCCTGATTCCCTCCTCTCTCTCAACCCTGCACATTCCCCAAATCCAAAACAGAAAAAAAAGAAAACAAAAGAAACCAAATAACACTTCGCGCTTCTCGGTACAAAAGAAAAGGAAGAAAAAAAAAAAGAAAAGGCCGATATATTGCCGCGTAGGCATACTGGGGTAGTCTTTCCGCTGGCGGTTTTACCCGGATATGCAATATGCAGTGTACAGGTACTTATGGCACATGTACATATACATGAGTTGGCTATAGGGTAGGTAAGGTAAGGTTTACATAAGCTAGCTACCTTGAGGCTTGAGGTAAAGAGATAGATGGCATAGATGGCATTCCTTGGATAACTACCTAGGTAGGTACCTACATACATGTGGGTAATCCTACGTCCTCAGACCTCTTCTCCTTGTTTATTCTCACCTCCTACCTCCCCTACCTACATACATAAATCCCAATCCAAATCCAAACATAAACAAAGAACACTTCACTTCACTATACTATACAAAAGCAAGAAGTTCCCACCCGATCCTCCCTTCCCTTCCCACCCCCACATATCCAACAACTGCTTTTGAACCCAACTCCTCTATCTTCTTCATTAAATCATCAAATCATCAAATCATCAAATAACCGTGATATGATATCTCGAGCTTCACTCTTCTTCCTTTTTTTTTTAAAAATAGTGAGTTGTGATTATACATATGTATAGAAGAGAAGAGAAGTCGGTTCTAGCATTAGGGGAGCTATGAGAAGGGTATATATGTATGAATTAAAGGGGTTTATATAGGAAGAAGAGACGGAGATGATTTCTATATTTCAGGATCTTGATAGCTAGCTGGTTCATACTCTCTCTCTTCCTATAGTAATGGTGAGACGGGTGAGATATCCATAGCTGGGAGGTAGGTAGGTAGTCTGAGGTTCTTCTGGATCTTTGGAAGTTTTGAGTGTGATGTGGTGGGTTCTGGACCTGCCTAGGGATATATAGGTACGGCCCTGTGCACATATATAGGTAGCTGTCATATAAGCTCCTTAGACTACATAAGTTCACTACATATCTCATTATGACCAAACTGAATATCCAAAAGGGGCTTCATTATCAAAGGGGTATTTAGTTCTACATCTTTTTCTTTCTCCTTCTCTTCTCTTCTCATCTTCGAAAAAAATCACAGCGCAGCATGACATAATAAACATATCCTCGTTCCCATTTTGAAAGCCCGTACATCCCCAACCCCGTATGTTGCAAAAAAATAATTAGATGAATGATGATGATGGTATCCCAATAACGCCCAACGACCGTACCCTATGCCCAACCCCTGGATGTATATACAATTTCTGCTTCTGCCTGACATGCAACATCAATAGTTTCGTCGTCGTGAGATCGGTTAGTTCTTGATTTGGGCTTGTTTTTCGGAGAGCGGGGCCTCGCCGCGTTCCGCGCTGCGGGTGAGGAGGGCCTCGTCGCGAAGGTCACGCACCCAGAGGGCGCGGGCGTATTCGCGGACGCAGAGGGCACCGACAAATTGGAGGAGGGTGCCGGCGATGACGCCGGCTGCGAGGGCCATTTGGGTGAGGTATACGATGCGGTAGCAGCCGTCGGGGGTCCAGGATCCGGTCACGCGCTCCCATTGGGAAGCGGGGGAGTTGGGGGAGTAAGCGTGGAGCTCGGTGGGTGAGGAAGGAATGTGGGACTGAGTGTCAGGGGGTGGGGAGAAGGGCGAGGAGGGCGGCGAGGAGCAGAGAGTGTGGGAGAGGTTTTGGAGGAGGCCGAGGACGAGGAAGCGGGGGATGGCGCAGAGGATGGTGTCGAGAATCAAGTAATTGGAGAAGACGGCGATACTGAGCGCATGTTGCTGTTCCAATTGTGTTAGCTGGTGCCCATGCCTGTCTCTGAATCCTTCTTTGACATTCCGCTCGTGGTGGGGATGGGTGCTTGAGAAGGCATTCAGGGCACTCGAGATCCAAAAAGACCTACCCGCAGCGATCCGACAAATCCAAAGACGCTCAACACATTCGCAAAATGCAGATACCACCTAAAGTTGCTGGCCAGGTGAAATGGATCATCGGGTAATTGGCTGAAGAGAAGGCTCGAGAGGATGTTGGATGTCAATGTTGCCAGTGCTACCACCAGGGTGATTGTCCTATAAGTTGGCATTTTCCGTCAGTTTTCTTTTCTTTTCTTTTCTTTTCTTTTCCTTTTTATTTCCTTCTTCCCTTCCTGCAGTGACAATCCTAGCTATCTCTCTGGAGAAAGAAATGTAGACGTCGGAGTGGAGGGAGTCAGAAAAGAAGAGGGGAAGGGATTCCCAGCCTCCCACATACCTAGATTTTGCGAGTCCCATTTTGGTAGCGTGACCTCTGTTTCTCTTCGTTTGCGGAGGTGTCGTGTGCTGATTCTCTTTCCCTTTGCTAGTCCTGCTGCGTCCTCCTTGATGCCTTACCTGTTCCTGCTCTTATTCTTATTGTTTTTTGTTTTGTTGTTGTTGTTATGGTCTGTTGCTGATTGATAGACCCCGATGTACGGGATTCCGAGCTATCCGGTCTGGATCGTCGTGTGATAGTGATGGAATAATCGCCAAGTCGGTGCTTTATTGAGTCCGAGTTGGTTATTTTTAAACACACCTAACAAACCCTGAACCCGGACACGAGAGAATCGATGGTGTTTCTTTGATATTGATATATGGGTATTGATCAAGAGCGAGAGAGTGTGGAAGGGAATAACAGAAAAAACGATTCGATATCAAAAGGCACGACGGCATTATGATGTGGCGCTCATGATGACGTGAGAGAGCTTTCACCGTCCCAGCGCAGTCGAGCAGCAGACAGGGCTAGTCCGATTCCGTCGCTCCCGGCGGCGTGCATCGTGAGGCTGCTGGGATGGGTAAACTCTAGCTGGCTGTACTATGTCCGCTGTGCATCAATCACTACTGTGAGAAATATCTGCTGCCCTTCATGAGTGGTCAAGAGTCGTGGTGGCTATGACTTGGATGCCGTCCTGAGATCCCTTTTGAGATCCCTTGTGCTCATAGCTCCCCAGCCTGTTTTTCTTTTTTTTTCTCTCCGTTTGACTATGTTTGATAGCCTGCTTCTTGGTAATTGTTTGCCGATTTTCTTTCGGTTTTCTTTTGCAATTTTTCTCCTCTCTGGCTTGTAGTGCTGAAAAGTAGCGGGTCTAGGGCCACTCAAGCGTGAAGAGGCTCAAGCTCTCGCCGGGCATTGCTCCGATCCCAATCATGGCCGCTCACTAATCCTTTTATTCCCTTCTCTTGCCCTCCTCTTCTCTTGGTGATCTCGAAGCATCCTCTCAATGCCGTGCTATACACCGCGCCGTCCCTTGTATAGCATACATGTACCTGGCCTGCCGCTTGTCATACCCTACTTGGCTTGGGAAACGTGCTACAGACCCAGGCCAAGAGTCCGGACACCTCGATGGTAGATACTCACTACGGAATACTTATTTTCGGCCCAGACTTATCTCAGTAGTTGAGACATCGACATCTTCAATTGACGCTCACCAACATGAACCTTGCCCACATAGGCAAGGTATCAACTGCGGGGAACATTCAGCCGGGTGAATGGACATGAAAAGGCAGGCCTAATTATTCCTGAATCAGTACCTTCGTAGAATAATAAAAGCCTGCTTGATATTGAGGGCCCACGGCTGTGGCGTAGGTTCTTGTATTGCGTTTAGCGACGGACTTCTCCCTTTCCCCAGGTTTTTAGAAGAGTAGGACGGTTGTGCCACAAAGGAGGACATGGTGAACAGTATATAGATCCCAAGGTCACACGATTCCCCGATCCTTTATGTGTGGCTGACCACAAAGAAAATCGGCGTGCCTGTGTCTAAACGGAGAACCCTCTCCAAAGCATTCCCATCTCTCCTCCTGGCCCCGGAGTTTTACATACGGATACAGGCGTTAACCTCATTCCATATCACCCTCTGCCTATCGCTGTTTGAGCTGGCGGCTGCTTGCTTGACAGGCTCGAAACCGCCCCGTGCCGGACGTCGAGTCTGTCGTGATAGTACGGATGCTATAGCATAGAGGAGGCGGGTTCAGGCTGTCACTACAGAGCATGCTGACCTCGTTTCGTCAGTGGATTGGGCAGAGGTGTACATCATCTGCCGTGAGGACTCATGAGGCTGCGGAATGAGCAGTTGGGGGGAGGTTGGCTGAAATATGGTTGAGCAACCAGTCTGATTCAGGTCAGACTGGTGGGTTAAGGAGGCGAAGTTTAGATAGCCAGAGACCCTATAGGTACTCCTGGCCTTATCCAGGGCCCCGCGTCTTGAGTAGCTGAGACATTGTTGAAGTACCGGTACTGCAACTTCCAGGGCATTTAGCTGCCAGAGGACCGAGTCACGGTGGTATTGGCTGATTGGCGAGACAAGCCAGGACAAAGAATCTCATGTCGTCTCAAGGGACTTGCTGGCGGATAAACCTACTCCCCAACTGGGTGGAGGTTGACCCTGAGACGGGGGGAAGTTGGGATGAGAGAGGTACGGCGGGCAATGTACCTGCGGACAACCCACAGGACCAATGCCGCGCTCGCCGGAGACGAAGAGAGAGAGATGCAGACAGGAGATGAGAAGATAGAGATAGAAACAGAATAGGAATAGAGAAGACGAACACCAGATGAGAATGAGAATGCCTATCTCTCGGCCTCCCTGCGCCCGATTGCTTGATTGATTGATTCTCTTTCTCTCGCCTGGCCGGTGCACGCCTTGCCTAGCGCTACCTTAGTCGAGGTCCTTCACCCAAGATCCAAGTCTCCGTATTGAAGAGCGGCAGATCGTGAACAAAGCACTCCCCCATCCACCATCCTCGCCCCCCCCAGGTCAACCACCACCACCACCACCATCTCTCTGCCGGTTTCCTGTGTTCAGCACTTCGTTTGTAGAATTCCCTTCCACTGCATCACCGCCTCGTCTCTCACTTGCACCCGCCTGCTAGGTCCTCTTGGAGCCCCTCGCCAATTCTTCCCACTCCCCGAAAAGACCCCGTTCGCTCGAGAAAAGGGATAGTCTCTTCCAACCGTCTCCCCAGATCCCCACGGCCTTGCGACCTGCGCTCCCTGCTCCGAAGAAGACTTGGTTTTGCTCGTGTGTGTGATCAGCTCTACAATACCCCGTGTTGGGCAGGACACCGGCTTTTCTTCTTGTCTTGCTGCTTTGTCGCCAGGGTGCTGACGGCCGAGAGCAAGAGCAAGAGCGGGAGCGGGAGCAGGATCTGAACCAGTCGTGGATGCCAACAGACCCACGACTTCTCTGAGCCCGTGAGGTTTTATGGAGGGCCAGTCTTCTGCCGATAATTCTCAGTATCAATATCTATCGGCGCAGTGGCCCCAACTCCCTCGCCGCAACACGCTTGCAGAGTCTCTACCCAACTTTTTGCCGGGTGTTGCTGCATCTCAACTCCCGACCCCGATCGATCTCCTCCCCATCCTCTTCCCACACCACTCATCCTACCACCAGGCGCAGCTTGCTCAGTACAACCGCCTCATAGCCTCTGGAAGAGCTACACGACTGGCTTCGCCGCTTCCCCCTGTGCTCTCCGCACAACATATTCAGGCTGTGCCTGGGTCGCGGTCAGGCTCGAGCGGCGGCAACACGGCACGACAGAACAAATCTGCTACTAGGGGTGGTCATGGGAATAAGGAGTCACGCAAATACAGTAAAGGCGAGCGTGTGCTCATAGCAGAGAAGGAAACTCCCGCCACAATGCCGGTGGAAAAGTTCGACTTGGCGAACCAGCTCCCCTCCCGGCCCCTCCTACCACAGCACACGAGCGTCTCGCAGCAATCGAATTCCGTGCCATCGACGCCTCATCAATATGCCCAGGAGTTCTCGTTCGAGTCTAGAGAGCATTCGCCCACCACGACGACTAACCACTCTCCCAGATCCGCGTATTCCGAGTCGAACATCGCCTTCACATCTTCAAGGCCATTGCCGCCCCCACAAGGACGATGTCGCTACGAGACCGCCCTGGCACATACAAAGCGGCGGATGCCTTATAGTATAGGGAGCGATAAGTTGGAGAAACTGAATCCAGCAGACATCAAGAGCAAGCTGTCGGAGGAGGAGGAGAGGAAACTGTCCGCCGACATGCGTGAGCTCTATGACCGACTACTACCAACACCGGAAGTCGAGAGCAAGAAACAGAAGCTCGTGAGGAAGCTGCAGAAGTTGTTCAACGATGAATGGCCGGGCCATGACATTCAGGTGCATGTGTTTGGATCAACGGGCAATCTCCTTTCCACAGATGAATCGGATGGTTAGTAGGCAATGGTCTGCATGGTGCCAGGATACTGACAATATCAACAGTTGACGTATGCATAACAACTGATTGGAAGGAATTGGAGGGGGTTTGCAAGATCGCAGATCTCCTGGCAAAGAGTAAGCTGGATCGCTTGCAAAACAGAAGTAAGATGCTGATAGCCCACCAGGCGGTATGAAGGAGGTTATCTGCGTGTCCACAGCCAAAGTCCCGATTGTCAAGATCTTGGATCCAGAGCTCAATATTGCATGCGACATGAACGTCAACAATACAATGGCTTTGGAGAACACTCGGATGATTAAGACCTATGTTCAGATCGATCCTCGAGTGCGGCCCCTGGCTATGATAATCAAACATTGGACAAAGCGAAGGATAGTTAATGATGCAGGTAAGCGCACCCGTACACCCCAGAAGTGGAATAAGACTCTTAACAATTTTATCAGCTTTTGGTGGTACCCTCAGCTCGTACACTTGGATATCCATGATCATCAACTTCCTTCAAAGTCGAAATCCTCCCATTCTCCCAGCCCTTCATCAGCGACCGCATTCGAAAACCCCGCGTAAAGATGGGCAAGAAAGCGAGTTTGCAGACGACATCGAGTCACTACGCGGATTCGGCAAGGAAAATGAAGAGACACTGGGGGAGCTCCTGTTTAACTTCTTCAAGTTCTATGGTCACGAATTCGATTATGATACACTGGTTATTTCGGTACGGAGCGGTAAGCAGATTTCTAAGATCGAGAAGAAGTGGCATCTGGGCAACAATAACATGCTCTGCGTGGAGGAGCCGTTCAATACCAGTCGAAATCTTGGGAATACTGCCGACGAAACCTCGTTTCGCGGGCTGCATATGGAGCTCAGGCGGGCGTTCGATCTGGTATCTGCTGCAAAGCTGGATGAATGCTGTGAACAGTACGAATTCCCGAAAGAAGAGAAGCCACCTCATAGGGAAAGACAGACTGCGAAATCAAAGCCAGCAATAATAAGGAGCGCGTCTCAGTCCCAGTCAAGTAGAGGTGGGAGAGGGGGGACTCATCGGGGTGGCCGACATAGCAGTCAGCGCGGTAACAACAATAGCCGAAGAGCGTCCAGTGCGACATTTGATAACCACCCCGGATACCTTCCTGGGGCGCTGCCCGCGAATCTGGCTTCCCAGGACACTTGGCTCCAGCAACAAGCACAAGCACAGTTACACAATGACCTCTTCCAGACCTACTCCGTCCTACAGGCCCAAGAGAACAACCTCCGACTCCAACTCTACAGTCAGTCTCAAGCTTATATGCAGGCTCAAGCTCAGAATCAGAGTCAAACATTCTCTCCGTCGCAGACTCGAGGGAATGGCGGCCCAGTACAGCAGCAAGCGACCGATCGAAATCGGACCAATTCTTTTGACCAATCGCCCCTGACAGCACCCATTCGACCCGAGCTGTATTACTACCCTCTCCATTACAGTGCAACACCGGTCTATGGATATCAGACCCCGAGCACGAATCCCTCATCTCCGTCCATGAGCGCCACTGTTCCTGAGTTGAGACGAAGCATGCACAGGTCCTCGATCACGAGTACCTCTGGTGCTCAAGCCAGCAGCTCAATGCGTTCCCACTCTCAACCTGCTGCAAGGTCAGCACCTTTGCCACTGTCGCTGCAGGGGGCTGGGACAGTGAACCCTGGCCTCGGGCCATACACGCAATATCGGCAAAGTAATGGGGTTCTCATTCCGAATTTCATCGCGGATGAAAATTCCGAGTCTGGATTTGAAACTCCTTCAGAGTCTTTTGCCGCAACGCCTCCTGAAGATGCAACTCCGAGAGAGTATGTAGGATACTACGTTAACGGTTCCGCTGCTAGCGCGACGCGTACAGAGCCAACAGCACCAATGGCCATTCCCACGTTTGGTGATATTCAGCAAGGTCGTCGCCGATTATCAACCGAGCAACTGCCACAGTCAATTCTGGACCGCCTGAGACGTCCCTCGAGATCTCCATCCCCACTTGGGCATGACCGTTCGTATTCTACGGGTGCACACTCAGCCCCGCTTACGACAGTGCCGTCTCAGCAGTGTGTTTCGAACGGTAATCTTCGCACCTTGAATAATCAAGTTCCACTCGTGGTCAATGGGTCCAACGTTCCAGCCCCAATATCAATCCCACACTGGCAAGCCTCTGTTAGTGAAGTTTCTAGCTCTGAGGATCACAGTATTGAATCGGCGGGCGGCTCCATGGATTCGAGCTCTCGGCTTTCTGGCGCAGGGAGCGAGCTATCTCTTGATCATGATTTGTCTGGTCAGCATACACCCAGAGACCTACACTTGGAGAGAAGAATGGATCCACCGCTGGTGGTGAATGGCTCGAACCTGGGGAAGTTGGAATCTACTTCCTCATTCGCAAGCCCACCAGTCGTGAATGGCACTTCCTCACTTCAGCTCAGTCCATCGAATGGATTCAGTCGCCCCGAGCAGGGGAACAGTTCTCATCTGTCACCAGCTCCTCGTAATCGACCAGCCCGCCAGGCTCAGAATGGCGGTGTCTCCCCTCTCGATATCGGATTTGGTCTGAACGAGAACCAGCGTGATGATACACCTCACTTATCCCCTGTGTATGAAGCGCGAACACCTTCACCGATAACCAGCCGGAAATTTGAATCGGCCATGGACACAAAACATAACGGGTCGGCTATTAATATCAGAGAGCAGACCCCAGAGGTTTCAAAGTTAGGGTCGAAACTCAATGGGATTCAAGTCAAACAGGCTTCTGTCGATTCAAAGACCAATGGGCATACCAGAGCGGCAAAGAGCGAGGGCAGCAGCTTTGGAAACTGGCAGAAGATCCCAAAGAACAAGAAAAAGGGACCAGCTGCAGAGTTGAAGGGTGTGGCACAAGGACTAGCTCATGGCGAGAAGCTACCGAATGATGATTCTGAACGAAAGGGAGGATGATTAGTTGGTCCACGCGCACCGATTTGTAGTGTCGCCAAGACATTGCATTGAGGTCGCAGCCAAAGTCGCGTCAAAGATCATTTGATCTGAAGATTGCGTGTACAGTGTCCGAGTGCTATACCGGGAGGATTTGCTCATCAACATGCTTGTCCAACAACAACTGGTCGCAGCTCACAAATTGTCAGCTGGTTGTCCAATAAAGCTAGATCGTTTTGCATTTGAAGGGGCGTTCATTTGATGTGCTCGATTGGCACTTTTTTCCGGCGATCTCGACATATTCCAGGATGCAACAAAGAAAGAAATGGTGTGGTGAAAAGGGATTGTGTTTATGGGGGGCATAGATCTCTTCATCTGAAATGGCTTTTGATTCAACGGCATTCGACAGTCGCAAGAAAAGTTTGATGGGATACCCAAGTCTCTCCGAACACATGGGATTACCTTTGTTGGTTTCCTTTTTTCGGTTTCTCTTTTTTTCCTTGTGTTTGTGAAGCATTTGTGAGCGCCCAACGGTTCTGGTTCGGTTTTCGGCTTGGGTCATATCGAATTTTGCGCAGCTGGGTGAGTTATCACACTCGTATAACCTGGCTGGTCTTGATATACAATCGCGTGCATGGTCACAGTCTTAGGGAACCTCGTTATGAGGACTAAGAGCGATGAGATGTGTGTGGTTAGGCTGGTGGATGGATTGTCATGATAAAGGCTTCCCCTTGTGTGTATGTTTATAGCGAAAAGATGGTATGGGTCATGGCATGATAAGATGTCTGCGATGCGCAGATACTACAGTGGAAGATAAATGAACAAAAGTTAAAAGATCAAGTGTGTTGACTTCTTATAGTGATGTTGTGTGCGCTGTGGCCGGAAACACAATTCAGTATCGCAGCAACTGGTTCGCGAGAGGCGGAAGCATCCTCGCGCGCTTTAGGAGGTATTTGATACTGTCTTATAATACACAAACGAACTGACCGAGAGAAGTAGAGATCTAATTCTTATGTACGGAAGAGCTAATATTCCAGATTCTCATTTCTTTAAATTCGAGAAGCCCACAACGATCTTGAACAGCCAGCGCCTTTTGATCTTCCAACCCTCCCTCCTCCCAACCCAGTCCCAAAAAATACAGCAAGCCCCCACAACCAGGAAATTCCCTACCTAGGTAGCCACCGCATTACTCTGCACATCAAAAATCGCATTCCGCCAGCCCTTCCTCGCCCTATCCTCCACCGCCTCCCCGGCCCTCGCCGCCTCCTCATCCCACAACTTGACCACGCTCCCCGGCGCATACACGCCCGCGAAGACATTCCCTCGCTCGTCCGCGCCGCCCCGCACGCCCACGCGCGCATACACATCCGGGTCATCCGTCGGCGCCAGTCGGGTCAGGACAGCGCGCACGAAGGTGTGCAGATCGCGCGGGTTCGCGATGCGCGTAGCGCGCAGGCGCTCGCGGGCGAACAGCAGCTCGCGGTTCGCGGCGTGGAAGAAGTCGGCAATGGCGGTGGCGAGCTGGCGCTCGAGGACGCGGCGCAGGAGCGGGCGCAGGAATGGCTTGATGAGCCAGGCGAGGAGGGAGAATTTGCTCTTTCGGAGCGTGTAGGTCAGCTTGTGGATCTTGACGCGGACGTTGCGCAGCGTGAGGATCTTTTCGAGCTGGTCTTGGCCGACTTCGATGTCCAGCTCGATGTCGAGACCGCGGTCGTCGAGCGCGAATGAGGCGATGCCTTCGTCGGCGAGCCGGAGGAGGCCCTTGTGCGTGCGCAGCCAGAAGCCGACGTCGTCGGCGCGGAGGGAGAGGCCTTGGACCTTGACGGTCACGAGGGATTGCAGGGAGCTGATGGTGCGGAAGCGGGCGCGGCTGATGGAGAGGTCGTTGTACGTCTGGACTTTGAGGCGATAGGGCAGGAAAGAGGTGTTGTTGATGGTGCGGCCGGGCTCCAGGATCAGGTTCTCCAGCAGCAGGTCGATTTCCGGCACGGCGATCTCGAGACGTGGGATCGGGATGTATTGGATTGCTTGGATGAGGAGGGGGACCAGGACCGTGTAGGTGTCGGCGAAGAGTTCTGGGTTCGTCTTGGTGTTGGTCGGGGAGAGGATCTTCCAGATTTTTAGACTGGTAGAGAGGAGCTTGCTGATGTCTTCGTCGTTGATGACGGAGTGGAGGACAACCTGTGTCTGGAGGAGCAATGCATCGACATCCTTGCGAAGGGGGGTTTCCGTGTCCTCTTTCTTTTCCTCTTTCAACTCGTCGAACTTCTTAGGTGCGGAATCAAAGAATTCAGGATCTGTCAGCATCTTCTGAATGGAGTCCGAGACTTTCTCCATCATCTTTTCGTACTCGGGGTTCTCCTTGGAATGCTCCATCACTTTGTTGAACCTATTCTCCAGCTCCTTCCATGCGTCTTTATCCCCAAAGGAACTGAGCAAACTCCATCCGTTCCTGATCGCCCGATCCAAGTCCTCGTTGGTGTCGACATCTTCTTGCACTGTGTTAATCGTCTCATTGGCCGCTCTCGAGTAAGCTCTTGCATAACGCTGGATCAGCAATCCGATGGTCGACACAGAATCCGAATAGTCGTTTCTTTGTCTCAATTTTGTCACAGCGGCCTTCAATCTATGGATAAGCGTCGCTCTCTGATCCCCTGATAGATTCTCCTTCAAGCTGTCTCCTGCTTCCTGACCGGTCTTCTTGAGCCCGTCGGTAACTACGTTGGAAATCTCCGTCGCTTCGTTCTCGAGGTCCTGTGTGGAAATCGGTTCAGAATCACCCCCAGGTTCCCTGATGGCCTCAGTATCCTGGGACGAAGGCTCTACTTGAGCCGCGGCATCGGAGGCGACGGTTGATAGAGTATTGGCCGTGTCAGCGAAGACTTGTCGGCCGATTGTATTCAAGTCCGAGAGAAAGATGCGGAAGTCCGAGTTGGTGAGAAGGAGACTCCCTACGGTTTTGATACTCTCGTATGCTGTTCAAAGGTCAGCTCATACCTTTTCCTGGTAGAAGTGTAAGAGATTGAAGGAGATATACCAGCCGATGCATCAGCCCTTGCCCTCGTATCCGCCGCAGTTTGTATCAAATCGCCAGTATCCACACTTATCTTCGCACGGGATATAAACCAAATGACATCCTGAATCTGATCTCTATCATTCTTATCCCTCAATAGATCAATGAATTCCTGTAGCCACTGCTTCGAATACTTCATTAACTTCCTCCCGCTGTCTGACAGGCCGGGAGTTTCTGGGTTTAGGACGTCGGAAGAGAGCAGAGTTCGCAGATTGATGATTACTTGTTCATTGGATGGCATGAATCCTTTTAGCAAAGCCCGGATCATCTGATATGTATGCAGCTTCTGATGAGTCGCCCGTTGGAGCGAGGTATCATCCTCATAAACAGGGAGGAGGGGCTGGCGGTCACCATGGCCGTTGGCTTTCTTGCGAGATCCAAAGCAGGAGGACATGTTGAAAGAAGCATAGATGGTAATCCAGGCCAGGGGGAACCTTTTTGGGCTTTTATATATGGGGAGATGGGAATCTCGGAATTCGATGACGGTTTTGCTGACACTTTGATCACTCTTCGTACTCAATTGGAACTCGTAAGTGATGGGACCAAGTTCCAACATCTAGACTCAGATGGATCCGCCTTGAAAATGGATTATGTGTCCATGTCCCACTCGTATTTCTATATTTCCATATTTCTAGATTTACACAATTCCAGCTTTCCAAGTTTCCAGGTTTCTTGCGTTCTCCCAATCACCATTCCCCCACATTTGGCCAAAAGACACTACGTCAGGGCCCAGGGGATCATCCCTCCGCACCTTACCTTATTGAGAATAGTCGGTTAATTATTTCTCCGTACCGCTTATCGCACGATAAGACGCTCTGGAAACACTGGCCGCCTGAGTCAAGTTCATCGTCGTATAAAATCTTTGTTTCATTGTGAGCAGCACATTGAGCATTCTGCAAGGAGAGCAAACCATGGACCAACGAAAGGAAGAAATTACACGAAGGCCATTGTATGGTGAGCAGTCTTGCTATCTATTGCATTTATTGCCAAAGCGCTGTTATTGAGGGGCATTTTTAGTCTATGATCTACCGAAGGATATACTGTCGACTCTGACGCGAAAGGCGAACACGGGAGATGGTCCGGACGAACAGGTTCTTGCGCCTCTAGCTGGAGATAGTGAACCAAAAGATGAATCAAGAACAGAGAATGCGGTTGGGCCAAAGGCATGCTCGTTATGCGGGGTCGCCTTCCACACGGTGGAGGACCAGCGAAGTCATATCAAGTCGGATTTGCATGGCTACAACTTGAAGCAGCGGATGCGAGGCGCAAAACCAGTGAGCGAGGTAGAGTTTGAGAAGCTGGTTGGAGGTATGGGAATCATATCTTCTTATTGCACCACCGCTAATCTTCCCAGATCTCGATGAAAGTCTGTCAGGCTCTGATTCATCCGATTCCGAGGACGACGAGAACGATGTGAGGAAAGAGACAACGCTAAGCGCATTGCTCAAGAGACAGGCTGCCATATCATCAAGCAACAATGGGGAGGGCGAAGATCTTGCGCCAAGGAAGAAGGAACGAGGATCAGGGAAACCTCCTCTGTTGTGGTTTACAACGCCTACACTTCCAACGAACACCTATCTCGGAATCTACCGCGCAATATTCACGAATGCAGAGCAAGAGAATGAGGCAGCCATCCTCGAGACCATCCAGAAGAAACAACTTACCCCGAAGCCCCAGACAAAGATTCCAGTCGACCCGAACAATGGCGTACCTCCACCCGAAGCATATAAAGACCCCCACATATTTCTATGCATGATTGGAGGTGGACATTTCGCTGCCATGGTTGTGTCGTTAACACCAAAACTGACAAAGTCAGCGTCAACTGGGCCTCTGGCGAAAGAGGCAACGGTTCTAGCGCATAAGACCTTCCATCGATACACGACGAGGCGGAAGCAGGGTGGTGCACAATCTGCGAGTGATAGTGCTAAGGGAGCGGCTCATTCAGCTGGTTCTAGTCTACGTCGTTACAACGAACAGGCGTTAATAGATGAGGTGCGGCAACTACTTCAGGATTGGAAAGGCATGATTGATACTTCAGAACTACTCTTTATACGAGGTTCGGGTAGTACAAACAGGAGGACACTGTTTGGCCCCTATGATGGACAGGTCCTACGACAGAACGATCCGAGGATACGTGGATTCCCATTCACGACCCGCCGAGCTACGCAAAATGAACTCATGCGATCATTCGTGGAGCTTACACGAGTGAAAGTATTTGAAGTCGACGAAGCTGCCATTGCCGCAGCAAAAGCCGCAGCTGAGGCAGCAAAGCAATCTGCCGCTGCGAAAAGCAACAAACCATCAACGCCCACGCAGGCCAAGCGATCCGAAGAAGAAGAAACCGCCATTCTCCACACAACCCAAATCCAAGCACTCATCCGCCGCTCCAAACTCCCAGCCCTCCTCTCATATCTAAAAACCAACAACCTACCCCCGGATTTCAAGTTCTACCCGCCAGACGCCCAACAAAATCATCATGCCCCCGCCCCGTTACATCTCGCAGCGAGTCAAAACTCCGCCCCCTTAGTATCCGGCCTCCTGCTCAAAGCCGGCGCGGACCCCACGCTCCTCAACCACGACGGCAAGACGCCCTTCGACCTCGCCGGCGACCGCGCAACCCGGGACGCATTCCGCGTTGCGCGGTTCGAGCTCGGCGAGAGCAAATTCGACTGGCAAGCCGCGCACATCCCGGCCGGGCTCTCGCGTGCCGAAGCGGAAGAACGCGACGCGCGCGAGAAGCAAGAAGAGGCGAAGAGAGAAGAGGAGCGGCGCAGGACGGAACTAGCAAGATTGAAAGAGGAGGGCCCGAAGGTGGAGGAGCGGGGACCGCTGGGGAAGGCGGCGGGTCGGGGCAGGGCGCTGGCTTTGGGCATGGTGCAGAAGACGGCGCAGGAGAAGAGGGAGGAGGAGGCGAGGGGCATGACGCCCGAGATGAGGATGAGGCTCGAGAGGGAGAGGAGGGCGAGAGCGGCGGAGGCGAGGATGAAAGCTATGGCTGGGAAATAGATAGCCACCATATCCCATTGAATTGAGCGATGCCTCGCAATAGCTATGTAACTCCGTGTCCCCACCTACGTATGAAGAGATAGCAAGCAGACCTCCCTTAACGATCCCGCTTCCTGTCTATCAACCCTGAACTCTACAAGATGATGTTCTTTTAGCGAAAGCTAAATGACCATAAAGGGGCTTTTTTGGGCGAGGCCCACCCTTCTCTCTATAAATCATCAGCTTAAGAACGAAACCTCACACACACATTCCCAAAACCCCTCTCAAGATCTCTCTCTATCAAAACAATGACAAGCCCTTAAAATAGCCTCTCCAGGCTACCTAACTAAGGCTCTGTCTACTTGAGAAATTAATCCTAGAAACATCATCTCATACCTAGGTAGGTAGGTACATAACAGACTCATCATCATCATCTTCCAAAAAAAGACAGTGTTTGTAATTTTTTCTAACAAATGAGAGGAGAAGAGAAGAAGAAGAGATAGGATTCTTTGATATATTTTTTTTGGAATAAGGAAATGATATTGAAATATAAGTATATAATCGAGAGGGGACGGAGGAGGAGGGAGGGGCGAGAAACGAATAAATAAGGTAGCGTATCTGGTATATACATAGGTACACACCACCGTATATATAACAAGATCCCTCGTCGTCACCCAAGGACCTGACTGACTGACAAGGCTACAACTCTCCACTCCACTCCACTCCACTCCACCACTTACACCACCTATCTATCTAACCTACCCTATACATCCCACGCCTTCTCAACATCAACGCACACACCCACCCACCTACAAAGCAAAACGAGAAGAGAAATCAAGATCATCATGTCGGGTCTTGAGAAAGCGCTGTTTAACTTGAAGGTTTGTTTCTTCTTTCGTAGAGAGAGAGGGGGGGAAGAGAGAGAAGAGAGAGAGAGGGAGAGATGGGAGAGAGATACTGATTTAATGGAATTGCGAAATAGTTTACAGCGAAACAACTCAATAGACAAGCTGCGAAAGCCGGCAAAGATGAGAAGACAGAGAAGGATAAACTCAAAAAGGTTCGCCCTCCCCCCCCCCCATCCCCTCCCAAAAACCAAAAAAACAAAAAACAAAAAGACTGACGAACAACAGGCAATCCAACAAGGGCACACCGACATCGCCCGAATCTACGCGCAGAACTGCATCCGCAAATCCAACGAACGTCTCAATCTCCTGCGTCTCGGAAGCCGCATCGACGCCGTCGCGAGCCGCGTACAAACCGCCGTAACAATGCGTCAAGTAACAGGCAGCATGGCGAACGTCGTACGAGGCATGGACCAAGCCATGAAAGCCATGGACCTAGAAAAGATCTCGGCCGTCATGGATCGTTTCGAGACCCAGTTTGAGGATCTGGATGTGGCCGCGGGGTATTATGAGAATGCGACGGCGGAGGCGACGGCGGTTGGCACGCCCCAGGATGATGTGGATAGGTTGATGAATCAGGTTGCCGATGAGGCGGGTGTGGAGTTGAGAAATGAGATGGAGGGTGTGAAGGTTGATAATGCTGCGGTGAAGGTTAAGAGTGGTGGACCTGGGGTTTCGGAGGTCGAGGAGGATGGCTTGGGGGAGAGGTTGAGGGCTTTGAGGTCGTGAGACCTGTGAGTGAGAGCTGTGGGGGTGAGGGCTGTGGGAGTGACTGAGTGAGTGCCGCTGCTGTGCTTTGCGATTTTGATACATGGGATAGGAAGGGGGTTGGGCGTTTATGGGGAAGGCGTTTCTTTTTTGGGGAGCGAATTGTCATATTCGGGTCTTCTTCTTTTGCGCTGTATCGGGATTGGTAGATACAGTATATGACATAACACACATACACACGGGTTATTGAACTATTTTCATCTACTGTCTTGTCTGTCTGTAGGATCTTCTGATTTGGATACCTACCTACTTCCTCGAGTCAAGTATCTGCCTATCTGCTTCAAGATGAGAATATCGACGAGGAGATTTACTCGAGAACGCACATCTCTTATTCCGTAGATGCAGAACAAGATACAAGTTAAAACAAGGAAGCGAAGCGGGAATGAATGGGTATTATATTGGCGATCATCTATCAATCAACGATAATCGATACTAACTATCCCAAACAATCCCATAACTCTTCCATCTACCTTCCACCAATTAATCAGTCAAAGACGTGATCTATAGACAGATTCTCGAACTGAGACGCAGCAGCCCGCGCGGAATGCCCATTTCTGGGGAGGCTTTTGAGGGGTTTTGCTTTGATGGCTAGTCTTGGTGTTAGTTTGTGATGTGCGGAATGGGATAGATGAGGTGGGCGTACAGTTTTGAGATGGCTGGTGGAGAAGGTTGGCGGTGTGAGCAGTGAAAGTGCAATGGCCATCGGCTTGAACGATCGGGCACCGTTCCTAGGCGACAGAGGCTTGGAGGGCTTTTCGTACTGCGGAAGGAGAAGTGCGGCCGCGGCGAGGGAAATCCATTGCACGCAGCTGTATGAAATGTGTACAGAGTGTGCTTCAAGATGCTATTGAATATTAGTATGCTTGTCCCAGTAATATACCCAATGTCAAGATAGAAGAAGGGAGGTGTTAGGCCGGCTTGCATACCTTGAACATGTACAGCGATGCAATGAGTGCAAAGACGAGCATGCAGTATTGTACGACAGAAATGTCCCCAGGTACTTGCAATGCGACACGAACCGAGTCAACAAAGCCAACTTCGGAGCCATGGTCCCGAATAGTCCGGGGAGTTACACCCCGCCAAGATGATACACGAGTTTGAGCAGGTGCAGCGTCTTGGGAACTGTCAACAGTATTCTGGGCCACCACGGCTTGGGTGGAGGAAAGAGAAGATTGATCAAAGGTATTCTCGAGCGAGAAGTTTGCTGCAGCAGCATGGGCGGGCGAAATGCTTGCAGTCTCTGCAGGCTTGGATTCTCCGGCATGGAAGTTGCCAGGGTTGAACAGGAGCTTGTCGTTGTTGACTCCAGGTAAGAGCTGTTGTGTTTGGCCACCTGGTCTGGTTTCATGAAGGTCTGCTAGAATGCCGCTATGTAGCGTGGCTACTGGTTGAGTTCTACCTATCTCACGATTGCTGCTGTCGGCCAGTAGCTGTACCGGGGTACGTTGTGGGCGAGCGCCACTGTTGTGACTTTCAGATGACGAAACAAGATGCTTGTTGTAGCCGGAAGTAAGAACACGGGCATCTTCTGTCGAGGGCTCAGACTTCTGTGCTTGCAAACCGACAACTGCAGCACGCAGAGACCGGATGACCCGCATTGTGTTGGCTTGGCATTGTCGAAGATAGCCAGGATTGGAGTCTGGATCTAAGCGGCTGTAGTGTGGGCGGCGGGGCGGCACCGCATTCTTGACACGGGAGACTGAAACCTGGAGTTGGAGTGTCAAAGTTTGAAGCAGTGACACTGCTGAATCCGGAAGACCCGAAGAGAGGCCGTCAACATGGCTAGATACGAGAGTATGCAGGGTATCGCGAAGTCCTTCAAGTTCGCCCGAAAGGGTACGATGCTCAGCCGAAGCTGACTTGAATGCCTGGAGCGATTGGACTACTACAGCATAAGTATTATCGATGATCGAATTGTCCGAGAAGTTGTCGCTCAATCTCGGAGAGAGTTGACCGAGATCATCTGCGTGTCCAAGTGGCGAAGGTTGTGGGTGCCGTTGATTAGGTGAATCCACGAGGAGACGAGATTGATCAGCGTGGTGAGAGGGAACCAGATCGAGCATTTCCTGGACCGCATCGTTTTGTCTTCTCTTGTGACTCCGGCGGGCCTTCCTATTCGTGGGTTGAGATGACTCCGGAGAGGAATCTTCCACTTGCGGTGATTGACTTGCACTTGAATCGAATACACCCCAATCTAGTGAGGAGAAAGAGGATGATGAAGACGAAATTACCGGGCTTACATCCACACCGGAGCCAGCAGAAGCAGCAGAGCTTTCTGATAGTTGCGAGTGGGCCACAGAATAATCAGGCCAAAGCTCGCCTGTCAACGCACCCGGTTGTGGATGACCGGATGAAATTACGCCTTGCAAGCCGCTCGAGTGCCAGCTTGAATCAAGCTGTCCAGAGCCTTGCGCAGATACCGCGGCGTGTGGTCTCGAGTGAGAAATTGGCATGTAGCCTTGCGGTTCTACCCATGGATCTAGGCCATACTGATCTGGTACGAATGGGGTATAGCTGAATTGACGATCAAGCTGGAAGCCCCATGGTTGTTCAAACGAGACATCGAGGGATTGATCAGCGTCCATGTTCACGGTGGAGAAACCATTGAGATCAATATCATTGATGTCAAAGTTTGCGTCAATCAAACCGTAGTCTTGGCTCTCGAATTCTGGGAGCGCCAAGTCTGCTGGGTTCCAGGACGGGGTGTCTTCTGGAAAAAGGACGAAATCATCAATTGCGTTGGAACCGAAGGAAGACATGCTCTCCTGGGAAGCAGGTGATACTTCTTGAGTTGCTGGAGGTCCTGCCGTTGGACTGGGTTTTGGATGGCTAGAACAGGAGGTTTTAGTAGTAGTCGTTGAGGTGGAAGTTGAAGTTCTTGACATGTCGTTGGGTGATCGTCGATGAGAGGGATCGCACTGCATACGTGATGAGTCGTTGAATACAAAGAGAGGAGTGAGATAAACTCACTCGAACCTTCCTCCTCTTGCAATCATCGCATGCCTTCATGATGCGCATCAGATGGGCATGCTCCCTCTGCTCCTTGGTCTTGATACCTCGTCCGGCCGAGTTGGTGATATCCACGCCGTCCTTGGTCATGATGGAGAAGCCCGGGAGCCTGACTTCGGCGGCCTTCTTGGTCTCCTTCTTGGGATCCCGCTTTGGCTTCTTCGACACCCGCGCATTGCGTATTCTGCTTGGCGGGGTCAGGCTGGTGGAGGCGTATGTAGAATCGCCGAACGTCGCTGACGAGACGGGAGATGGAGTGAAGGTGGGAGGGCTTAATCCCGCGGGCTGTGATTGCGTAGGGCTCTGCTCAAAGACTGGGTGCGAGAGAACGACCTGGTAACGGCGAACGAGCGCACCGGTGTTCAGGTCGACGGTTGCATGATTGTAGAAGTCAATTGTGACTTCGGAGAGTTTGTCCTGCTTCGGGGCAGGACCGACGACGTAAGCATCGATCAAAGCCTCAAGCTCCTGAGACCCCAGAGGAGGGTTGAATTGGAGAGGCGCGCCCAGAAAGGGCTGGGTGATGGTGAAGGAGGAAATTCGATCAGCCATTGCGATGGATTGCGGGGGGGGATGGCAGCCTTATCGGGCTCGATTAGTCGGAAAGAAGGGGTAGGTTTAGTGAGTGAGAGAGAGAGAGAAGAGAGTTAGATTAGTTCAGTTCTTTTCTTGGGCTGCCCGGTTGACTCGAAGGCCTAAGTGTCCGCTTGATGAATCCGACGGGGAGTAAAAAGATGGAAGAGAACAAAGGGAGAAAATGGCTGCCTCGAGGAAAAGGCGGTGCTTATGATGTTGCGATACAACTCGAATCCCCCCAGACCAGGGACAAGGCCTGCACGGTCGGCGAGACGGATTAGGAAACGGCGAAGAGAGTGAGCCGAGTCCATTGGTCGCATCTCGTATCTCGTAAACTCTGCCCCGGCGAGACGGATCGGGAATGGTGCGCGGGTTCAAAGACTCACAGCTGACTCCTCCAATCTCCTGCATTTTGTTTCGCTGCGCCAGAGATCCACATCCGCCATTTCCCCCCTCCACAGCACTCGATTGACCAATTCACGTCCTGAGACCTGCAGAGCGGGCGGTCGACAAGATATACTGCGGAGACCCCAGGCCTTGCAAGTGTGGTGGCTGATGCTTAGTAGGGAGAAAGTCTACCAGCGCCGGCAGGTAGTAGTGACTGCCCTGACTCTTCTCTTGTGGAGATGTTCGCTCATGCTTCAAGGATGCGCATCTAATGCACAAATGACAGTGCTGTCAATCATCTCATCATCTCATCATCATCATCATCATCATAAACATAACCTTCCTCAAGTACCCCAACTGTACTCACCCCCCTCCTCGCGCCTTTTGAAGGGAAGTGCTGGTAATGATACACGGATCTGAATCGAGGGAATCTATATATCAACGCCATGCTACAGTACCACAAACACAAGCGGGACAGCACCGCTAAATAGAGGGCCGCCAGGAAATGCACAAGAGCGTGTCAGTTCACCATCATAATCTACCCACCACGTCCCGCATATGGATAGGAGGCCCTATAGGTTTGCAATCCGAAGAGAAGGTGGGAAGATGGTCATGCAAAGGACATCGCCGAGTTCGCTGGGACGGTCAGCTCGTCTAGAGGGAGGTTACTAAACAATGACAGGACAGTACTTACACTGCTCACAACATGCTGCACAGAAGGGCGCTTCAGAGACCAATACGCATAGCCCGTTGCAAAGGAGGCAAGCCCAACGATGAGGCCCATAGTTGCAAGGTTTGGTCGGAAAGGGAAGACGCGGACCGTCATGATCAGCCAGTCATGCGTCTCAATGATCAATGCGATCGTGACCAGGAGAGCCAATGCGAGAAGGGAGAATCGGTAACGATGGTTCTGGAGGGCCTTCGTATACCAGGACCGGATGCTGAGACAACCCATTTTTGCCATATACCGAGCCCCCAAGGACCTATTCCCCTGGCTCTGGTAGCCACCTGATTGTGGGGTATCGTGGGTGTTGTTATGATAATACCCTTGAGAGCCGTCATCTCCAAATGTATTATCACCACCGAAGGCATTGTTAGGACCATCCATGAAACCGAAGCCACCGTTGAAGCTTCCGTCAAAGCCTCCGTTGAAGTCACCGTTGAAGTCACCGTTGAAGCCGAAATCATCGTTGAAATCACCAGTGAAAGAACCTCCATTGCGAGGGCCTTGGCCGAAGTCAAGATTCGGGCCTGGGAAAGCGTATGGCTCGGGGTAAAGAAGCCTCGATGAAGGCATGGCCCCTCTGAAAGGATCTTGGCCGTCAGGTGGATATCGCTGGTGAGACGGATTAGAGATAAAGTGTCCATATATCCAGATCTCAATTGAGCCATCGATTCTGCAATTCTGGCAAGGGCCTGTATGACAGTCATTCATATATTCGCAACGCGAACATATGTAACGATGGGCTGGTTTGATACGAGTGATGGGAAAGTGGGAGTTCTCAAAATGATCTTGTAAGCTATCTGGATTGCTGAAGCGTTGCTCACAAAGGTATCCAAGATACTTGCAGATATACAAACCACGGAGGACCCCAAGAGCAACCAGCTGACCACTTTGATACGAAGCATATGGAGGACTCGAGATATCAATGTCTGGTATCTGTATCGGTATCCCAGCCAATGGATCGGCAACAGATGATTGAGGTTCTATCGAGACGGTCCGAAGGAGTTGCTCATTCTGACCAAGACCAAAAAGTGCGTTGCTCTGGCCTAGTGAACCTCCAGATGATTTAGGTGGGCCAGACAAGGATCTAGCGGTTTTATCTGAAGATCTAGATCCCGAGGAGCGCGACTGGCGTTGCTGTGCTTGGGACCATGAGGATTGAGACCCAGATAGTAAGGCTCTTTCAAGAGCGTCAACATCGTGATGCTTGAGTGGACACTTGAACAGTCAGATCTTCACGACAAGAACGAAAGGATGATAAGAGCTTACAGGAGTCTTTGATTTACGGCACGCCGAACATGATCCAAGATGACGAATCAACGCAGCCTTTGCTCTGTCTTTATCATTAAAAGGCCTCCTTGTGCGCACTTTACACTTTTTGCCATCAAATGTTGTCAATTCGCCTTTAGCATTAGATGTCGAGGACGATGGGCTTCCCCTGACGGGGAACGACATGACTGACGAGACATCTGTTCCTCGGTCACCCGCAGACGTTGAAACAGAGGGTGCGTTTGATATTGACGTGCGTGACGTAGTTGAATGGGTTGTCCCAGGGGTGCCGAGCCGATCGAGACCTTCTCCAAACTTATACTTGCGGTAAAGCCTCAATGCTTTCGGTAGCTTTTCGGGTGGTATTGGTTTGGGGTAGGGAGAGGTAAGTGGCTGCGACATATCTCCTGAAGGCCGGAGGGACATGGTCGTAGATGTCTGATAGATCTTCGGGTCTGGGGGGTCTGGGGGGTCATGACTTAATATATATACACTCCATAAGCTGCAAGTGAACTTACCATCAGCAAAGTAGCAGCGACAGGAAGTATGATATCTGCGACTAAGTACCTCACACTTATGTATGTATAGTTGAAAAGATGTTACAAAAAGCCGAATAAAGTTGCGTAAAGAGAGCGAAACCCAAGTTTTGCTTGATAATTTGCGATTTGCGATCCAGAGGGATCAGGCTCGAGCCTTACCCTTATATATATGAGACGCACGCACGCACGCACGCACGCACGCAGACAGGGCTGGGCGCCTCCGTAGGCAGAGTCGAGTCGCCTCGTCGTCCGTCCGTCCCGCCGCGACAACAAGCAAGCCAGGGCGACGGAGCGAAGCGGAGCGAAGCGAAGCGAACCACTGCGGGGTTGCCCATCCATCCATCCATCCATCTCGGTGTCAGAATCAGGTACTGTAGACGATAGATAGATCATGTGCCAGCGAGATCGCAATTTTTTATTTAAGAGATACCTTACCTAAACTACCAGAATCACTTGATGACTGATCGGATAGGTTGAATATCTTGGATAGGAAGAAAAGGGAAGTTGAGATGAGATAGATAGAGCGTGAGTGCTGCTGCTGCTGCTGCTGCTGGTTTTGAATGAATGAATGAGGTTCGTAGGTTAGGTAAGGTAAGGTGTGCAGCGAGAGAGAGAGAGAGAGAGAGAGAGAAT